TAAAGATAATATTGAGAACAAAATCCAATAGATACGTTGAACAATTGCAAAGAGTGCAAACAAAAAAAAAAATAAAACACCATGAAAGGTGTCTTGCACTTTATCAGTCGCAGAAACGCCATTGTTTGACTCATAAAAAAACGGAAGTTATTTATTACTCGACCTAATGTATCAGAAAAAAAATTATAAAAAATGTTTCTATCGAAAGTTAACAGATAAGAGTATGTTTTTATCTAACTGAAATAAATTAGATTAAATGAATAGAGTATTGCACAACAGTACTCTTTACTTAAAAAGTCGCCATTCTTCGTCGAAAGAAACTAGGCAAAAGGTAAGAGAGCTTGGAACTAATGACTTTCTCTTGTAAAAAAAAATAAAATAAAATAAAGAAGAAGAAGAAGAAGAAGAAGAAATTGACAAAGTTGATTAATACAGTAAAGTATTTGACGTGTAACGATTTTTCCATCGATCATTTTCTATTTCTATTCGCATTTTCAAATAATAATCGACATTCAAGTAATTTCATTTGATGTATCCTCGAAACGTTTATCGGTCGTTTGCAATGTCTCATACTTTAAAAGGCATAAAAATGTCGACACAGCACCACTCGTCGTATAAGCTGCTTACTCTTACGAATGACATGAAATCCTTTCCTTCGGTTCTTTCTTTCTTTTCCTTCTGAATTCTTTTCTTTTCTTTTCAAAAAAAAAAAAAACAACCGCATCCTTTATCACCCATCTTCGCCAACTTATCCACGAGGGTTTTTAAAGTCATTTACTCTTCATCACTTCTCGTGTGGTTTTTACTATGAAAGCACAAAGTGTTAAGTGCACAAGAAGAAGAAGAAGAAGAAGAAAGAAGAAGACATCAAATAAAAAAGAAAATTAGTACTTTACACTAGAAAACTAGTCAATAGTTATAAAAAAAATGTGACAAAAGTAATATAAGAAAAATAAATGATAATCAGTTTACTATAATACATAAAAAGTTAGACAGATTTTTAATACAAATGTCATCAAAATTATTTAATATAATTGTTTATCGTAGAATAACTGTGAAATAAATGTAGCATTGAGTTTACGTATCAATTTGACATATTTTCATAAATTGATAGATGTGTGTGTGTGTGTGTTTTAATAGTAACTTTAATTAAATCGAAACTCAAATCGATAGTTTAGATAGAATTGAATGAAATATTTGAGAAGTTCGATCACGAACACCCGAATTAACAATGTTACATGAATGATCAATTAATTTAATCGTATTTCTGACAACAATATCAACGAAGTATTGATCCTATGTAATATGGAATCTAACTATTGAGAAACTATGTTTGTAATACATATAATTAGTATTCTCTCTCCGTTCATAGATTGTTTTCTCCAAAACTATTGAATTGTCTGAAAAGTAGGTACGTGTTGATTTTGAATGAAAGTATGTGTGTTACTTATACAATATCTAAAATCGATACAAACTTTTCGATAAACTCGATATACTCATAATCATCAAATTACACGAAAAGTTTTTGATAAATGTTGAGAAAAATGTTTAATTAAAATATTATTTAAAATATACTCTATAATCGAGCATATATATATATATATATTATTATTAAAATAGACTCGAACAATTTACGAACAAATAAAAATATTATAAATGGAAGCAAAATTTTATTCTATTTTTTATTTTTATTTTTTTTTTGCATAATAAATTTCACATGTATAATATTTTTTTATTTGATTTTATTGAATACCATGATTTCCTTGATTATTATACACGTGGATGAATATCATCTAATTTTCTGATAATAAATGAGTTTATATTTCTTTTCTTTTYTCTCCTCTTTAATTTGACTGATCGATTATAAGAATTAATTAAACACGATTTAATTAATTGAGTTATAGTGATTTTTATTAATTGATTGCCCGGATATTTCTCCACATCATATATTATAACAAAATAAAACTATTATTTGTATAAAATGTGCTAAATAAAACAAAAAAAACATGTGTGCAGATTACACGTGTTAGAAGTGAAACCTTGAAAAAACTAAGTTTCGAGAGACTGAAACAAATACAAAATATCAGGTGTAGGATAATTGTATTATCTTTTTATTTAGTATCGCGGCCGTTTCATAGCCGCCTACCGCTCCGTTTCATAGCCGCCTACCGCTCCGTTTCATAGCCGCCTACCGCTCCGTTACATAGCCGCCTACCGCTCCGTTACATTTTTTCAAATCACACCCATTCTAAAAAAGTGTTTCACTTCAAAAACATGTGTGCAGATCACACGTGTTAGAAGTGAAACCTTCCAAAATCTAAGTTTCGAGAGAATGAGACGAATGCACAGTTTCAAGAGTAAGATTATTGTAGGATTTATTTATTATAATATTATAGCCACATATAATAAAGGTCACTGGTATGGTCTTTATGGTGGAATAGCTGATAAAAAGTACACTTTGATGTCCAATGTTTCGAATATGTTATTAATTAGGCTAATAAATTTACTAATATTACATATATGATACAATTGAGTAGTGATTCAACTAGGAGTTATTAGGGAAGAGAATCAAGATGCAATTGCACTACCCATGAGTTACTACATTTAAGCGACAGTGGCGGCTGGCTCGTGGTACCTCTAAAACAATTAACTGCCAAAATGTCGTTGCACCTGGATGAAGGTGCTATCCGAAAGCTCACGCACACACATACTATCAATTTTATACACGTTCACTCTCACCCTTTCCTCCATATTAACGAACGCGTTGAAAAAGCTTTCGTGTAACGAGCACTATATAAAATTTCCCATAATATTTTGTCTAGTTTCTTTTTTTCGTTTTTCTTCTTATTATTATATGTTATTTCTAAAACAATGATCATTTGGAAGAAACAAATAAATAAATAATAGATAAAAAAATCTCGTTAAAAAGTCCAATTAAAAGTCGACTCTTATTAATTGGCTAAATTCATTAAAATACGATTATACAATTTAAATAACAATTTAGATTTGCACAATTATTCATTAAAAGTTTTGATTAATTTAACTTAATGATATGAGCATTAATAAACGCGTCATTGTCAAAGATATTGAAATAAAATGCTATTTATTGATCAAATCATTAATTCATACCAAAAACAAAAGAAAAAAAATAATTGTATTCGTTATAATAATGCAGAGTATTGCGATCGAAAAAATGATTCGAGAAAATTTTCAAATGTAAATATTGTTCAAACAACGCTGTTACTAACAAATACAAATCTCGCACAAAACGATGTTAACTTAATTAAAGATAATGTCTTAATAAAGTTAAAATACTCTGCAATACATTTATTTATTCCAATAGCTTTATTCTGCACGTGCCAAAATACGCTTAATCATAACCTACATTTAATTTATTATTATTATTATTATTATGTAACTGTAGAATCATTTAATTTGTTTTATCCAAAGTTAGGAATACTAAAAAAAAAAAAGAAAAAGAAATAACAAATAGAAATAATTTTATTAATGTTTTAAATATATAACGAATTAATTAATACAACAATGAAGATAATAACCAATGTAAATATACAGAATATTATAATGCAAATGGCAAATACACGAATAGCAAATGTACGATAAATTAATTTCGGCTTATCTCTTAGTGAGGTCAAGAAAGTGTCTGGGGCAACTTACTGTTATGAATTATGTGCGACCCCGTTTAGAAATTCGGTGCAAATTCACGACTGGTATATTCGACAATACCACTCACCTACTTCGAACTTTTCTCTAAAACGTTAGCGTGATATATGCAACTATTGGGATTTCTAGCACTTGAATACGCTATCTGGTGGCTAAATTCAAAATTAGAATAGATAGGTCGAATTCCTACGTCACGTGGGATCTCTCCAACACTTGAATACGCTATCTGGTGGCTAAATTCAAAATTAGAGTAGCTAGGTCGAATTCCTACGTCACGTGGGATGTCTCCAACACTTGAATACACTATCTGGTGGCTAAATTCAAAATTAGAGTAGATAGGTCGAATTCGAAGAGGTTGAAAGAGAGAAGAGGAGAGGAGATAGAGAGAGAAATAACTTTGTGAAATGTTTGTAATGAAAAATCAACAGGCAGGAAGACACATCTTGCCGGTTGCACCGGCGGCACCACTACCACCACCTTTGGAAAAAGAAAAAGGTCTCTCGTCGTTCAATTTTTATTTCTCTTTTGAAAGAAGAGAAGCGCGTTGTACTGAAAGTGATGATGATCGATCGAAAAAGAAAAGAGGGTGTGGTTCTCTATTTCCACCAATTTCCGCAATAGGTGCTCGATCATGAAGCTGGTTTTGCACTCGACGTTACTTCTTCTTTTGCTGTTTAACGCGGCCGACGATGCGTTGCTAAAGCGAGCAACCACCAAAGCCAAAGTGTGAACTAAATTCAATTTGAAAAAGGTAGAAAAAAATGAAAACTCAAAAAAGAAATAATAAAAAGACAGAGGAAATGAAATAAAGTGAAATGAAATGAAATAAAATGAAATGAAATAAAATGAAAGTTACTTTATCGATAATGTCTATCCTTTAGGAAGATAAAATAGGATTTTAAAAAATAAACACACACACACACACCAAAATCCCGTGTTTCTATTTTGAAAATTTAATAACGACATTAAAAGAAATTTATTTTCTTGTTGAAAACTTCAAAAAAAAAACAAGAACTCGTCTAACTATATAAACAATCTTTCATTTTCTTTTACTCTGTCTTATTAAGTAGAGTGAAAAAAAGCACTTTTAACCAGAATAGAATCCAAATGTTTCAAGTAATCTTAACTAATTGTTCAAAATTTATAATTTAAAGGTAAAAACAAATTCAACGTACACGTTTTATAAGTCAAGTTTCGTAATAAACAAAGAATCAACCTAGTTGTTCACTAGTTGTTCATTTATTCACAATTTCATAGAGATGATTATTCATCTACATAGTAATTAGTAATGGAATTCAAGTTAAACAAAGCTTACTTACCTGTAAGTTATAAATGCAAAAACGAGTGCGACCAAAGAAAGACTTCCTCCGAGAACGACGATGAGACTCAATACTCCATCTTGATCGAAGGAACTGGCAATCCCTGTGGAAAAACCATTTGCTATCATACCTCCGTTAGGCTGATGAAATCCATGAATTGCACCAGTATAAAGATTCTCCATTATGTATATCCGTCCACTTGCTTGTTGTATTCCTGAAAAAAAAACCAAAATATTTTATTGAAACACCTGTTCTATACGTTTATTATTAATCCTATTTACAGTCCCTTAACAGTCACAAATCATTTCAATTTGTATACACGTCGATTGCTTGTTTTTTTAATTCCGCACCCTGTGGTGATCCTTTCAAACTAAATTCCACAGTCAACTGATTAAATGAGTCATTTATTAGGATTTACGAATATCTCTAAATGTTAGGCATTGCATTGCAAACTATAAGTCATGCGAGATTAGACACTTGAGAATTTAGCGAGAAATTGAGACATATAGAACGTTGGGAAATTATTCTATTATTGAGTTAACACCTAATGGTTGTAGATATTGTCTGATTATTCACATTGTAGCTATGTTGTGTTAATATCATAAAGTAACGTATAACAGGTATTAAATATAATGGAAAACATAAGATATATCGTTAAAGCCAATTTTTCTTCTTCTTCTTCTTTTTCTTTAAGTTCTTCTGAAATGTAATAAAACGTCATCCGTTGATTAACGATACTATACCGTCTGGAGTTAAAAAGAAAAAAGAAATCACGGCGTAATATCACTTAGTACGAAGTACAGTGGTACCTTAGGTACTTCAATATTAGTTGAAAAAAAAAGAAAAAGAACAAGGAAGAAAGAAAAAAAAAAAATATCGTATTCATATAACAGAAACAAGGTCTTTGCTCCTACGAAAGTTTTGCTGAACCATTGCGCGAACTTGGAAGAGCCTCTGGCATTCCTTCGATACTTCAAATCGGTCAACTCAATTAAAACTTTCATTTTCTTATCTTTTTTTTCTTTTTTCTTTTCCAGAAGCTAACAAAGTAATCGTCAACATAATCCTCTTTCATTCTACTTGCTAATTTAAAAAAAAAAAAAAAGAAATTTCACTGAGGAAAATGTTCAAGAAGGAAGGTTAAGTTATTGCCTAATGTGTCAGCAACATGAACGCTCCGGTGAACTTTATCGTTTGCGGTCAAGAGCAGCATATTTTCGTGAACGTAAATATCAAATGAAACGGAATGAAGCGGCAAAGATTAATGGTTAATCAAATGTGGTTAGGTAACATTTGATATTGAAGGGAATGATCTAACTTCTCCTTCGGTATTTATCTTTCTGAAATTAATATTTGTGGTTTTTTTGTGTGTGTGTGTGTGTGGATAATTGATACTGAATAAAGAACTTGTAATAAGTTTTTTTGGGGATGAATATATGTGTGTATACACTTATAGAGACATTAGAAATATATAAGTAAGTATAGGTATACATAGAGTATATATTTGAAAAAGGAAGAAAATCGATATAACGCTTCCTTTACTTCCATTTTCTATGAGGAATTCAACGCTGACGTAGCTGAAAATATGAGAAAATAGCAAATACTGCGGTACATTTATATAGACATCATCATATAGCAAGGAAGATGGTACCGACCTAATTGCTTTTACCGCTAATCGAAATTTACGAGCATCAACAAGCTCGCTCTCTCGCTCGCTCGCTCGCTCGCTTGCTAAAGTTCTGTTAGAAACTAAAGTGCGCGAACTAACATTTCTCTCTTACATTACTGCTTTTACTAACATACCTAACTATGCTTTTCTAACGCTACGTATAATACTAATACTGATACATATCAGCTACTTAAACAGAGATAAAGAAACAGAGAGAGAGAGAGAGAGAGAGAGAGAGAGAGAGAGAGAAAACGTAATCAATGTTTATAGTTGCTTTTAAAAAGTAGAAAATGTAATACTAATAGATAACTCTAAAAGGACGAAAAAGCTCAATGACACTTTTCATCTATCGCTACTTATTGGAACATTAATTGATCAAAGAGTATCTTAGCATCCTCTACGATGGTTACGATCGATATCAAGCACGACCTTATTCGTCCATTTAAAATTCACTCTTCAACTTTTATTTCTTTTCTTTTCATTCTCTCTCTTTCTCTCTCTCTCTCTCTCTCTTATTTTCTTTTTCATTCTCTCGGTCAATCGTTCGACGAATTATCCTGCTTTTAAAGACGGCAAACGATAAACGAGTAAAGTTCAAATCGTGGTTTCATTATACCCCTATGATGAGAGAGAAACCCGTTAAAAAAAAAGAAAACAATGAAAAGAAACCACCATTCATCAGTCGATAACTCGGATTTGTTTTTTTTTTCTTTTTTTTTGAAGTGAAAACTTCTTTCGAATGAGTGTGATTTGAAAAAAATGAAACGACTTTTGCATAAAACAATTGAGAAATTTTGCAAAGCTATTTAAAACACATAAAATAAGAAAAGTGTTTCATTGCGAATCAAACTACATATATGATTCTTCATGAAAGTTGATATTTCGCAAAATGTTATTTTGTAGCTCTCTCTCTCTCTCTCTCTCTTTCCCCCCCCCCCCCCCCCTTCTCCTATTTCTTTATCTCGAAGAGATATTTTCCTTTCAATGTAGAGAATAAAAAGGTGGCATATAAACTTTCTCAATCTTATACGTGATGCAAAATAAAAATACGTGAGACAAATAATATCATATGAAACAACGAAACGCGTACAAGAAACTTATTGTCAAACTTACTGTCGCGCAAATGTGAAGAAAACACAAAAGAAGTAGATACAAACCCAAAAAAAAACTAAACGAGCTATAGTACCTACGTATAGATTTGATTGCAATTTTCAAAATAATCATTCTTCTCTTAGAAATTGTTCACTAAGAAATAAATTGGTTCGATGCCAAAATTCGACGACAACAACGACACGCGAAACCAATACGTACAAACGAAATCTAAAATTGAATGGCTCTCTCTCTCTTTCGCAATAAAATTCCACGACTAAAGAAATTGTTCAGTAAAGGAAAATTATATCTTGTCTCTTAAAAAAAAAAAAAAAAAAAAAAAAATAAAAGTTGGATAGAAAAATGGATGCAAAAAGTATTAACCTTTTTTTGTTGTGTATCTCTAACAAAAAATTGCAGAAGGACAACAACTTTATAAGAAAGTTGAGAGAAAAACATATTTATGATACACGAGAGACATTTTTATATTCTCACAAAAAAAAACTAAATTACAACCAACCAACCAACCAACCAACCAACCAACCAACCAACGTATCTGCACGCATAATTTTTCTTTGTGATCTCGTCTCGACAAAATATAAAATATTTGTTCGTTTTCTTTACTTCCAAAATGTAATTAAAAATTTTTATATTCTTTTTTTCGTGTAATTTTTAAGATAAGATGAATAAGATGATAATCACCGATATATCTTCGATAAACAACTTGGAGAATCTGCAAAAGGGAGAGAAAACAAAAAAGGCATTTAAAAGATAAGCGTCGTTTCGTTCAGAACATTTACACTTCTATTTACATACTTAAATACATACGTGTGTATATGTGTGTGTGGGTGTGTATACATAACCCTAACTTGCTTTAACGTTCTTTTTTGTTCATCACACACCAATTCGATGATCGTTTACACTTTTGTAACCCTAACAGTGTTTGGCTTCCAGTTCAATTCACGAGAACGCGCAGTTCGGAACGATGCACTCTCTTCTTCTTCCTTTTTCCTTTTCCCGCCTTTTTTTACCCCCTTCTTTTCCTTTCTTCTCTCTCCCTCTCTCTCTCTCTCTCTCTCTCTTCTTTTTTCTTTTCATTCACCTGATGCAAAACTTCAATCAATGATTCGACAAACATTAAAATCGATTTAACAAAATTTCTGTTTCTTTTTTCAAGCTCGTTAAAGTCAAGCCTGTAACGCTTGTTTGAAAGGAAATAAAAAGAAAAAAAAAAGAAAAAAGCTTCCTCCGAACATCAATTCAAGGAAGTTACACTAAATTATATCAATCAGTTTACTTAGTATAAACTTACTTACTTACTTACTTACTTAAGTAAGTAAATAAGTATGTACTCGTTTGAAATCTTAAAACTTTACGACGAAATACTTTTCTATCGATGAAATATTAACGAAACATTCGTCAAGGCAAAAAAATCATCAAAAATTTCAATATTTATATTTTGCACGTTAAATCAAACGATATTAAAACCTTAAACAGGAATGTTTTCTGTGTCTCTTAGATGATGCCATTATGAAATTGATCTAGTAATTTTACAACTTCAATACGACGCTATTTGTTATTTTAAATACAAATCATTTTTAATTCATATAATAATGATCGAAACAAATCTTAATTAAATTATTTWATTTAATTTAATTGTTGTTTCAGAAATTGCAAATTAAATCTTTCTACGAAACAATTGTATTATTGTTATTTATGTAATTGTATAATTTAAGTAACAAAAACCTTCGTGTGCATAGAATTTCATTTAAAAAAAAAAAATAAATAAATAAAAATATAATAAATCGATACGAAAGTACTGCCATGTTATTTCGATATCAAAAACTAATCGAATTGACTTTTGTTCGAGCTTTTTTTATTTTTTACTATCTCACTATTCTCAATTAAAGGGAATACATGGATCGGACTTTCGTCTCGTTTTATGTTTAGTTATTTCTCTTTCTCTTTCTCTCTCTCTCTCTCTCTCACTTACCTAACGATGATCACAAATTTTTGACGTCGCATTGACAGCACCCAACAACAATCGACTTCCTTTTATCCTCTTGTCTCTCACATTTCGATAAGTCCACGTGTACGTGCGAACACGTGTTGAACCGTTTGAGTTTATTGCGCGCACATCATATTGAACCTTCAAAAGCGTATATCTAACCTCTTATTAAAAAAAAAAAATTACGAATAATCACTCTTTCGTAAATGAAAAGTAATATAAAATACACTCTTATTTAATTGTTTCTAGCGAACTCATTCAAATTCTACTACTATTTCACTTGTCACAAAATGTATTTATAAAAATGTCATTTTTATAGATTATTTTATTATATTTATCATATACGAGTCCCGTATCACTATCAAATATCGTTGTTTATTTTAATCTAATATGTCAATGATTTTTTATTATTAATCGAAGATGATATTACGGTAAATTAATTAAGAGTAAACTGTCAACTTCCGATCCGTACGACGCGCGGTTCACGACTGACCGCCACTTTTCGTTCCTACTTTGTTCACCATGCCGACATGGCGTGCATATTCCAACCAATCACGTTCGAGCTAGTTACCGCCAATAATATACCCCGCCTACGAAAATCAAATAGAAAGAGAACGATCGAGATAGGGGGGGCTTCTGCCGTTTTGGCATACTGATATTTATGTCCACCAGGTGGCAGTTGTATTGCGATTATTTTAAGATATTTATAAATGAATTTTTATAATTGAGGTTATGATAAAATAATAAAATTCATTTGAAAAAGAATATCTACTTTAGAAGTTTTATTTATATTTTTCAATTCAATGGGACTTCCACGATAATTGCACTAGGTACAGTCTATATCAATTTTCATGTCACAAATTAAACATTACGATCGTTCTCCTTCTATTTTCATCATCCCGGCAAAATTATGAAATATATTAGCGAATCAAACTATTTCTGATTTCTTTCTCTTTTTGATAAATTATTTTTCTATTATTTCTAAATAAATTTTCACAATTTACAAATATAATACTATTTTCATATTTTCAATAATGCAATTAATCTTATTTGCAATACGTGCAAATTTATAATAGATCAGAATACAAAATGGACGTAAAAGAAAAATATAACATTTTTATTTTAAAATACATAGCATAGTTTTTCTTATAAAATAGATAATGGTGCAATAATATACAGCCCCATTTTAAATAGAATGAATTTCTGAATAAATTGATTTACAACATACTTCCTACATTTGTTTACAAGTATCGATACAAAATGAGAAGTATTCCTCTCATGAAAATAAGAATAAACAGTAGAAACATAATTTTCTTCCTGTTGTCATGACAATAAACAATGTACATTTATAAAATTCTTATAATTTACAGAATTTCTTAACAAGCTGAGAATTAAAAATATATCAATAGAATATATATATATATATATATATATATATATATTGAAAAAAATGAATCTATAAGAAATCATCTCCAATTTCTATTTCACGACAGGTCTCTCCTATCCACCCAAGCAAATATCTAATTTTTTCTGTTTTTTCATCAGTCGACTTATAACCCGCAATACTTTCGTAAAGGCACTTTGATAAATGTTTTAATATAGGCTATAACGAACAAATAATATTACATAATTAAATAGAAAGAATTGAAAATAAAATTAATATAGAAAATTTCGAAACTTACTCCAGGCCAATCGTGCCTTAATAATGCCACGTATTGATCGCTCAACAATTCAATATCAAGGACACTTTCCTCCAATAATCTTCTTAAAAATTGTCCACACATCAACCATGTTCCATCAGTTTCAGGTTGTGCAAGTAACATAACGTTTCTTGGACTCAACAATCTTAACATAGGAGTATCTGCTTCAAATATCTTAAAATTGTCTATAGTCCATATCTTAATTATCAGGTCTTGAATATCTCGTGTAAATAGATCCATTCTGTGTGCAACTACAAATAAAAACATAACATATTAAAAAAAAAAAAAAAAACAACATTAATTACATTATACTTTTAACATTATTAATCATTTTAATCTTACTTAAAAACAATGAAAAATCAACGCTCAATAAATACAAGATTTTCTCCGGTCCTAAAACCAGATCAGCTCTTTCATTTAAAATTTCATACAATTTATTCAATATTGTTGTCACTGAAGTTAGAGTTACATTGTTCCGATTATTATCCATAATATCCCATATTTGTAACTAAAAAAAAAGGCAATAAAATATTCTTAATTTATTATTCTCCTTTGCTTATTAAACTATTTAAAAAAAAAGAACAATAAATATAAATAAAACATACTCTAAGTTCATGTATAACATCGCTCGGATTTGGTGCAGCTGGATTATGAACTTTTTCTTGGATTATAGATAATGTATTATTATTTCTAATAAACCTATTAATTTCTAAATCCATGTCTTTATGAAACAATGAGCCACCAACAATGTGAGATTGTATCCATTGATTTATACGTTCAATTGCTACTCTGTAAGCTATTTTTATACACATTTCTTTAACAGGCACTAAAGAATCTTCTGCTAAAAGTGATTCAATAGATTGCACAATTCGTCTTTCGCAGAATTGTGGCATACTTCTATCACACTGTTCTTTCAAATCTTTTGAAGCAGTACTAGCCAACATAGACATTTCCTTTGCCAATAACGACTAAAATAGAGAGTAAAAAAAATGATTTACAACAATGAATTATGTAACAATATACGATTAAAATCATGCGAAATAAAGAAAAGAAAAAAAAAATTCACCTTTAATTCGTTAATCTCTGTATTATTATTACCATTTGTCGTAGCATGCGTTTCTTTATGCTTTGCTTTGTACTTTCTTTTCATAATTTCTCTAAAAACATTTAAATTCGTTTCTCTCGCGGATGCCAATAACGTATTGCAAATATGTTTAACACAAGCTGACGCAACTCTATCGAAGACAAAATCAACCGTTTTCCGAGTTGAAGTTGGTTGACCGTGGAAAAAAGCTTCTTCTAACTGCAACTATATTGAAAATTGTAAGAATAATATATAAGTTATAATATTTAATTTGAATTATATATATATACCTGTAAATGTCTTCTATTATTAGCCCCAAATTTATGAAGTTGACTAGATATTGGTGTTATATGTTTGTTTGGACCTCGTGTATTATGTTTTACATTTTTCTTTGACACAGTTTGTAATTTTAAATCAGTTATAGGACAACATTTACCAAGAACTTCATCATCTATTATATCTAATTTATCTAAACAATATTTAGAAGGTGTAACAATATCAATAGATTCCACAGACAATACTTCATACGTTTGTGCTAACATTTTGTCAAATTGTCGTTGTGTTTTTAATTCTTTCATTTCATATATTTCTTGCCAAGTTAAACAAAAATCTTTAGGAAAATTTGGTAACTCGAAAAACCATTTTAACGTAAATTTCAGTAAAATTGCTGTTTTTTGAGACATAACACTCTCACAATCGGAAGAAGCAAAATCATAAGTATTGACAGTCCTATAGATATAATACAGTAATTCTAAGACTGGTTTGTAATACGTTAATCGAAGAGACACTATATCCATCATTGCTAAATATTTTACTATCCAAGGAATACTCAAAGACATTTTTCCTTCCATAATTGCATTTTGAAGGCAAGATTGTAAATTTAACGATGGTACAACCTACGAATATTATATGAGTTTTAGTAATATTTTGTATTAATACTTAATTAATTAATATTAAATTTATTACTTACATTATTTCTAATTTCAATTTGTGCTGTTATTACTTCTTTATTAGTGTATGATTCTAATTTATAAGGTAAAGATATAAGTAATCCCAACATTTTGGCAAGTAGTCTTAAACTTGTTAGACATGTGATGAAAGTACGTTTCGTTTGCTCATCCACTATAGTTTCTAAAATACAAATAGAAAGGAGTAGAAATAATTTCGTTGCCATAAATAAATAATAAATTTGTTCTTAAAAAGTATCACATTAATTTCTAATAATATTTATTATTTACATAAAGAGAGAGAGAGAGAGAGAGAGAGAGAGAGAAAGTAATTTATATTAATTTATGCATAAAAAATACCTGAATCTTCTATTTCGCTGCTAGTAAACTGAGTCTTGTTCAACTCTATAATTTCATGTACTAAACAATTTTCTAAATGTGTATAAAATATTGGATTAAATGCGTACAGTATGAAATCTCTAAAAAATTCTTGAGTACCAGGAAAAGATGGAACACAAACATCATTCTGAGATGATAAGGGAGTAACCAATCTTTTTCTAAGCTGTGTCAATTTTTGTGGATCAATGTGTTTTAATGTTTTTAGAATATTATCATCGTCAACTATTTCTTCCTGAAAAAAAAAAAAACAACAAATTTGTTGTTTACAATATACACATAAATTATAATAATTTAAAATATATATAATTAACTTACTTGTTGGCCTTTTTGTATACAAGAGATGAGAAGTTGAGATTTAAATAATCTTGCAAAGTGAGAATAATTGGTAGCATCATTATGCTGGGTGAGTACTGATCGAATCTTTCCTACCAAAGCTACTTGAAAAGCCCATCCTGGTACCAAATGGTTTTGTTCCCATATCCTCAAAATTTCATAAAACGTGTCTCTTTGCTTTCGAAAGGTTTGAAATGCAATTGCAGATGAAAAATGTTCACGATTATCAGTGTCTATTTGAAAGCATACATTCATTTCTCCCATTGCTGATGATGTTTACAAATATAATTATAAACAAATCCTTTCAACTGTATATAACATTTCCTACGTCTACACAAAGAAACATTTTACAATAATTACACGATTATATTTTTCACTATTTAATTTAAATTAACATATTTATCAACATATTTATTTATTTAAATTGTTGACTCTCTCTCTCTCTCTCTCTCTCTCCTTTCTTTTTCTTACACTTTTTATAGGTTATATTCACTAAACATATGGTAGAATTTCATGTATAAAATAAAATGTAAATACATTTAAATATATATCATAAAGTAACACAGATTATATATTATTATATTTACTGTCTTGACCACATTAATATTCATTTTTATCGATATAAACACTGCATGTTGACGCCTTGTCAAATTTCAACGTGTATCTTCAGACATGTAGTTTCTGTTTATAATAAGAATGAAAGAATTGACGTATGACTATGGAGGGTACCTATGACATAAAAATGAGCAACACTAGCGCTATCTGACGACAATAATATATAATTAGAAACTATGGTCGAACCGATACGAATTTCAAACCTGTACTTTTAAACATATAAGTAAATACCGGTACTAATGATAATTAAAAATATTAAAAATAAGCTACGCGTAAAAAAATCTCCAAACTTTAAACGATTTCAAATATTATTTTTAATGCATTACATGCTTAAATTTTTATAACGAATAAGCACACATATACATAATTAATATAACATATAATATAGTTGACAAATTTTAATTCAATCAAAATAATTATTTATGCGAGCATATGTATGCATAATTTATTAGAACTTTAAATTCAAATTATAATCTTCTTAAAATTATAACCCTTTTACACAATTAAATTTCAAATACACATTTATTTTATTCCCATGTATATAAGAAATGGTAATAACTCAAATATAAATTAAAAATAATAATAATAATAATGTGAAAAATTCCAAATATAAACTTACATTAAATATTAAAATTAAATGCTTTAGTTTCAATATAGTTTTTGTTTTTTAATTATTTACATTTGTCATGAAGACTTGGTTCCCAGCAACACTAACTTTATAATGTGCTTCTTGTTTTTAAACAAGCGGATAACTGGCACTTGAGGCCACACCGCAATGATTATTCTTATTTCTTGCCATTTTAATATATCCTTTATCACCCCAAGTTGTGTCCCAACTATTTTTCACTAACCAATAATCTTCTCCATTATCATCAGTTCCATATCCTACTACTAATACTCCATGATCCAACTCTGTATCGGAACACTCAGGTTCGTAGTAAACTCCTAAAATTTAACAAGCCGAAAATATTAAGTCATCAAAGTAAAATGGTATAAAAAAAAAAAATAATATATAGAAAAATATAAAAACATGCGAAACCTTCAGAATAAAATTGGAAAGATTGGTGAGAAGCGTCAATAGCGATTGATACTGGACCAATAGTTGCAACGGCAGATTTTAGCTTTTGTTCGTCTCCTTGTGGAATATCAACAAATCCAACATCAACGGCACCACTGTTACGTGGACTATACCTACAAATCAAAATAATATATATATTCTAATCTAACAATTTGTTCCATTCATAAAAAAGATATATTACTAACCTGCATTTATCATTTTCTGCTTCATAAGGATAACTTTGTTCTGTATCAATGCCATGATTGTCTTTAATATATTGAAATGCTTGATCCATAAGACCACCTCTGCATCCATTATTGCCATATTTTCCAGAACAATCGATCAAGTTCTGTTCACTTAAGGACACCAAATTACCAGTTTTTCTAAAGTTTTGTCCTTCCAATGCTCCTGTCTATAAAGAGAAGAATTGTATTATTAATTAATATCTGAAGTAATATTAATAATAATAAAAAGATCAATTATATAATCTGTTTAAAATATAAATAAATAAATAAATACCGTTGAAAATGCCCAACAAGAACCACAAGCTTTTTGATCTTTAACAGGAGTAACTGCACCTTTTTCTCTCCAATCAACAAAATGCGGTAATTCAACATGAGCTGGTTCAATGTATGTGGCACTAAGTGGTTTTCTTTGTTCTCTTAATTGATGATCTATCGATTTGTTAAAACCATTCAATAATTGTACGTACTCGTAATGAAGCTATAAAATAAAAATATTGAAAATGTGTAATATAAACCAATTTATACTTTAATTGAACACAATTTTCATTACTCACCATATCACCAAACTTATTTATCTTTAATTTGTAACTAACTTCACCTAATTCAAATTTACGATTGTGTAACGCAATCTTATGTTTGTTATCCATGAATATTTTCATTCTGACTTTTTCCTCAGAAGTAGTTTCATAATTTTTTTTATGTTCAAGCTGTCGAAAATCAAATTTCGTTATTGTCAACAAATTAACATTTTAATTAAAAAAAAAAAAAACAATCATAAAAATATGAACTTCGTTTTTGTTTATAATTACCTTAAACGTTGTCCATTCTTCTAAGATAAGATCAAAAAATGAGATAGCTTGAACAGCAAATACTGTCGAAATTAGGAATACCAGTAATATCTTCATGCTTGTATATTAATTCAACTGAAAATACAAAATGTTCAATTAATTATAATTAATATTATACATAATTTTAATAAAGCTAAATAAAATATTAAAAATACATAAAGATATAGATATGGTTGATAGCAAATATTTATATGTTTGAGCTTATTAGAATCCATATTTTTTTTCATATATACAAAGAAGTAACTTAAATGTTATTAATGTAATAAACCGTATTGACTACGATAAAAAAAACAATAAAATAAATTTTAATGGCAAAACACGATTCTAACTTTATTCAATGGTAAGATTAAACTTGTAGTCATAAAATTATACGAGGAAAGATTTCTATTCATAATTATTCTTTTATCTATTATATCTGGATTTATAACAAAATAAAAAAAAAATTCTTTTTTACGAATAAAATTGTTTATAATTAAATAAGAATTATCGTGTTAAAGTTAAAAGAAAAAAAGAAGAAAAAAAACAACAACAGAAAACAAAACACAACAACATTGCAACACATTCAAGATATGAAAGTCTCTTTGCGTCATCCATTTTGTTTTAGTTCATTAATAAAATAATACACGATAATATAAACTCCAAATAATTATATAATAATATGATTAACTATAATAAATCATGTTTCATTATTAAACAATAATTATATGCATTAATTTGATATGATAGAACAAAGAAATCAAAAATTGGTTTAATTACGTGTAAAACTTCAAACAAAATAAAACAAAAGGAGGAAACAACTTGAGAAACAATAGATCTTAATATAAGAAAAAAAAAAAGCCATCTGTTAAAATATCAAATTAGTAATATTAATGTAAATAAAATATTTTCATTGAAATTTTACATCAAATATATTAATGAGTCATACGATATAGTCAGATTAGATATTTAGTATGATTCACATTTGAACAATGACCGTGTACGGTTGTAGATAATATATTCAACATATATATATATATATAATAAGTAGAATAACTTACCACAATAACACAAGGAATCACTAATAATTTCAAACGATACGTTCTCGTTGAATGTTGCAATGCTTATGAAGCAAAAGAAAGACGCAAGGTTATTATATTGGACCCTCCCCCTAAGTCACGTGATTCATTTCGTTTTTGTCCTCTTAGGTTACTTTGTTTAACAGTACACATGTGATGATTTTATCTTTTGTTAGAAATACTTTTACGCATCATATTACACGATATCTATTCAAATGTCCACTCGAGCATTTTTTTTATTACCATTGCTTCTTCTCATGTGACTTAGATAATACTGAAATATCAAATTATATATATTTATAAAACACATATACACACATATTTATATATACATAATCCTATTAAATGAAATAAAAGAATAACTAAGATGATTTTGTTTATTTTGCGAATTAATTTATATGACCATGACCAATTGGCATTGATTTTTGAATTTTTTTAGATTAACGCATAGATTTGTTAAATATTTATCCATATGAATATATATGCTGTTGTTGTTGTTAATTTTATTATATTTTGTTGCTTTTCAATTGTATTAATAATTGAAAAATATTTCAATAAACATTTTAAATATTTTTGTATGAGTATGTAATTAATGATTAGAGAACAATTATATTTCTTAACATGAATAAAAATTACATTCATCTTGTACATCTTTACAATTTATCTAGAAAATTGACGCAATTAAATCACATGATTGAAATTAACTGACGTATTATACGCTCATATTTATTATTTTTCTTGTTCATAATTTTTTTATTATTTATTCGTAAAAAAAATATTAACTGATAACATTTTTATTTAAACAATCATAGAGAAGATAAATAAATTTACGAAGACGATAATGTTTTAGAAAAAGTAATAAATATGTGTATAAACAATAATCTTTACTTTTTGTGACTATTTTATTTATATAATTGTATTAAACTTATCGAAATTCAGTATGTTTTTAAAACAAATGATGTTCACAATCAGTCGAATCTATCTTTACTCCATTAACTATGGATACATCGTCAGCATACTATATATATGTTATATTTGAATATATCCTCAAAAAATTGAGTACACAGACACACAGTAAAAAGTCATGTCTGGAAACAAAGTGTACGATATTTCTCCAGAAGATCGTGAAGTTAAAGAATGGAGGAATGCCAGACGTTTAGAATTAAGAAACGAATATTTAAGAGAGTTACAAGATCCTCGACGAGTTGAGCCAATTGTACGTAATTTCAATAGGTTAAACTAACCTATAAAATATTCACAATATTTAAAAGTATTTAAGTAATTATTAAAATGTTTAGTTACGATAGATGATTGTAAAAGATATATTTATATTTATATACATATATATATAGTATCATTTTATTTTCATTTTTTAGTATTATTATCGTTATTACTTAAACATATTAAAAGTATTATATAATACTGTATAATGATTATACAAGTATACTTTTCTGTAATCAAAGTTAAATAATATTATTTAATTATAGTTAGATAGAGGATGGCAAAGATTTTATGCTACAAGAGTACAACTAGAATATATTTTTAAACCAACTCTCTATAATAGTTTGCTAATGTATGCTGTGGTAGGAGGTTTGATATGGGGTTCTGCAATAGTTTTAAAAAATTCTAGGGTACGTGTTAAATGTTAATAATGCATATTTCTTTCTTTCTTTTTTTTTTTTTTTATACAAATTAACTTATTATTTTTAGGAATCGAAGGAAAAGCTTTATCGTACAGGTCAGATATCGTACCAGGATAGAATGTTTAAATTCCAGTAAAGAAAATGCCTTTTGTGGTAATGCAGTTCAGTAGAACAATATTACAACAACAACAAAAAATAAAATAAAATAAAAATGTAATATTGTACGTATGAAATTATTGTAACTATAAATTGATTTTACAACATATTATACATGTTTACTGTAATTATTATATCACATTACAATAAAATAAAATTAATCGTATAAATAATCTTTTTTTATTATCGATCTTCAAGTTGTTTATCACGCGCTATGACTGCATCATCAAATTTTACCATATAAGTTGTTCCTTTATGCCAATGAGCAGTAACTTTTGCTGGCTGTAATGAAAACAAAAATATGTAATTTATATAATTTATGTATATCATTTAAAAAAAATATATACTCTCTTGTTAATATTATACTTACAAAACCACAATCGCAAAGAACAGCTTCAACTATTCCAGCTATAAAAGATGCACAATTTAAACTTCCCTTATCCTTTGGAACAGAGATAAATTTATTTACCAAAGCTTCTTTTTCAATAATATAATATGTCCGTTCATCATCGTTAGCATGTTCTAACTTATCAGCTTCACGACCAAATAATGACTTCCACAATGTACTTTTAATGAATAGTAATATATTTAAAAGTTTAATTTCACGTTTACCACCTTTTTCTCTTACGACAAGAAGATCAGTAACTCTGTGTCCAATCTCGGCACCTATTTCAGCTAACCTAATTGTTTAAATTCAAATATAAGTTTATTTAGAAAATGAATATTTTATACAATGATTACTTACTTATTTTGTAATTCTGGTACAGTATAAACTCGATTTTGACAATATTGTACAAGTTCTGAAAATAAAAGAGCAAAGCAACTTAAGCTAACCTCTCCTTTCCCTTTACTCAATGATCTATCAAGTATACTTGTTCGTGGCCGAACTGCAGAAATTGTAATACTTGACATTATTATCAAATTTTACTTTTTCAAAATATACTTAGTCATAAATATTTTCTTATGTATATGATAATTATCTTACAATTATTAACGATCTGACAGTAGTTTCAAAACAATTCATTAAGGCTAGTTCATAAACCTAACGTTTGATGTCAAGTAAGCACCAGTGAAGCCAGATCGTGGAATATTTTTACCCCTTCCCTCGAGCCCAGCACACCTCGCACACAACGAAATGTTACGTGTCGGTGTCATCTCTTTCTATAATATTTGAATTAACAAAAGGTTATTTATATATGTAAAAATAAATGTTATATTTATATTATATTACAATAGTACATTTTTAGGATATATGTATATTACAAAATGCGTATAAACTTTGAATTATTTTAAACTGATAAAAATTCGAAGCCATTTCCATATATAAACAAAAATATATCGTTAGACCTGAAATAATATTGTTATTTTAAAATTAAATTATTATTTTGTTAGAAATGTTTTTAAACAAAAACAAAACAAAAAATATTAAAAATATAAATGTCATCTCTCTTACTTCATAGAAGTTGATAATACCATTCCTTGTACATCTGATACAGATGTAAATTCAGTAGACAATAATTGTGCTAATATTTTATTATTATTATAGGAATAAGTATGTATAATAACTTGTTGATCTATACCAACGCTGAATATTTTGTTATTTGTTATCTTAACACCTGTAAATAAAGTCAATTATGATATTCTCTATTGTACTATATTCGTATGTAATACAATGTTAAACCAATTGCATTTTACAGACCTGTAATTTGTGCGTAATGTATAGACGAAATGTTGTGTTTAGATAATATTTCTACAGAAACAGTTGCGTCTTCTAAAATACAAATTTGAAATAGAACAAGACAAAGGAGATTGTCATCGCCTCCAGTAACTAGAAGATACTTATCTTCAGTTATAGTTTTCAAATCATAACTATTTATTCCTGATTGATGTAATTTCATTATTGCGAAAGGTATTATGTCAATGTTTTGTAGATTAGAATTACCAGAGATCATATTTTTAGATGCTTCCAAAAAAATGTCAGTAAAATTATAATAACGTACAATACCATCGGTTGACATTGTCATTATAATTATAATATTTTTCAATTCTAAGACATGAACTTTTAAAATGCAACGAGCAGTACATTTGGTATATAATATAGGATTGATATCTTTTTTAAAAATGTTATAAATGAATAGCCTACAAAAATATAAATAAAAATTAGTAAATAAAATAATCATAAATATATAATGTAATAAAATAGAACATTTTGTTTTTTCGTTATGTATATATTCACCTTAAATATCCATCACCACAGGCTATAACTAAAAATATGAAAGTTGACTTCAAAGAAGGACAATAGACCTTAATATCCATATAACGGGTTTCAGATTCAATAGCAAAAGTTTGTTTTGCTTTTTGCATTTGTTTTCTACGATTCTGATCTAAACCAAATAACATGTGAGAATTCAGATCAATGCAAGAAACGTTATCGTTGGATAACACATCATCATCATCATCCCATCTAATATCTATTTGCCAACATTTTATTTGAGCTCTTCCACCGCATGAGAAAATTAAATATGTACTAGTCAAATCTGTGTTTTTTAAATTGAAAATAGCTATAGACTTTATACTTGAAATATGTCCATCCATAATATTTAATGTTTCAAATGTATAGTCTTTTCTTTTTAATTCTGATTTATAAATATGTGTAAGACGAAGTTTACAATCTTCACCTCCAGATACATAAATTTTCTGATCGAACAAATTTATTATAGGTTGTACATTGTAAATTTCTTTTACATGAAAACCATTCTGAAATAACGCAAAAGTGTTGTATATATGGATTTATGATAATACTGTTTAATATTTATACTATGTTTAATACATACCAGTATAGTAGGTGTAGATAAAAACAGAGAATTTAAATGATGACTGGATAAATAAATTTTCTTATCTCTAATATATGCAAATTTAATATTTTCATTTAATATCAGACAATCCACAGATCTGTGTCCACCTCCACAAGGATATTTTACTGCTATTCTTTGATGATGCAAACTGTATATTATAAATTCAACCTGCAAAAAGTTCTTTTAAATTCATTGTACGTATTATTTTTTTTATATATATAAATAAATAAATAAATAATTATATACTTCTTTAAATCCAGTTATAAGAACATCATCATTAATATTTAATATATTACTAATCCAATCCATTGGCATTTTTATGGAATATAAAGTACGTAAGTAGTTTCTATTGTTCTTCATAAAAATATCATAAAATTTTATCATGCCATTGCGTCCTGCTGTCATCAATTTCTTGTTCAATACAGCACATAGTTGAACACCTATTTTTCCATGAACTTTATAAATAGTTTGTATTGGTTTACTGATATTTTTATCTACATTTGTTTTGCTTAAAGATTGATCGTGCGTTTCAAAAATATAAAGATTTCCTGTTCTATCTCCACAAACAAGTAAATTTGTATAAATTATAGCTGCTGTTATCCAACCTTCTCGAGAGTATGGTAGTATATATTCACTATGAATATATAGTTCATCTGTTAAACAAAATTGTATTTAACATAAACTATATAATAGTTATTATATAAATAAATATTTATTTAATATATGTACTGTTAGGTGTAATGGCAAGTATTAGTAAAGAACCATTTTCTCCACAAACTAGCATTCTATCATTCTTCAACCATTGCAAAGAGAATATTTTTGATTTCATTATTTTTTTCTCCAATATCTGATGCAAGTATTTTTTGTTTTCTTTGTTTATTTCTAAAACAAATATAATAATAATATGAAAGTATGAACATATGTGAATAATAATCAAATTTAATAAATATAAATACAAACACGTACCTGTATATATAGTTATATGTCCATATCTGGATGCAAAGCTAATATAGCATCTACACGACGAAACTTTCATTATGCAATAAGAACTATATATTTCTAAATACGTTGATTCTCTAAGATGCAATGCATCGTCATAACATTCTAACATGCCTCCATCGTGAAATATTATTAAAGTTCCACTGTTTAAATAAGTTACATATTTAGGAATACGAGAAGATGTTTTAAATGATGATATTATCTGTAAATTATTGTTCGGAGTACTTATAAATGGCCACATGTGTACTGCGCCATCAGCACCACCCGTAAATATAATTTTATTATCTTCTGATATATGAATACTCCATATCCGTGCCCCATGATGTGCAAATAATTTATTTAATAATAGACCATTTAATGACCAAATACATATCAACGAATCCTAAGATATTTAATAATGATATTAATATTTATATTTTTCGTTGTATCATTTGAAGGAACGCACTTACCTCACCTATTGTAAAAAGAACGTCATTTCTGATTATGGCTCTCCAAACTCTAGCAGCATGACCAAACATTGTTTTAACTAATTTGATTTCAACATTTTTCCAATCGATATTATTTTGACAATCTAATGTATTAGATTTGTTTTCTATAACTTTCCATAATCTAACTGTTCTGTCATCAGATGTAGAACAGATAAAAGATGTGTTTGGATCATAAATGACAGAAAAAATTACTCCCTGTCAAAATTGATTAAGGATTATTATAATAAAACTATTTTGATCATTATTATAAATCTATAAATATTGATATATAATTAATATTATAAATTTATATGAATATTAATATTCTTATACTAACTTTGTGTCCAATTAAACGATGCAATATTTTCGCATTTTTATCATGATCAGTTGCATAGTCTAGTTTCCATATTAATATCTCCTGAAATACAGTTCCACTAAATATAACTAAATCTTTTATCGTTTCACCTGATATAGATCCACCGTAGCTACGTATAAATTCAGAAAAATATCTTTCAAACTGCTTCGTAGTTGAATTTAATATATAATATTAAGGATACAGTATACATTTTTCCTCACACCATGTTTCTTCATATTTTTTATTAGAAATATCATATACGTATACGTTATTATGTGCAAATAAAATAATTAAAAATATTCGTTTATTAATGGTCAAGCATTTAACAGCTATTATCCAATCGTTAAACCAAATTGTTTCGATAATTTGTTTCATCCTGGAACAAAATAAATCATCGTAATTTTGAAAAACGTAAGAAAATGTAAGAAAATAAAAACAATATATATAAATACTTACGATATTGTATTATTAATTTTATCAATATCATATATACACAAACATTTGGCACCAAATAAAATTATACAATTATTAGACGCTTTAACAATGCCATGTATATTATTTGAATAAAAATTCAACTTATATTCTAATTCGTAAACATCACGTTTTTTGAAAACATGTAAAAAACATCCTATACCTGTAAATAATATTCAAATAAATTAATTACGAGTATTTTATTTTTAATAAATCTAAAACAAGAAGTTTAAAAAAAAAATTGATGTTTAATGTTAAAACTAACCTACAAATACATAATCATCCATAGAATGTATAGCAAGTACATCGGTAGATAATAATTTTGAAATCATTTTAAAGAGAAAATGATCACATTTATTTAAAGGTATAGTAATTTATGTTTTTATAATTTATTAACAATTAAACAAAATTTAATAAACATATCCATAAAAATATTGAGATAAATTTATATACAATAAAAGCATGTATGAACACACACGTGAATTTTCGACATTTAAAAAGTCGATTAGTAACTAGTCGATACTAGAGACCCTGTCGATACTAGGGTCCCTAGTCGATACATATCAACAGATAAGCATTGCAAAACTCGAAATGACCGAAATCGATTGAACGTAATCAATCGAGAATCGCACTAAACTATTCTTTTTTTTTTTTTTTTATTATTGCGTGTAAGATCATCAGTACGCGTGACGTTACGTTGACAGTCGTGTCGAATTTATTTAACTAAATTTTCTACATTACTCTTGATTTGTCATAATAATATAAATTAATAAAATTAAATTAAAAATTTTATCAATGCACCACACTGAATATGATTACATTACTTCAATTCAACTAATACATGATTATTTAAGGGATCGTAGAAAGGTCCTTCGGTAAAAGAATGGTAAGTAACCTATAATTGTATTTAATATGTTTTATATACTTCTTTTTTTTTTAATTAATTTATTGCTTACTATTAAATTAAATGTTTAAAAAAAAAATATGGAGTTATCAAATGCGATTGATAATTTATTGGAGTTATAATAACGACAAACAAACAAACAAACAAACAAACAAAATGTCCTATTATCTTAATTTTCTTATATTTTAATCAATTAATTTTAATTAGTAATTGTGTTTACTTTATTACAAATATTGATTACAGTTGAGGTGACATTTCTAGTTCTGCCATGCGGAACAGGTCAGTTGGTATTATTTTTGGATCTCTTGTCTTATGGGGTGTGATTACATATTTCTTATTTCTTGATCAACCATCAAGCAAGGATCACGGAAAGGTAATTTATTCATTCATTGTTGTATTACTTTTTCGTAATTCAATCATTTATATATTTTATAATAGTGAATAATTTTATAATGATAAGAACATTATTATAAAACAAATTAATAGCAATAGATTAATTGAACTAAATTTACATTTACAACTTATTCATATGAAAAATGATACAATTAATATTAAAATGTAAAACATGAATTTTCATGTATGAAATTAATAATAATAATAATAATATTATTATTTGTCAATAGCAATATAAAATTTCCAAACAAATTACCAAATTGGAAGAAAGACTAAAACATCAAATTGCAATAAATCATGAATTTTTTCAAAATTTTGAAGAAACTCGTAAAAGTAAGTACATAGAACAATCTAATTTAAGTTATAACATTTAATTAATTTTTAATATTTGAATGTAATTTATTTCTTTTTCTTTTTCTTTTTCAGAGTTAAAAGAAAAATTTTCTATTGCTCGTCCAGAAATAACCATTCCAAATATTAATCAATTACATAAAATTAATGTTGAAAAAGTCTTTGAAAAAAATGTTGATACAGAGAAACGGACAGATTCTAAGGATTTTCAATATTCTACAAAGGTCTTTGTACAACTTATGATAGATCCTAATCCTTACGTCTAAATAATTAAGTTTTTTATTTATTTATTTTTTTTGTTTGTAAATAATATTTAATCTTCTTATATTAAATCAATTTAATTGTTTTGTTTTCTTTCTTACAGACAGAAGAAATAATGAAATTAAAAAAATCTTTACCTAACGGAGATCCAATAATAGCTGTACTGGTCTTTTCATGCAATCGCATTACAGTTCAAAGATGTTTGGATCAATTGATAAAATTAAGACCTAGTGCATTGCAATTTCCAATCGTCGTGTCACAAGATTGCGAACACGAACAAACTGCAGAAGTTATTGCTAAATATGGAGATCAAATATTGCACATTCGGGTACAATTTTTCTAATTTATATCATAGTTCTATAAAAAAAAAAATAAAGATTTTATTACTATGAAAATACTATATTAACTAGGTATATAATTTTTAATTGTTTTTTTTTTTTTTACATCATCAGCAACCTGACCAATCAGATATAGACATTCCTCCTAAAGAGAAGAAGTTCAAAGGATATTTTAAAATTGCGCGCCATTATGGATGGGCATTAAATCAAATATTTTTTGAGCTCGGATATGAAACAGCAATTGTGGTAGAAGGTTACTTTCTCTTTATTATTTATATATATAAATATAAATAAAAAATATATAGATGTTTTAATCTATATTAACAAATGTTTAGACGATTTGGACATAGCTCCTGATTTTTTTGAGTACTTTTTGGGTACTTATCCTTTGCTAGTATCTGATCGTTCCTTATGGTGTGTCTCGGCATGGAACGATAATGGTAAATCTGGTCTGGTGGATGAGCATGCACCACACTTATTATATAGGACAGATTTTTTTCCTGGTTTAGGCTGGATGTTAACTCGCCAGTTATGGCAAGAGCTTGCACCTAAATGGCCCAAATCGTAAGCAAAATATGCTTATTAATAGTACTCCTTGTTGTCGATCAACTTCTTATTTCAAACTGTATATATATATACGTAAATAGGAAATAAGGTTTTTTTTTTCTAAGTTTATAATGTACATAGAACAAATTAGACAAAAAATATTCAATTAGATTTAAAGATGATATGTTCATTAGCATATTAATGTCAGAATTATTTATGTAAACTATATTTCATTTATATTATTATAGGTATTGGGATGACTGGATAAGACAACCAGAACAACGGAAAAATAGAGCCTGCATTCGGCCAGAAATATCGAGAACAAGAACTTTTGGGAAAATTGGAGTTAGCAAGTACGTTACATTATTTTTCTCTTTACATTACAAGAAATAGTTATTATTATTTAATCATAATTTTCTACGTATTAATATTTTCAAATGTTACAATTTTATATTGTTCTTATTTGTCTTTTTTACAGTGGATTATTCTTTGAAAAACATTTGAAATTTATCAAGCTGAACGAAAAACCTGTGCCTTTTACGAAGATGAATTTAACCTACTTGCTGAAAGTAAGAAATCATTTATTATAAATTGAATAATACTTTTTTTTTTTTTATAAATAAAGAGTAAACAAATTTTCTTTTGTTTTATAGATAATAAAAATATAATTGTTAACCCTTTCGCTACTATGGGTTACTATAGTCACCACCCATCGCATCTCTTACAGAAATAGAGTGCCAAAAATTAAGCCAGATTCTCTTCGCAAACAATTGCAAACGCTATTTTTTACTTGTTACTTTTTAAAAGTAATGTTACTAAGTTGTTTTTGTAAACAAAAGTCTTGACTACGAATGTTAAAGACTGTACGGTGCTTAATGTTCACACTTTCAGCACGGTATTCCGTTTCACGCAAGACACTCCGCTGCTGCGAGGGTCACAGTAGCGAAAGGGTTCAAAATTACTTTTATCAAATTTCATAAAATGATTATCTTTTCTAGGATAATTATGATGTATCTTTTATGAATGAAGTATATAACTCTAAGGTGATTACTTATTCAGAATTAAAACATGGACATGCAACAACACCAAGTCCTGTTAGAATATTATATTATTCACGACAGTTGTATAAAAATACCGCAAAAATGCTTGGTTTAATGGATGATTTTAAGGTAAAATAAGAAAGAAGAAGAAAAAAAAAAAAGCTATATGATGACTGTTAAAAGTCCCTGTTAAAGTGTAAAAGTCACTGTTAAAAGTGACGTTCTAATTTACTCTGAATATTTCAGAGTGGCGTACCAAGAACCGGATATCGAGGTGTTGTTACATTTTTCTACAATGGTAGAAGAGTTCATTTGGCACCAGCTATGAATTGGAACGGTTATGATATAACATGGAGCTAACACATAATAGATCATTATGATTTGTAGATTCTACAAATATCATAAGGATCTATCCTTATCATTTTAATAGACTGAATGAACATATGAGTCACAAGGGATTAACAATAAGTCTATAATACCAAATACTTATTAAATAAACAGCAAGAGCAGAGCTTCCAATGCGTGCACATCGTTTCTCTTATGAAGTCTGAAACTACTATTCATTTCATGATGCTTTATGATGAAAACAAAACTAGTTTAATTTAGAGAAAGAGAAATGCTGAGTGCCTCAAACGTCATACCCACCGTTTATATGTACATATATAAATTAATTAACTCTAATTATATGTACATTGTAAATACAATTGTATTGTATCTTAAATATCAATTATGTGGATATTTCTTTTATCGGCAACAAGTTTTATGCATTTATGCCATGTGTACAGGCCGACATAATTGAATTTTCATTTATAATAAAATACAGGTGTTGTTTTTCCTTTAATTTCTTATGCTTATAATTACTTAGGATGTTGAAAGATAAAATAGAAGGAAGGGTAATTTATATTGATTAAAATTTCTATTATTGGTGTTAATATATTCAAAATTTTTACAAGGGTTATAACTTTATATATATATATAATATAATATATATATATATATAATAAAAGGTATAATGTATAAAATAATTTTTTGTTAATTATTATGTTAATGTCTAGTCGAAGTTTAATTTTACTATATATTATTTGACAAATAAATTTACTTTACAAATAATATATGCTTTTGTTTTATATATATATATATATGAAACGAATAAAATACCTTCATTTAATGAAATTTATTCGTCTACTAAAGTTTCCATATAATAATACAACAATGTACGAATAACAATTGTATATTATTGTAATGCTGTATAATGTTAAATAGGATTAATACAACTTCTAAATGTTGACTTTACTAAATAATGAATAATTTAAGAAAAGTAGGACCTGCTACCAAATTTGCTAGGATATTCAGGTTTTCCTTCTGGCAATGGTGGTAATGCATTTGGAAATTCAGTAGGCTTGTATTTAGGTTTCGGTCTTTGAGAATCATGTATTTTAGTTTCACAGAAATATCCAAAATAAGGTCGTTTAATATTGAGATTATCCAGCACACATTTATCAACAACTGCTTGAGTTTTTCGACACCTATAATTGAATAATTATTTTTAATCACGTATAATATTTTGTTTATAATTCTTACTAATGGTTCTAAACGTCTTACTGGCTAAACTCCATCTTTCCTGATGATCTTTCTAAACAAGTAACATATTGTTCAAAATCTTCTCTGCAATGTTTCTTGAGTTGTTTAAAAAATTCCATACCACAAGCCGTCAAAGCTTTACCTTCTTTTAGACAAACTCGTGCATCTTTCTCTTCTTCTCTGCATAACATGAACTCCTAAACAAGAAACACAAAATTATTGTTAATAGGGATAAAAATTCAACAAAATCATTCTTCAAATCTTTATAAAAGAAAAATAATATTTGTAATTATAATAATTTTCTTCCATGTTGATTTTGTTTAAAGGAAAAATATTTTTTGAGGTTATCAAAGTTAAAAATTGTTACATAACTTCTAACATTATAAGTATAATACATGAAATAATTTAAAAATTATTTACATTTCTTTCCCATTCACACTTTTTACCCATGTAAAAAGAAGCTGCTTGTAAGACAGGATATGGGACATTTAATTCTGGAGTAATCAATTCAGAATCATCGGGTAATTTAACTTTATCTGTGACAACCATCTTTTAATAATAATAATAATTTTTCCTTTTGTTATCAATGATTCCGTATCGATACTATTTTATGTTTATACAATCTTCTATAGATTATTGTCAAAGTGTTTAGAAACAAGTGTATATTTTCTAGCTTTTGAAACTTAATGTCACTTCTTAGTTTCAACACATGCTTAACTGTGATAACTTAACAACTTTACTACTACATGCATTGAAGTCTATTCCTTATGACTAAAAACATATTAATTGAGAGTTGAAAGTACAACTCATCCGATGTATTTAACTTTCTGTTAATGCGATTGTTGATAACAAAATCATTTTTATATTAATAATTACAATAAAAGAAAAAATTATATATACATATATATAATACATATATACGTATACATATATACATTTATATATGTAATTTATGTATTACAGCATAATAAGCGTTATTTTAGAGACCCTTTAGGAGGGACGCGCCATACATATTGCTGGGGTTGCTATTGGCTGAAAATTTGGGGGGACAGCTTCCGATGCAACGCGCAACCATGTTTATCTTTAGTATGTTTAAATAACGGCTGTGATTAGTTTAAGTTTGGAATACTTATAGTTTTTATTGTGATATTTATATTTAATTGTTTTTTTTTTAGTAATTTTCTATAAGTGTAAGTTTAATTTACTCATTTAATAATTACAAGTATAAATGTACAAACCTAACCTATAGCTTATCGTTTGTTTACAGATTAAAATGTTTGAATCATTCGCGCGCAATCACGTGACTACATAAGTTCCTGTCCCCCAATAATTCTTTGGCACGTCCCTCCTATAGGGTCCCTATATTATTTTGTACTACAGTGCCATCTGAACGTTTAAATCTTTAGTAAATTGTAATAAGCTATAAACAACATGAAACTGATCCTTCCTTTAAAGAATTATTATTAATTTTTATTATTGTTCTCTATAATATGTCTATATAATTATGTTAGTTTACAATTAATATATATTTTATAAATGACCTAATATAATTTATTATTAAATTAAAAATACTATTGTTTGTCTTGAATAAAATTATTTTTTTTTTTACAATCTTCTCCTGCCATATATATGTTATTTGTGACAAAGGGGAGGCTTTAGTGTAAATTCGTGTACGCCCATATAATAAATAAGAATTTATTGCTAACTTTAACAATGTCAGTTTCTGATGCCACTGTTATTTTTGCTAAACTGGAGGCTCTTAAAGAAATCAGGTTTGAACTTTTCTATATTTATATATTTCCTTATTTTTTTTTTTTGTTTTAATTGTGATAAACAAGAAAATAAATACAAATAAAATATGTACTTTTTAATCAATTTTTCTATTATTTCATTATTTTTATATATATATATATATATATATAAATTGTCTAAACTGTTGTTATAGAGCTAAAACTGTACAACTGGAAAAACTAAAGCAAAGAATCTTGCAAGAGGTCGAACAAACAGAGCATGAGGAAAAATGTTTATTAGAATATAAACAAGAAATGGATTTACTTATGCAAGAAAAAATGGCACATGTTGAGGAATTGCGTCAAATACACGCAGACATTAATGTGGTAAAAAAAAAAAAAAATAAAGAATTATTGTATAAGTTTCTTAAATGTAGCCTAATTTTTTTTTTTTGTATAAAAGATAAATATCTTAATAATACTTTCTACTAAACCATCAAATATATTTCATATATATTTGCATGTATTATATTATCATAGATGGAATCGGTGATACACCAAGCAGAAAAAGCAAGAAACAGATCACGTGAAACTGCCAAACTTATACATAATAGTAATTATCAACCATTAAAACATGATATCGATAGAATGCGTAGAGAAGTATTAGGTTTAGAAAGATTACCAGAATTATATGAAACAGAGTCGGATCTTATTTCTCCTGAGTAAGTATAGTTTTACTATTTATCAATGATAAGAATAATAATTGACATATACTCACACATATATATATAGGTAATATTAATCAATTTTTAAACATTTGTGTTGTCAAGAGTAAATTAGATAAATAAAATTTTTTATCGTGCAGACGGTTTATTTCCAGTTATTTTGAAAGACCGATGCAAAAAGCAGAATGGAGAGTAGAAGTACGTGGCGATGATTTATTACCTCCACACAGTTTACATCATCCTGGTCATCCAGGTGGTTCAGCATCCTTTCTTGCTCCTCAACCTCTTCAAGGACCTAGTAAGCCAGAGCCTAGACCATTGCCCCCTGCTCCTGGCCCACCTGCTCCAACATTCAGGTACCACTGGTATATCTCCAATTTAATCTATATAATATATTTACATGTGTATATATACACGTTCACAATAACACTGTGTAATTATATAATTTCATTATTATTAATCATTATATTTATTGTGATTTTATTATTTTAGGCAACAACCACCACCAATGAAGTCATGCCTTTCATGTCATCAACAAATTCATAGAAACGCACCGATCTGCCCTCTTTGTAAAGCTAAATCTCGATCACGTAATCCGAAAAAACCAAAGAAGAAAGATTAATTATAGTTGTATATTTTATTCATAAGATGCATGTGTGCTTTTTGATTTGATTTTTTTTTTTTTTTTACTTTATGGTAAATAATTCATTTAACAAATTGATTAGAAAATATCACGAATCTGATGATATATGATTATAATATAATTTTTTATTTTATCTCGAAATCAAGGGTGGTATCATCGTTGATATCGGAAAATTTGTTTTAAAAATATTTTATTAATATTTTAATGTTCATTTTATAATATGTTATAAAAACAATAGATAAAATCTTATATAATTTAAATAATGAAGGAATTAATAAAAGTATTATTTAATTATTTATATATATATATATATACATAGAGATTAATTTATAAGGTTTTTAATTTTAACAAGAATCTCTCTCTCTCTCTAAGTGTAATAAAATGTAACAAAAATATACTTTTTGTATTTGAAACTTTACATTAATATAAACACTATTGCACACAATAGAAAAAAAAAAAAAATAGAAATAACTAATCACGTTTTATTTTTGTTCAACCATTTTTTTTTTTATTTATAATAATGTATTACTTTTATATATATATATATATGTGTAACAAGTTTTATTCTTTAATGTATAATTTTTATATATATATATATATAATATAAACAAATTTTCTAAAAATATTGTTCATGTAAAAATTATTTTTTTCACAATAAAAAATTTGTACAAGGTATATATCTTACATTAAAGCAATATGTCCCATGTAAACAATAATATATTTCAACATCAATAATATTATCTTTTAATATATATATAACAAATTATTTCGTATAAATTGCATTGTCATTAAAAATTATATTATTTATTATAATTTCTATATATATATATATATAGTTATACCTTTCTCTAGTTTTGATCAAAATACACATCTTTTGAATTGCATATTCAAGTATCACATCAGAGTTAATATATAAGTACATTCAAATTTAATTATTTTTTGGCAAGAAGAATATACTCAACAATATTTCAAACTTATTTTTCTCAAAAAAGAAAAGGATCTTATATAAACAAATTTCATTTTACCTTTTTCGTAAAATGTTTCTTCGAGTTAGAGACAAAGTATACAAAGAGTAATTATTAGTTCATAAGCTTTGAAAAATTATATCTATGATTATATACAATTAGTCTTTCATATATATATATATATATTGTATATATTTTTTTTTTTTTCTATAAACTTTATCATATAATAAAAAAATGTAAATAAGCATCAAAATGTATTGCATCTTTTATATCATATAGTAATATCATGTTATTTACGTATAATTTGTGGTAACAGTTGAATATTTTTATTCACATAATAATAGTAGAATGCAAATAAAATATTTGATGATGAACACTATCGAAGACTCGAATATCAATTTTATTTTCTATAATGTTTTTTTTTGTTTTTTTGTTTTTTTAAATGAGAAAGTAAATATATGTAGGAAATTTTTGAGTGTAGAAAAATAAACATAGATAAACGGGTAAGAGACGAAAGAATATAATAGGACAAAGGGAACTGATAGTCGAAACACAGAAAGACGATGTGTGGTCCGTTCAAACAAATATTTCCTACATATATATATATATATAAAATGAATAATATGGTATCAAAATTGAAATTGCAACTTTCTCATAAGAAAATTTACGTTTTGTCATAATTTATGACAGTAGTATTACATTTATTCATTTGATTGATTTCCTCGTTATCAGATTTAACTTGAACTAAAGGTATTGCAATATCTTGTTTTTGTTCTTCTCCTATATTATTTTTGTTAATTATAGTCGGTGGTATTAAACGTTTATTAACTATCTGTAACCATACCATCGAAGCTATTAACATTAGTCCAGTAACACCAAAAGTATGATATGTTCCAAAACGTGTGTAAATCATGCTAACAAATACTGGTCCTAAAACTCTAGAAGCACATCCAGCACCTGTCATTAATCCCATCCAAACACCTTGTGGTCGTGGACCAAGAACTTTACTAAATATTGTTTGTATTAATGTAACTCCTATAGGATATCCAACACTAGTAAAACTATATCCAATAATAAATTGGGTTATAGTTAATTGCGGAGTATATTTGCACCATTCTTGAGTATTATGACATCCTAATATTTCTGTACCATTCTCATCCATAGTAATATTGTTAAAGGCTAAAAACAAATATCACACACAAATCATTTTTATAGAAGTTATATAAAGATATAATTTAAAAATTAATAATAATAATTATAAAAAATGTATTTGATTAAAAACTACCACCAAAGTCAGCTATCTTTGGAGGATCAGGTCCCCATGGAATACAAAATAGTCGTCCAATAACCATAAATAGAAAACCACCCCATAACATTAATTTTCTTTCAGCAATTCTACAAAAGTGAAAGTAATTTATATTAGAAATAAAGTTACGTATATTTTATATTGCAAAATATTCATTTACTTTTTACAAATAGGTCCAATCATTGCAAACGTAATACATGCTATTACACCACCAATACTCATTAACAATCCCAAATAATATAAAGATTCAGTTTTAGACCAAGCAAATTGATCCATCGTAAGAGGAGTACCTAATCTGAATACAAATAAAAATACGAATATGAATATAAATACAAATACAAATATAAATATAAATATAAATAATAAGAATTTAAATAATGAAATATACAGTGATTCAAACAATTGATCAAATGTTCTCACAGTGTATTAATTTTTACATAATTTTCGTAATTCACATAGTACTGAAATAATTTAAATATGTTACACATTTGAAACAAATCCCGGAATTTGTTAATTTCATTGAATTTTGCTTTAAATGACAACATTTGATCAATTGTTTGAATCACTTGAAGATCATTAATATTTTCTTACGTTTCTAAAAGGACAAAATTAAAAACCAAAACAAAAAAAGCACAAATCAATGTCCAAGCTGCTAAATAATCAGGCTTTATTGCTTTCCATGTTTCTTTTTCTGCAATATAAAATAATATTTAATAATAATAATAATAATGAATTATGATAAACAGACAAATAAGAATTTGAAAAAAAAAAAAAAAAGTAAAGAAGGTAATATTTTGTTCTTTAGTACCAGTAGTTTTTCCACCATTGCGCATAGCTTCTCTGATAGCAATTTTATGTTCTTTAAAGTTCCATGGTAAAAATAAAATAAAATTAACAATTCCCATAATAACGTTTATCCAACCAGTCATTGTATACATATTTAAAGGTAAACCTAAAAAATATATAGTTTTATCACCAAGAGGAGTAACAGCAGCTTGTAAGCCAGGTCCTACTACAAATCCTAAAACCTAAAATTTTAATAGATAATAAGTTTTCATTGCATAAGTATTAATTATGCTTAGAAATAAATAGAATTATTTAGCATGTTTGCTTGTGTGTGTGTGTGTGTGTGTGCTATACAAGAATATCACCTGTGCAAGCGTTATCATCGAAACTGCCTTAGTTCTTTCAGCGAGTTTTGTAGCAGCGGATAAATATGATCTAGCTACCGCAATATTAGCTGAAAATAATATTACAAAAAATACAATTAATTAAAAACCTATTAACGTTTGTATTTGTTTGTTCCGACTTGAATTAAAATAATGAAATGTAGAGTACATACAAACAGATTTTTAATACATTGTAATCCTATATTTTTGTTGTTCATTATATATATATATATATATTTTGATTCAAGTGTATTAATAGATGACACAAATAGATAGATAGATAGATAGATAATTGATAATTAAATAATTGAAAATTCATTAACCAGAACTAACTCCAACGAGGAATCTGGCACTAGCCATAAGAGCCTTTCTATCACCTGGTAAAATTTCTAGGACACTGTACATTGCTGATGCATAGATAAAAAGGAGTAATGTAACTAACAGTGGCAGTCTTACAGATCCTCTTTTATTACCCCACCAACCAACTAACGGAGAAAATAACATTTGACCTAAAGGATTAGCTGCTACTACATAACCCATATATTCTTTTCCTGCTGTACGGTCCAACTGTAATAAAAGTTGAATATAATCAATATACACTTATGTTGAATTTAATTTTTATTATTTAATTAAGTATACCTTATCCAAATAGGGCCAAACTCCGGTTAGAATTATACTAAATCCAAGAGACATAAGAAACATAGTGAAATAAATAACGTATATACTTCTCCATCGTTCTTTCTGTTCCTTGATTGTTTCTAAGTCATCTCTAATGGTATTAATGGGTTGTCTGAAAAAAATGTATCAAATATTTGCATTAACAAAAAAGTAAGGTTAATATTAACAGACATATCTTTACATTATTAATTGAAATAATACTTTTTCTTATATATTTTCCTGAGCCAGTCCATCAAAAAATAATATGTAAAATATCTCTTTAAAAAAGTATTTGTGATTTCCTAAAAAAAAAAAGAAAAAACAACACAATATTAAATAGATAAATCAAGTTTAATTCTAATGACTGTATTAATTATATTGATTAACTGATAAAATGAAAACTTGCTGAATATATCAATAGATTACATGTTACTATGCGAATAACAAAGAAATTGTATCTTTAAACACAATTCCAAATAAGATAACATGATCAAACAAAGGTAAACGTCAGATGTAATAATACTGCTTTAGCTATTTATATCAATTTATATTTATAAATTTAAACAAAATGGAGAGGAGATCATTTAATTTAATATAGATTAAAGATTTCTATAGTAGAATCTTACTTTTATGCTGGTGTATAAATAGAATTTATAAACGTTCGACTTAATATGATTTAAAAAAAAAATTCTAGAGAGGTTAAGTTGACATATTTACTTGCATACACTTGCATAATTGTTTTTTTTTTATTTATAAAAAAATTTTCTTATTAAATATTTAATTTGATTGTACGTTGATGAACATAAATATTAATGAATTAAATGTCATAAAAAAAAAAAACAAAAAATATGAACGCATTATTATCTATTCACTTTTATCGGAGGAAGGTCATGAAAATGCATTGATAATAAATTATAGTATATACATAAAATTGTCTTGAACTTTTCGAAGTATAGTGAAAAAACCTAGGGAACTCATGTCCACATATAATTGACATATATTTTAATCATAATGAATTTTTCTTCATTATAATAGTAAATATAAAAGTTTATTTTTAGATAAGAAATTATCAAATATAATTAACACTATTTGATAAAAATGCTAATATTAGAATTATTTTTGCAATTATGTTATCTTATTAAAATGTTTATTCACAATATCGTTTTTTTCTTCTTTTTTTTTTTAACAATTACTGTAATATTTTGTATTAATTGTCGTTAGTAAGTTGGTATATTTAACATTTTATTAACAATTTATTTCGTAATATGATATAACCATGATTGGATTTTATATTATCACAAAAGAAATAACAATTTGTAATTTTAGAAATTGACTGTCAATTTGTTTAATTTTTATTAAACATGCTAATCAAAGACGAAAGATGATTTGTTGTATCTTAATTTTTAATCAGTCTTTGTTAACAACGCCACAATTTATTTAAAAAAATAAATATTTTATTATATTTGAAATCCTAGTAAGTAATAATAATAATGTTTTAAAAATAATAATATTATTATTCATGCATATGTACAGGTATTATTATTCTCAATCGTCATCAGATTCATTAGCTTTTTTAGCATCATTTTCAGCTGATTTTTCTTCTTCTTCTTTATAATGTCGATATTCCGGTTTTAATTCCCACATATTTCTATGTGGATTTTTTAAATTATAATTGCACACTTCATTAAGAATTTCTTTTAAATATACCTACAATTAATATAAAACAAATTAATCAGATATAATATGTTAATTAGATTACAATCTTTTAGATTTGTAGAATTATTGATTGAACGATCTTATAACTTACAATTGGTTGGTTTGTAATTTTAACAAGATCTCTAATATTATAATACTGGTGTTTTTCAAATGCTGCAAAGAGCATATCAAGAACTGCATCTTTATTATCTCGCATTTTCTTTCCTTCTGCTTTCTTCTTTTCAGCATATTGAATCTATAAAATAAATCATATTTTTTGTCATAATAATACTGTATGTAGCATAATTAAAACTCTAATAAATAAATAAATAATACTTCTTACATTATGTTTGTGATCGGAGACAGGTTTGAAATTTTGCACTACCCTATCTAATTGTTGAACTTGCCTTTGTGGTACAGATGCCTTCTTTATACTTTCTAATTTTAATTTCATATAACAATTATCGGCTGAAAAAGAATAATAACAAGAAATTCACAATAAAAGATATATAATATACACTTATTATTTATTATATTATTCTGTTCATATAAAACATACCATATGGACGACATTCTAATTTTTGCACTATCCTTCCTTCCATATAAAGTTTTTCGCTTTCAGGAACAATAGTGTCAGATGTAACCGATGCTATGATATAAATCAAACAAATTCTATTCAAATTTTGTCATTACAGTTATTGAGTTTTACAGATATTATTTCCATTTATAATACTGAGAACCTTTGATTTAAAATCTTGCTATTTTGATTAGTAAAGTTAATCGAAATAATATTATATTTAAAGTACTTACGTGTAACATGAGAAAAGACTCCTAACATTTGTCGAGTTACTGTTGTAACGTCAAGTCTGTGTTGTTTCGGGATATCTTCTTCGCCTGGTTCTTTTAATGCTAAGACAGCTTCTGATAATCGAAGAGACACTTCTGCTTTTTGACCAGGATTCCTAATATATAAAATATAAGTTTATTAATTAATCATTTAAAACTAAAAAAAAAAACAAAAAATATAAATAAAATGTTATTTGAATTATAACCTTATAAAATCTTACTTTGTTATTTTTAGTTTTCCAACTTCAATGTTACCTGGTGCTTTTTCCCATTTATTTGCTATATATTTTGGAACTTTAACAAGCCACACACCACGTCCTGCATTACTTAAATCTAATTCCTTTTCTGTATGAGGACTATTAGCAGACATGATTTCTTTGAATATTTTCTTCAAAACGTAATAAATAAATGTATAATACAAAAGTATTAAGAAATGTATATCTTTTAATAAAAATAACAAGAAATCTGTTTAATATTGTATAAATATTTCACAATAATCTCACAATAGTGAAGGTGCGATATTAAAATGCAAGTGAAATTATAATACAAAATTTATAATTGTAAAAGGTTAAGGAGTTTCATACACCTTAACTTGTATATATATATATATTTATATATATGTATTTATTTTATTTTTATAAATAATACTTTAATAAATAATTTTACTAAAGATAAAATTGTATAGTATAACTGTAATAAAAAAAAATTAACAAAGAGTATTTCAGTTCAACAGTTAAACTTTAAAAAATGAACTTCTTCCATTTGTAACATCTATATTTTGTCACCTTCACAGTTTATTAACAGTAAAAGCTGGGGAAGCAAATTTGTATAATTCGTATACAGAACCATATGGTAGAAACGTATGACAGAAAGATAATACACAGTTATAAATTCGTAATACAACAGCAGCGTCATCTGTCAAATATTTCATCGTAGCTGTAGTAGCGCCTAATTTTAATTGGGATATAATCAAGAAATAAATATTTTAATAAATTTTATATAAACGTTTATTATTTAACAAAAATAATTATACATATACATATATATATATATAATATATATTAAGATTTATTTTCTATTTGACAAATAGCTACTTTGTTATATCCATATAATATAAATTGTTTTCCATTATAATGCCAATGAGCATTTAACGCTGTTATACTGTTTGGCGTGGATAAACATGTTGCTTTATCTGGTGTCCATTCAAATATATATGCACACTCACAGAAAACTAATAAATGAGTATATGCTGGATTCCACTTTATGGCTACACACACATACACACACACAAATATGAGAAATAATATTATTAATCATTAATAATTTTTATCACTGATTAAAAAATAGTTTTAATAATTTCATACCTGTAATATTATTTTGAAGTAATAAATAATCAATATAATCTGCAGTTAAATCCCATATCCATAATGTACTGGGATATAATTGATGTTTTATAGCTAAATATCTACCACACGAGCTATATTCTAAGATATCAATTTTAGCAATTGAAATTTGATTACCATTATCAATTTTACCAATTTTAATATTCAATGGTCGGTCATTTTCTTCTTCCACTAAAAGAACGCTTATTAAGTTCAATTTTTTTTTTTTTTTTTAGAAAATATAATATACAAAGTATAAATTACTTACGTGTATGTTTACTACATAAGATTGAAGGTTTAACTGAATGTTTAGAATGAACGACACATTCTTTATAAACTTTATTTAAGTAATTATTTTCAGAAATGACAGGCTCCAAATATAATTGTAAAATTGGATCCCATGTTATATGATTGAGAACAACAATCTATTTATCAAGCAAAATTATATTGTGGAGAATACAATTTTTATAAGAGAAATGTTTAATTAAATATAGTATAAAATTTATTATATCTATATATATATATATATATATTACCATTTCATTAAATCCAATAACTGCTAATAATTGACCACTGGTACTCCACTTAACATTTTCAATTCCTTTCAATTCTCTTACTTTGTCGTTTACTACATCAGAAATATTTTTACTTTTTAATGGAAAAAAAATACCAATATTTTTTTCTTTAAGAGTAGAATATATAATTAACTTTGATTCATCACTTAATGAACACCAAATACACAATAGATCATTATTTGGAGACCAACTAATGCCACTGATACTGTTCAAACGTTCACATATGAGTTTCTAAAAATATATTTCACATCTTTTGATCAATATTATATTTATTTTTAATTAATAAATTAAATATATACTAACTTATGCAATATTATAATAATAGTATTAAGGAATAATAATAATAATAATAATAATACTAAAAATAAATACAAATTTATCATGTATTTAAATTTAAATGCTAGTGAAAAATTATTATATTTCACCTAACCTGAAAGTTTTATAAAACACTAGCATATATTTCCTAGGGAATAATTCATCTACAGTATTGTTCCTATGACTTTTAAACTTGATCCTATAACCTTAAAATATTTCTACTAACATTTATTAATTATAATAGAGCAGTCAATTTATTTTCATATTTATCCCTTTCAAATATTTATAAACAATGACAACCTGTTATATATCTTGCGCTTGTAATCGTGTTCCACATTCAGTTGATTGGGGAAGAAATCAATTAATTTGTTATGCAGCATGCAACGCAGTGGCAATATATAATCCAGGAATATTCAAGATTGGTGTAGTTTTGCAAACACTTTGTGGTCACAAAAATCGAGTTAATACAGTGAGATGGATTAAATTTAGAAATGGAGATCCAGAAACAGAAATTTTATCATGTTCTTCTGATGGTACAGCAATTATTTGGAGTAAAATAGAACGTTCTTTTATGTCTACTTCTATTTTAAATGTGGGTGAAATTGTTACTTTTAGTAATTATTTATATCTTGATGATGCATCCAGTGATATAAATTACAATAAATTATTGATTTGTACCGGTTCAAGTACGGGAGACTTGAAATTATGGTTAAGGGATGGTGACAACAATACCACATGTTTTCAAACATTAACGTTTGGAAGAAAATTACCTATAGAATGTTCCATGTCATTTTTACCATATAATAATTATCCTCTAATGACGGTAGCTTTAGAAGATTTTTCAATTCAATTATTTACTTCAAATTTAAAAACAACAGAAAATTTAAATTTTGAAAAGGCTCAAATTTTACTCGGACACGAAGATTGGATTAGATGCATTGATATCACGAATGACGTAGAAGGAAATCTTCTAATAGCAACTGGTTCACAAGATGCCACAATACGTTTATGGAAAATCTCTGTAGACAAGGAAGAAAAATCAAACAAAAATATACTTGAGCAAAAAAAACAATTATTTGAAGTTAATGGAATGAAATACAATATTACTTTGGAATCTGTTCTTAGTGGTCATGAGGGTTGGATATATGGTGTACATTGGTATCCGTTGATAAAGAAAGATGACATCAATCATAATTCAGCTAAATTATTATCATGTTCTTTGGACAAATCAATGATTATATGGGAACCAGATCCTACTACTGGAATATGGTGTGAAACTGTAAGAGTTGGTGAAGTCGGTGGAAATTCTTTGGGTTTTTATACGTGCAAGTTTAGCCCAGATGGATTAAATATATTGGCACATAGTTTTCATGGATCCTTTCATATATGGCAATACTCTGACTCGGAAAATAATTGGATTCCAAGATATGCACCTAATGGACATTTTGGAGAAGTAGTAGACCTTTCTTGGGACCCAAAAGGAAGGTTTGTACTATAGCAAATATCTTCATGTACTATGAACAATTTTTCATCATTTTTATAATGTAAGATATGAAAATATTCTTATCGATGTTACAGGTTTCTCATCAGTACTAGTACAGATCAAACAACGCGAATCCATGCACCGTATAAAGATGGTTCAACAGAACTGTGGCATGAAATTGGTCGCCCACAAGTGCATGGATATAATATGGCATGTTTAGCAATATTAAAACCTTATACATTTGCTTCCGGTGCAGAAGAAAAAGTGGTACGCATTTTTATGGCACCGTCAAATTTCAAAAAATGTTTGGCACAGATTGCAGATACAAATGATTTTCAAAATATAGTAGCCGAAGGTGCTAATGTACCAGCACTTGGATTAACAAATAAAGCAATATTTGATACAGAAGTTAAAATAAATGAAGACTGTTTGAAGAAGAAAGATTACAATCCATCAACAGAGGAAGAATTAATGCAAGAAACACTTTGGCCAGAATTACAGAAATTATATGGACATGGATATGAAATATTTGCCATGGCTGCTAGATACGATGGATTATTGTTAGCTACAGCATGTAGATCAACTTCATTCGAACATTCCAGTATAATATTATGGGATACAAAAGAGTGGTCGCAAATTCAAAAACTATCAGCTCATCAATTGACCGTTACGCAACTTTCGTTTTCACCAAATGGTAAATATTTGTTATCTGTATCCCGAGATAGAAGATGGTCGTTATTTGAATGCAATGACAATTTATATAATTTAGTTGCGTGTAGTTCAAAACAAGATAATCTTCATTCTCGTATTATTTGGTGTTGCGCGTGGTCACACGATTCTTTATATTTTTCAACTGGATCACGAGATGGTAAGATTGGTATATGGGACGAAACCGTAAAAGAAAATAAACCTATTGTACCATTGAGTTCTGTTATACTCAATCAATCGATTACAGCGCTTTCTTTTGCTCCATCAAAAATAGGAGAATATTACATCCTAGCTGTTGGCTACGAAGCAGGTCACATTGACATCTATAAGTTTATATTAAATGCAGAGCATGGTTTGTATGAAAAATGTATGACGTACAATTCTGCGCAAGCTCATCATTTAACCGTGAGAAAACTTGCATTTAGGCCTCCTCAAGATAATACACAGAATAATAAATTACAACTGGCAAGTTGTGGATCTGATAATACCATTAAGATTTACAATATTGATATTTTACAAAATAAAGATTTACAATTCTATTAGAAATATAATTCTTTACTTACCCTGCTTATCTTCCAATGAGAAGTTTTATAAATGTCTACTGTCTCATGACCATTGTCTGTTACTATTACAGCTAATCGATCATCATTCGGACTGAACATTAATTTATTAAATACAGATGATTTCAAATTTGGTATATGTAATACGCTGTTATCTTCTAATGACCATATAGATATTTGAATCTAAATCAAAGAATAAGTACTTGACATATAATAATACACAATGAAGTATATATAATAAAACACGAAGCAATGAAAAATTTGAAACTCTATATGTTATAAAAAATAGTAAAAATTAAAAGAAGCATCAGACATACATTGAATTCTGATAAGGTGAGAAGATGCTTACTATTTGGTGACCAAGTAATGCTTTCTAAACCAGCACTGCCTTCTGTAAATTTAAATTTCCATTGTGGATAAATCAATGAATATACTTGAACAGTTGCTTTTGTTATATTAGCGCATAAAATATATTCACTATTTGGAGCCCATTCTATGTACTAAAAATTGAAAACAAATAAAATACATTTAAAATTAGGGGGGGAAAAATAGCAATTGTCAACAATTCGGTTATTTAAACTAACCTCTATTATATCTGAGAAAACGAATGACCGAAAAACATTCCACGTTTTAACGTCTTTTATAATTAAATTAATTTGAAATGCAATAGCTAAATATTTTCCATTCATTGAAAAATAACATAATTGATTATTAACGCGTAATATTTTGTCTTCTGTTTTTAATGACATCGCGTCGTTTTCATTTGATGTGCGGTTCGTCAAAGGCGACTCAGTTAGACCAACATTTTAATAAAAACATACTTTTTTTTTTTTATCAATGTTAATTAAATACGACTAAATAATATTTGCTATAATAAATAATTCCCGTTAATAAATATATGATATATTTAAATGTGGAATCATTTATAGGTTAATGTTATATGACACACACAAAAAAAACATAGAATTGTTTTGTTTTCGTGTATTGTCAGCAGTGAAATTAAAAAGTGACTGTTATAAAAAGCAAACTATAATTGTAACTGTGTAGTTTGAATGAGTGTTATTCGTAATTTTTGTTTAAGTTATATTTACCATTTATTTCAAACTATTGAAATAATTAAATAAATGTAAATATGATTAAAGATTTTATAATTCCTTTAAATAAGGATGAACTTTTAATATCACACGCTAAGCAATATTATGTTGAGAAAATAATTCCTCCTGGTATGGTAACAAAAGCTTTGGAAGGTAATTTTTTGATTATAAAATATATTATTTATATATATATATATATATATATAAATTTGCTTAATAAATTGAAAATAGATTTAATAAATATATATTTTTTTAAATTCTTTTAGAGAGTCGAGTTGCTTTGCAAAGAGATGGAGCAAGTTTTATTTTAAATTGTTTTGATACATTTTTTGCTGTTTTGGTCCATGGCTATAAAATAGAAATGCAATTGATTTTACTTTCTTTCAAAAGAATTTTTAAAGGTTTGCAATCATGTGATTCAAATTATAATGTTCATTTTTATTTCTAATAATTACATTATTAAACATATTTTATTTTAATAGGGATACAATTATTGGTAACGGAAATGGAAACAATTTTCGATAAAAATAAAGAAATAGAGGAAGAGGAAAGATTAAAGCTTTTATGCATCAATAAAATGTTGGCTTATTTGGTTTCCCAATTAATTTGTCACATTAATGAAAGATTGGTTAAAAATTCACAAAATGTGCAAAATTACGTAAGGATTTTATTTATTAGCATCAGCTTTATAAACAGTACAATAGCACTTGTCTCATTTTATAATAGGAAAATTTAAACAACTTTATTATGTTCTTTTTTATTCATGCGATTATCAGGTATTAGTAAAGTTAAGCATAACATTAACTTTGACTGAATCCTAGTATATTGTCAGTTGTTTACAATGATCAAATGTGGTTGGTCTTTTCGCCATAAAATCTAAAGAGTGTGACTATTTGTGACTTAAATGATTAATGCATATAATATAAATAATATACTGACTTTTTTCCTTTTTTTATATTTTATAGCGTAAAAAGAATACAAAAACTGATGAAGAGGATAAATGGGATGATGAGCGAGATAAAATATTAGAGCTTATATATCGATGGGTTCAATTGCCATTATTAAAAATTTGGAAACATTCAATTGTTGAAGATTCATTTGTAACGTAAGTTTAAGAAGAACAATCAGAATAAATAACAAGTTATTGCAAAAGAGTAATTTTCTATATATATATATAATTTTTTTTAGAGTAATATCACAAATATGTTACACTATATTAGAACATTGTAAGGATGCCAAACAAAAATCTATTAGACAAAATATTTTTGAGGTTTGATATTTCATATTTTATATTATCATCATACGCATACATAATTACAAAAGCTGATTATCTTGTTATTTTTTTAAACAGATTTTAGGAATTCTTGTTAAAAATTACAACCATGGTATAATTTGCATCGTAAGAATTGTTCAGGTATATATACATATATATATATTTTTTTTATTTAATTAATTTAAATAATTGAATAGATATTTTAATAATAAATAAATATGATAGTTAGTCAAATTGTGTGATACACTCCCAGTTTTTATGGCCAATGGTGTTGTACATATGGATGTTAAGTGTAATTGTAATGGTCTTGTAAAACAAGTAATAAAAGAGATTAATCAATCTGAACCAGCAGAAGTAGACTGTCGCAATATATCTACATTTTTGGAAAATATATCTACTTTGAAACCTGATATCATATTACCAGTCATGGATGATATATTAGAATATCTTACTAGTGAGGTAATATTTTGAACAAATATAAATTACTTTCGAATAGAATATTTTTAGTTTGTATTGTTAATTAATAGTTGAAATTTAATGATAATTTTTATAGTATTACATTATGAGGAACTGTGCCATTGGAATTATAGGTACGGTAGTCTTAAAAGTATTGACAAATGATGATCTTGATCAAAAACAAAAAGACCAACGAGATGAATGCCTTCATTGCTTATTTGAACATTTATTGGATTGCAATTCTTATGTAAGATCTAAAGTACTCCATGTTTGGCAAAATTTAAGTAACGAAGGAGCTATACCTTTAGCAATGCAAGGAAAATTATTGGGTGCTTGTATATTACGATTAAAAGATAAAGCTGCTAACGTTCGTAAACAGGCATTACAATTAATGAGAGCATTACTTCAAGGAAATCCCTTTGCTGCTAAGGTCAGTTATATGCAGATGCATATATCATATAAGTTATTTTATTAGAATATGTATGTATGTATGTAGATGGATGATAGTACATCATGTAATAAAACTGAATGGACTTATTTTAAATATTTATATTATATATTTTTATCTTACAGTTAGAGGAAAAAGAATTATTTACATCGTTGGAAAAGGAAAGAATAAAATTAAAAGAATTGCAGATACAATTTGCTAATGATAGTGAACGTGGAGACAGTGAAAGAGTAGCATTATGGAACACTTTTCTTCCAGATATAAAGAAAGCTATAAAGGAAATGATAAAAAGTCATAATAAAGATAATGATGAAAATAATGATGAAGATAATGATGGTAAATATTTTACATATATCATGTTCAAATAATTAATTGATCTTAATTATAGATTGTAGAATTTAAGAATTATATATATATATATATATATATTATCTTACAGACAATGAAGAAAAAGCAAAGGATGATATAAATGATCATATTGATTCAAACTTAGCGTTTGAAAAAATAAGAAAATTAATGTTGAACGAACAAATTTTTGACGCTGTTTCGTATTTATGGAGAATTTGTAAAACATTGGAAGATACTCCTAAAATAGAAAAATTACCTCTCGAGGTAAAGGAAGAATGTTTACTTGCTTTTTTATTTAAAATTTTCATAGAATCGGAGGATAAGATGAACGATGAAAATATGTCGCAAGAACAAAAGAAATTAAGGGAAGAGATTAAAACGCAAAAACGTCTTGTCAATTATTTAGAAGTAAGAAATTAGAATTCTTTATAATTATTGTATATATATATATATATACATATATACTAATTATAACGAAAATTAATTATTATTATTATAATTGTCTGTTAAAAAAAAAAAAGAATTCTTTAGAATTTGCAAAAAAATTTAAAGACGCATTACCTGCGGTAGAAGCGTTACTTTTTTCTACAACATCTAGCGATGCTATTGAAGCATGCGCATTATTTGGCTCAGCTTGTCAATTTGGTGTAACAGGAGTATCAACTACAGTCTGTAAAGCATTGTTCCAAGTACTTCACAGTGATCCATCAGTACGCAAAAATTTAGCTACAGTTTATAAAGAAGTATATCTTCATAGCAATGAACCTCAAAAATCATCTAGACAAGCAGCTATTACTCGTGTAAAGTCTTTAATTAATTTAGTGAAACAACTTCAACCCGGACAGGGTACAGCTTTGCAAGAATTGATTAATATATGGTATAAAGATGAAGAAATAAATGAAGAAGCATTGCAGGTAACGTCATTATAAATCAAATCAATGATTTTTAAACATATAACTTTGATATTTATGTATGTGTTGTTATGTGTTATTAAATAGGTATTATGGGAAATATTTTCGATGAAATTACCTGGTACAAATTTGATAGAGAGCAGAGCTGCTTTAATATTAATAATGATGATAGGTGAAATCGAGAGTAAAATTATAGTTGAAAATTTAGATGTATTAGTTAAAATTGGATTACGATCGAGAGTAGAGAATGATCTTCTTTTGGCTCGAGATACTTGTAGAACTTTAAATAAAATCAAACAGGAGAATACAAACATTGAGACTACTCCTGTTAGGTAAACAAAAAAAAACAAAATCATCTAATATTTCTTTCATAAATGCAGTATTATTTTTGAAATAAGATTTTGTTTGTTTTATAATTAAAATTTATTGAAAACAGGTATCAAAACAATCACGAAATGTTCGCAGCAATTATAACATTATTGAGAGAGAATATTTTTAATTCGAAGGAAATTGGTTATATTTCTTTTGCCACCGATGCAATTAATGTGATATATAAAGTAAGTATATTTATTTTTGTTATTGTTTGTTATTTAAATTTTGATTATATATTAAAAATATTGTTTTATGATTTAAGTTGGCAAATCAACCTCATGATTTGATAAAGAATCTTCTATTGGATATTTTAAATGCTGATCAATTTATTAATGCAGCTGCAGCAGCAGCAGATGATGATGATAACTCAATAGTTCTATCTTCTATTGTATTATCAAATTTGTTGCATATAGTTGGACATATAGCTATCAGAGAATTGGTACACTTAGATACAGAAATATACAAAGAATTAAAACGAAGAAACAATCTGAAATATTTAAGAAAAACCAATAACTTAAATAAAAACAATTCTAAATACTGCGAATTAACGTTTGAAAGTGTTTCATCTGTCATTGGTAATATTAACAACAATAAATGTTTGCGTAATAAAGAGGTTTGATATATTTACTTTCCACAAATACTTATATTCTCTTTTGATTATTTTCATTGAATAAGAACAAATAATTATCCTAGAATTTACAAGAGGATAATGGGGAAGATGCCTTGGAAGGTGCGGCAGATGATGCAGATGCTGAATTTATAAATGCTGCTTTAGAATCTGAAATAGTCATTGGTAATGGATTACTTACTAAATTTGTGTACGTATGCTACTTGGATATAATTAATATGTATTATATTTATAATAATAATACAAATTATTAATAAAATATAGCAATGATTTGTTTATAGGCCCATTGTATTAAATGTATGTCAACATCCTGAAACATATCGTAATGAAAACTTACAAGCAGCGGGTACTTTAGCTTTGTGCAAAATGATGACAGTTAGTTCAGTGTTTTGTAATACGTATCTTCAATTATTGGTTACGATATTGGAACGTTCACCTTATCCAGGAATCCGAGCTAATGTTCTTATTGGTCTAAGTGATCTTACCATTAGATTTCCCAATGAAGTAGAACCATGGACGAAGCATATATACGGCAGGTAGATATAATTCTTCTAATTTATAATGGAATTTTGTCAAATTAGTTCTATTTTGTATTAGTTAAAGTACAAATAAAAAAATAATTATTTACTTATAGACTTCAAGATGGAAATAGACATGTACGTAGTGTTTGTGTTCATGTATTATCGAATCTCATACTGAAACAGATGATACGTGTTAAGGGTCAAGTATCACAATTAGCCCTTTGTATTATAGATGAAGATGTTCAAATTCAACAAGATACTAGAACATTTTTCAAAGAGCTTTCACAAAGGGATCATGCTCTTTATAATGTGGTACCAGACATATTATCGCGATTATCTGATCCAGAAGTAAATCTTAGCGAAGAACATTTTCAAAAAATTCTTGGGTAACTATCATAATCTATATACAGGGTATATCTAAGCAAATATTCTGTATATATGTAAATTCTCTCTCTCTCTCTCTATATATATATATATAAATGTAAACTTTATTTTTTATTTTTTCCTTAAATTACAGTTATATTCTGGGTTTAATACAGCATAAAAGACAAATTGATACAATAGTAGACAAAATTTGTGCCAGATTCAAACTTGCTATTACGGAAAGACAATGGCGTGATCTGTCTTATTGCCTTTCAGTTTTACAATTTAGTGTAAAAGGTAAGTGTATATATGTATATGTATATGTATACAGTTATATTTTAGAAAATAGCATTATTATTATATGTATAATATATTTTTGTATTTATTTCAGGTTTACAATATTTGACTGAAAGTTTACCTCTTTTAAAAGACAAAATTCATCACAAACCGGTATTGAAAACACTTCAAGGTATAATAGATCAAACGAAAAAGAAATCTGAAACTAGAACTGCAAGTGAGGAATTAGAAAATAAAATAAAAGAGTTATTAGAGGGATTTGAGAATACTGAAGCAAGTGATAATTTATTGATGCCACCACCGACAACGTCAATAAAACGAAATTCTCATAAAGAAAAACAAAATGATAACAACGAGGAAGAAAATAATTCTGATAGTGATTCAAATTTATCAACTAATAAAAAAAAGAACAGTAATTATAACAATCATATTTTATATGTACATATGTAGAGTAATTATAAATGATGCATCAATGTTTCACAACATTTTACGATGGTATTGACAGTGTAAGAGAGACACAGCTTGCCTGTGTACAAATTTGGATATTTTCTTTCTGTTTTTCTTTTTTTTTTTTATATGTCGTTCAGTATTTTTATTAGTAATATCTTGCACAAAATATATATATAACTCATTAAAGCTCGATGAATCATTTTTAATTATATTTGCATTAATTAAAACATTTTATGCAATATGTTTATAAATACATTATGTAAATTGCAGCAAGATTTACTAAGAAGAAAAGTCATATCTCAGAAAGTAATTCAGATTCTAGTTCTGAATCAGATGATGAAAATGTTCAGCCAAAACCTACGCCAAATAAACGTAAGTTTAAATAATTTTAATTAAAATTATTGAATATACTATTAGTAGTTTTTTAAATATTTCTTCTCTGTGTCTGTCATTAGGTAATATGAGAGTAAGAAGTAATCGAAAAGTTATAGACTCAGATTCATCGTCTCCTCCATTACCAAAAAGAAATAAAAATAATAAAACAGATATGTCAGTTAAAATACCAATAAAAACACCCACAAAAACACCCGCAAAAACACCTGCAAAAGCATTAGCAAAAACATCCGCAAAAACACCATTGAAAACACCAGCTAAAACATCTACACAAACGCCTGTACAAGGTTCTTCAACCCGATCATTACGTTTACGTAAATGATGATGTGGTGATACAAATACATAAAAAAGAAAAAGAGAATAAATATTATAATAAAAATAAAAAAAAAAACAACTATATCAATAATTTTGTATATGAATATAGATACAGATATAATAAAGCAATATAATTAAATTTTATTTATTAAATAAAAATGATAAATAACAAAATCAATTCTGTTAGATAATATTCTAGAAATCCTAAAGAATATCTGAATAAAGTTTTGTTTTCAGATTTTTAAAATGATAATAATAATATTGATCAAATCTGTTGTCCTTGAGGCGTTAGTAAAATTCATCCATCATGTTGCCAACAGAGGATTAGATATTTCAATAATTATAAATTATTGAGTAGATTAATTATATTTGTATTAAAAAAAATCCATTTGATTTTAATTCCTAAATTGATTTCACTGTTTATTTGTGAAAAGTTTAGACTTTGTACTTAGTGTACAAATGGTACGAGAGATATAACAAAAATATATATGTATATATATATATATATACAATATTAATGATTTTATTAAATTTGTCGAGAAAAACAAATAATATGTAAATAGTTTATTTTTTTTTTTTTTTTACGATTTTTTCACTTTAGCTTATTCTTTCTTTATTGAAATTATATTTTGTCTATAATTTTGAATATAACATTTACCGATTATTTTTAAATAATATTTGTAAAAAGAAAACGATATATAATTTTGAAAATAGAATTACATTATTAGCGTATGAGACGAATAAACTTTTTCAATATCCTGTTGTATTAACACAACTTCAATTAAATCCACATTATTAAATGACTTAGAATTCCTGAGAAACAATATTAAAAGCAATCTAAGAAATAAATAATCTTTGTATTTGATATCACGAAATATATAATATACAAGTATGAAACAATGTATGTAATAATAAAAGATGAAGGAAAGAAAATAATGTATGGAACTGAAAAACATGATATTGCCTTAATGTGTGAAAGTAAAATATATGCTATTTGTTTATAATATATAATTGTACATATTGATAAATATGGCTCTCATCATCAGTACATTTTATGAAATATCACGGCTAACACTACGCTTAAATGTCATAGAACGAACTTCTGATCCAGATTTAGCAGTTTTAGAAACAGTGGAAGAAGTTGTAGTAGCATTTGGAGTTGGACTTTGTGAAAGTGAAGCTCGATCATCATTATTTGATTTTTCTCGTTCTAAGCGTTGTTTACTAAATTTTCCCATACCTGGTCTATAAATTTCCATAGCAGGACGATCCTAAAATAGAGAAACATTTATATTCGAAAAATTTCAATAGAGGTTTGTTTGTTTGTTTGTTTGTTTTTTTTTTTTTGATTATAATGAATTAAATAGAAAATACCTTATTACGAATTCTACGTTCTAATCGTGGATCTTTTTTATCTTTTTCCTTATCTTCACTTTCGGATTTTTGTAAATTACTTTGTCCATCGCCATCTAATGATTTATGACGTCTCAAACAATTATTGTCTCCGGTACCACCTTCACCACCACTTTCTAAAGAACTACGTCTTTTCACAACCTTAGATGATTCTTTTATTTCTTCAGATTCATTATTAATACCAATTTCTCGATTAATGTGTTCAATAGATCTTGACTTTTCACTTGCATCCTTTTCAGCTCGAATACTAGTTTCTATCAATTTTATATAATATTATTATTAATATTAAATATTAAATATAAAAGTAATAATTTAATAATAGTAAGAAATATGTATAAATACCGGTATCCTTAGTTTGATCAGATATATATTCAATATCTTGTTCATTTTCAATTAATTTGATATTACCATTATTTTTTCCATCATTCTTTTCATTTACAAATTCCATTAGACCTTTGGAAGTAGAAGAAGAAATTAATCCATCTTCCGTAGATTCTTGAGTTATATTCTGATTTTCTTTCATTATGCATGTAACTGTTATGACATTATTATCGTTATTAGGATCCGTATTATTTCGTTTATTTTCGGCCAATCGTTTTTTTTCAAGTCTCATTTTTTCATAACTTTTACCTTTTTTCTCTTCGATCCTTCGTTCTTTGGATTCTTTAAAATCATCTTTAATATCATAATTTTTATTATTATCACGAATATCAATTTTTTTGTCTTCTTTGAATAAATCTCTATCATCTCGTCTTCCATAAAGTTTTTTATCCTCATGTCGCCTTTGATGTTTTATATCTCTGTCTTTATTTCTATCGTCCATTCTTTCTCTATATGCTTTTGTTAAAGGTTTTAAATCTCTATCACGTGGTACCTTTTCACGTAATTTTTCATCCCTTTTATTGCGATTTTTTAAATCCTTTGGTGATACTTTATCCCTATCATCCTTATTTTCTTTATTATCCTTATTCGTGTCTTTGTCCAAGTCAGGATTCTTAAGTACCTAAAATAAATTTTATATATATACATATATTTATATATATATATATTATAATAATTAATATTATAATATATATATATATATAATATATTAATATTATCTTAAATTTTAATAACGTAAGATTATTCATTTATATTTTTATTAATTGCTAACATTAATAATAAGAATGAAACAAGAGAAAAATATCGATTATATGAATTTGTTAGGAAAAATTTATTCTATAAAAATGAGTAATATAACAATAAATCATTTATAATTAAAATATAAATTTATCATCACATTAAAATGCACAATCTATAAGCTTTACAAAAAAAGAGATATCACAAACTAAAAACTGTCTTACAAGGAAGAAAATTTACTCCCCCATATTAAATGGAATAATGCTTTATGTTAGATACGATTATATTATTATGGTGGTACAATTATAATTCTTCTTTAATATTCATTTGCAGTTAATATATATATATATATATATATATTCATGAATTTTTTCGTAATCCAGGTAAACTTATTCTACAAGTTTTATAATTATAAGATTTATCATAATTATGTACTGCATTATGATTACTCGAATTGAATGTATCATTAGTTGTTGTATGCAATTTCCACATCTTATGGATGTTTCTAAATTGTGCTTCGGAAAACATTGAGAAATATTCACTTCTTCCAATACATTGACCGGATTTTAATTTATTCTTGTTATCTATGAAATTATTTTTAGTGTTATACCAATGATAAATCCGTCTATCTTCTTTATTCAATTCGAAATTATTTTGCATAGAATTTTCTTTACGCAAATTGCAAGTGTTGTTGAATTTGTAACGTTTGGGGGAATTATTTCTTATATATTTCTTTACAAGTGATACATTATTTTTATTAGATTTGACATATGAATTGTCAAATTTATTGCAGCTATTTAATTCTTTATAAGCATGCAATTTATTATCAATTTTCAATCTATCGTTTAAAATTGGATCGTTACTGTTTTCCTCTGTGAAAAGTACTTTGTTTTCATTTTTAATTTGATTTTTAAAATGAATGCCTTCTAAGTTTGTACATGATAATGTTGTGACGAAGCAATACTTGGAGCAGGTGTCTTCGACATTATATACAGGCTGCGAATGGGAAGGTTAATATCAGCAAATACAGTAAAGAATATAAAATTAATATATAATTAACACAGAATATAAAAAATGAATGATCTGAAATATTGAATGTAATAATATTTGACGACAATTTTGAATGAAAACAAAAAAAATGATGCAATCAAGCATATAATATTCTATACTGTATTTGTATTTGATTAACCAACAATAGTACATAATTTTGCAAGTTTATAACATAGGAAAACAGAGAAATACCAAAGTCACCTTAGATATAATTGGATCATCCTTAATTCTCCGTCTTTCCAATTCCCGTCTTCTTCTTTCTTCACGTTTTTCATCTCTGAGACGTTGTTTTTCTTGTTTACGTTGTTTTAAGTACTCCAAAAGAGGTGTCGTTGTAACTTTTTTTAATGTATCTACACAAAATAATGAAAAAAAAAAAAAAAAAATAAAAGAAATAAATCAAACGAAAGATTCATGATTTAAAAATAAATCATCATACAAATTAAACTATAATTGAGTCTATTTAACTTACTGTCAGCTGGTTGATAAGAATATTCTGTTTTTGGTTGAGCATTAGTTGAATCAGCCTCCTGATTGTTACGACTTTCTAAGAAACTTATATAATACGAATCTGACTCTATAGTACCACATTTTAAATCTTTTTTCTTTCCAACTCTTTTCTTTGGTAATCTTTGAAATGGTGAAAATTCTACTACAGCTGGATACTCTGTGCCTTTTGAATCGACGAATACATAATTATCAAACTTTTCTTTAAACGTAAATATATCTTGTTGATCCGTGAAATTAATATAAGCACGAGAAAATGCGTATTGACCAAGTGACATGTCGGCTTTGACAAAATAAAAATAATCATGTTCAGGTAATGGAGAAATTTGTTCCATTAATTGATCTGAAGTCATTGTTGGTGGAAGTCGACGTATAATTACCTAAATAATAGAATTATATTTTTTTTTTTTTTGCAATGTTAAGTTATAATACTATAAATAAATTACAAATAAATATTTAAAAGCGTCAAAATGTGATGTTTATAATTTAACTTTAAAAGACAAAGTCAAAAATACAAATGAATTATAATAAACAATTTTGACATGTAAACATTAAACTTCACGTACAAATATTCATTGTTAACAGATAATAGTAGTTTTGAATAAATACCTTGGTCATGGGTCGGCATTTTTCTTTCTTGTTATCTCTAAGTTTACTAACATCCGGAGAACTAGTCTGTGCTTCGTTTTGCACGGGTGTTTCAGGTTGTTGCGTTTCTTCAGTCATATTTTGCTTCAATATTTATTAAATTTGTGAAAGATCAAGTATTATTAATAATCATTCGTGTTACTTTGATCGATAAAATAATTAGAATATAAAATTTTCTTTGAAACATTTCAATATACACGATATAGAGTTTACAATTCTTTTACAGTCATCTTGCTTCTTTAGCACCACCATAAACTACGAAAAGTTCGACCGAGTGAATTGGAGTATTCGGAAGCAGTGATGCCAGGACGTGGATTTTTCCACGCATGCGCACTACCTAATTCTCAGTAACGTATATACTTCACTCAAATATAGGGTATCGTTAGACCTCTGTGACAATTTAAATACGGTAGAAATTACAGGAAGAGGACATTTTGAAAAGAAATAACATATTTAAATGGAATTAAATGAATATATATTTTTTATAATAAGTTCTGATTTTCCGCATGCCAAGACTTTATTGTAAGCCGTGCACAAAGCTTTTTTTTTTATTATTATCATCAGATTTTAACCAATCTTTAATAATATTGTTCTTTAGCCAAGATAATTGGAATACTTTCCCTTTGTTACTTCTCTTCTTATCTGCCAATCCACTCGACTAGATTGCTGGTAATCCATCTTCTGGTTTCTGTCACTGTAATACACTTATATTGCACTACAATTCAATATATTATATAACATTACACTACTCACTTTCACTTTAACGAAAAACGCGGGAAACAACTGGGAAGGGCCCCTTATGCGTACCTACTGTTGCATATAGATACGTCCATGGAAACAACCACCGTTGAGCTGTGACGTTGAATGCGCATGCGCACAAAGTTTCCCCACGTGGGAGAAAATCCTACGTTCTGGCATCATTGTTCGGAAGTACTAGTTGCTATTGGATTGAGAGAAACAATGAAAAATATCGAGCGATAATAATAAGGGAGGCAAAATAATGATTGTAGTTGTTAGGGATAGATTAAAAACGCAATGATGTATACAAGACATAATTCATGTCTAACGTTATATACTCTCTCATATAGAAATGTATTTTTTTACAACTGTTAAATATTCAAATATGTGTCAATGAAATTCATTATCAATTGAACGGAGTAACGCAGCGCACTCTATCCGTCAAGTTTATAACTTTCTACTGCTTGAATGCATTAAAAATATATTAAAATTACATTTATACTTATTTTCTAATAATTACTTTCAAAATAATATAGAATCAAGATTTCTAAGCTTATACATTTGTAAAATTAAATAGTATAATAATATATCAATGATATTTTTATTTGTGTGATAAATTAAATAATTAATAATTAAATATTACATACTACACATATGTATAACAACAATAGATGTGTGCGTGTGTGTAAGAACGCTTATCTAATTATGAAAAAATAAAAAATAAAAATAATATTAATAGTAAGATAATTGAATGAATGTTTTTTTTTTTTATAAATATAAAATTCTATAAATATAGATTTACTTATTTAAATTGTCTTTTTTTCTTAGTTTTACTTTAACGTATACACATCACACGCGCGTACATATTAAAATACTACTTTTGTATTTTGATATAAGTAATACGTTATATAACAATTATGAACATATATTTTTTTAATAAAACTAATATATTAATTAGCTTTAAAGAATTTATACAACTTGTACAATGTTACGCTTGATATTGCAGACATTATTTCTTCTTGTTGAAATAGTCTCACTGAAAGAAATTAATTGAAAATCAATATTATAATAATATATAAATAAAAGAGATCAATTATGCATACGTGTAATAAAGTATAGTATGTAAATAAAGTATTATACACTCACGGAATATTTTCTTATCCGTATAATAAGGTACATCATAAAAGATAAAATACGTGCTCATTTTTGATAATGTTTTTAGATCACAATCGATGACACCCGTCGTTAAATAATGTTTTATTACGGGTATTAATTCTGAAATAATATACAAAGTATAAAAAAGATTAAAATTTTTTTTAATATAAATCAAAAAGAAATATCGTAATCAAATTAAATTAAAAATAATAATGATTACAAATATTACCATTTTCCCATCCGTCTAAAATAAGCGATACTTTTTGTTTAATAGCAAATATAGTTTCTGAGCTAAGAAGTGGATTTGATTCTTTTGAGGCCAATTTGTGTAACATTAACGAGGATAAAAGTTTTATTTGCCATATAGAAAAACTGTTTGGTTGTTTTTCTAAAATCTCCATGTTCTTAACCATGCTTACCCATGACGGTAAAAGTCCAACTTTATCTTTAATAACACATTCGTAAACAATTACCGCAAATGCTTGTAAAAAGTATTGTTCAAATTCTGTAATTCCGTAAGAAGTTTCTTCAGTTTCGGAAATATAATTAATATCTTTTAATACAGATGATGATATTTCTGTGATTTCCATCCCTTCCTGGGAATGCTCTGATTGATCTGTCCAATTACTGCTTATTGTTGGATTGATATTATTTACACTTTTAGAAAAATAATCGCGTTTTCCTTTACTTGTATTTCCACTTAATATAACTTTAGCGTTTCCTTCATAATTTCTTTTTTCTTTTTTAAATACTTGCATAAAATATTTCACTATATTTAATACTGTTTTATCGTTCGTAAATGATGTTATATATTCCGGTCGTATAGTCCACGCAAATACTTTTTCTGTTGTTAATGTTTGTGCTATTAAACTTCTGAAACCCTGTTGTAATTGATAAATATTAAAATGAAATAACATAAACAAATAATATAGTTATTAATTATAATTCATTTGAAATATATTTACATGCGGATCTTCTATATACGATAAACATCCAGCCCGTTGCTTAACACTTAAAGAATCACTTCTCTTTAACATATCTTCAAGTTGTTGCCAATTATAATTTTTTTCGAATACGATTTCCCAATATCGGGTGTCTTTTAACTCAATTTTTTGTAAACTACTTAGCTGTGGCAGCAAACATGGAGCTTGAAGAACTATTTCTTGTCCTTGAGCTTCACAATCATTAACAAATGTCAATTGTACCGTAGCATAACAGTATTGTCCACTGTCTATGTCTCTTGGTAAAATTATACGTGGTTCAACAGCTAGAACGTATAAATGTCGCAAAGCTTGCAAATGATATCTGTAATAAAGAAATATAAAAGTTTTATCTATGATACAAACATATATATATATATATATTATATATAATAATAAGTTATAATATTAACCTGTTATCATTACTATGTGTTGGAAATTTTGGAAAAAGAGAAATCACAAGTGCAGCTATAGCACTAGGATTATTTGAAAGAGTATATCTACCACCGCCAAGGAAAAGAAGACCAAGAGCCATATGTGTTGCCAAATGAGAACCATATGTAACAACATTACTAGTAGGTCCTACTCGTGTTCTCACGTGTCTACATATCCTCATAATCTGTAATATCATTAAAATGTATTAATAATTTTATTATAAACATATCCATCCACGATACCAAATTTATTTACTTATAAACATTTACCTCTAAATCACCTGTTCCTGCCATGACAACAGCAGTGGAAAGTAAAATGACGTTTAAACATGTCTCTATGGTAGATTTTCCTGCTAACTCAGCTATTGTTTTGTGAGACAATGCTGTAAACATTTGAGCATAATTATATAAAGTTCTAAATGCATTTTTGTTCGCAGTTCCTGCATATTTTAGTCCTAAAGCCATACAAGCGCCTGCTATTATGTTACAATACGCTTGACTGAAAATAAATTAGAAATCAGTTTCATAAAACATTGTTTACAGATATTATTCATTTATTTTATACAAAATTGAATTGAGATAACTAACTTCATAGTTTCTAAATCCACATTTTGAGTAATCCCCGGTGTGGGCTTTTGTAATCTATATTTATAAACAATATTGGGAACATGACTAGAAACCCATGTTTTAGTTGGTTGAATTTCGTTCCATAAAATTAATGATTTAGCTAATATTCTTAATAGCAAAAAATCTGGCCTCACAAAATCGAGTAAGTACTGTGTATCTGGTGCTTGCATCCATTCAGCTACTGCTCGATTTCCTGTATTGAAGTACATAAGACCTAAAGCTAATGTTGCACCAGGACTTGTTACATCAATATTGATAGAATCTCCTTCACGTATTTGATAACTATAAATGTCATAAATAACAATTTTTGATTAGAAATATCAAATAAAATTTAACTATGCGATTAAATTCTATATTAATATGAATTCTAAACACCTAGGTGATTTGTATTTATCCTTTTGTGCTCCAGTAAAAGGTCGTACGTGGCCACCAACCATGTAATAATGTAAAGTATCAGGTATACTAGCAAGATCGGTAGCACCACCACATCCAAGTACAACTAATCCTAATGCCAATCCTGCTGTTAATGAATATGATTCTCGATCAACACAATTTTTCATTTCTGGACCAGGTGGTCTTCCTGATTAAAGTAAAATAATTAATATCGTTGCATTTTTATCACTGTTATTTACTCGTTTAAGGTATTAATATAATTACCAATTTCTGATAATAAAGCGTGCGATATATGTCTGTGAGCGGTTCCTTGATATACCAAACCAACTCCCATTAATGCTGCTACTTGAACATTTTGTGGAACATTCAATTCTATGCTCGTTGGTGGTAGCAACGTTTCAACATGTAACGACAATAATTTTGTCATGGACACGTCCATTGTAGCTCGATATGTTGCAGATAATCCAAGTAAAAGGCCAACACTAGTAGCTTCGTGACATTCAACGAGATATTCGTACATACTAAACGGTGCTAGGTTTTTTAAATGACCATTCAAACCGAGTGCCATTAAAAACCCTGAATGTTCAATGCCAAATTCACCTTGTTGTTGTTTATTGTATACGATCCAAGTGGAATCAATATTTGATGCATTAGGGTGAATACGAAGACCAGCAGCCACACCATTATGAAACAAAGGCCACAAATTCATGTTTGGTGGTACATCTATGTGAGCCAATTCTACCGTAGTTCCACGAGGTGGTGCTTTACCTATTTATACACAAACATTTATTAATACTGTATATATTTACAAATGTAAGATGCTTTTCAGATAATGATTTTACTTTATACCTGTTAAACAAAGCCGAGGAATTGGTAATTGCTCAGTAATTATAGGAGTTGAAGTCCTAAGCGTGAACATGCCTCTAGCCACAGGGAGGGCCATTGTTCTTGTACATAAAGCATGCAAATGTCTTTCTTGTTCTTCTATAAATTCGTGATCACTCACATCTGGTCGTTGTACTATTGCTATTCTCACGGGTTTCGACGAATTAAGTAATCGTCGTACTTCAGCCACTCTGTGATCCTTATTAAATCTTAGTTTCAATATCTACAAGCATGAATGTTATTATTAGACATTTGTTAGTAATAAAATGTTACCGTCAAAATAAATGGTATATTTATATTTATTACATTGTCATCAAATTCCATTCCATCATCTTGATCCACATCTTTAGTAAGATAGTTCTTTCCATTGTTATCATTAGAATCGTTCATATGTAATGAATTTAAATGTGTACCTAATGCAGCCAAATCTTGGCGATCTACTAATTCATACACCTTTGCTGGCCAATTGGATGGTGGGCGTTCTCTACATCTGTGCATAACATCCTTTAATATTAAAGATACTCCTGGTGGTAAAATTTCGAGATCCTCTTTTTTCATACCTATATAAGATAATTTTAGAATTTTATTAAATATATTAATCATTAATAATATATACATACAAAATAAATAAAAATATGTATCGATAATAGCATACCCATTTCATGATATAATAGCACTATGTTTTCTATTGTTGATGGTTGTAATTTTTGTGGTATATCTCTGTCAAATTTATTTTTGCTTTCTTGAAAATCTATACGACTTCCAGCTGGTATTATCAATTTGACGAATTTATCCATTTCTAGTTTGTCATTTTTGTTTTCATTTGCTATCAACGTAGTTAAATATACTATATTTTTTGCTCGAGGATTTACGTGATATAAATATGGAAATGGTTCTATATTTGTATGAATTAATAAATTATTTAACGTTTTGAATATATCCGGTGGTTTTAAGTTGATATAATTTGGTGTTGTTATTTTTTGTAAATCTATATCACTGATTTGTGATACTGTTTTCTTTAAATAATGCAACTTTGGAAAATCAAGAAAGTAATGATGAGCATAAGTATCGAACTTTAAATCTGTGCTTAGTTGATACAATAACTGAGCGAGTAATGGTAAACTTTCTGACATCACACAATCTAATTTTAATTCTTCGTATAATAAGTGCAATGAGAACAAAATAAGAGGAAGATATGGAAATAAAATTGCTTGATAATTTATTCTTCCTGGGGTCTTCAATTCACTATTTTTGGAAGATAATGCATCGTGTGTATTAGAAAATTTGGTCAGTCCCAGTACGTCAGAAATAAAGTTTTGCGAATTTTTTGATTTAATAGAATTTATTACGTATGCCCAATCATCGTTAGATCCGTTATCACTGGTCTTTTGTTTTTTTGGAAGAACCATTGGACTGTTTCGTTCAGTAAATTGTTCTTTTTCATTGTTTTGTATTAATTGTAATTTATCAACGTCATATCCCAATAAAGTAAATAAAACTACTAAAAAAAGATGCCACTCTTGGACTGGAGAAAAATCTTGTGGACCTGGTGCGTTCCGAGCTCCATACCATTTTACTAATAATTGCATTGCAAGGTCCTTTTGTAATACGCTTCGTAATGTTTTTAAACATTTGGTAACTGTAAATAAATTTAATATATTATTTATTTGTTCGTTTTGTTTTAATATTACTGTGTACAATATTTAATAAAAATATACTAACCTAACGGAGATGTACTACAAGTTGGTAGGGTAATTCGAAAATAACTTTTATTACCATACTCTAAAGTAATTTTGTTGCCCACTGCATCTTTTAAACCAATAAGATTTAAATCTAGTACCGAATTTTCCAACAAAATTGGTGCTTGTGCGCAGGTTCCACCGACTGGACTTAAAAGATGTACAGCTTCTTCGAATCTGATTTCATGAGCATTTCCACAATTTTGTGAAATCAAAGAACTTCTTCGTGGAAATGGAGAACTTAGTTTGTGATTAATATTTGAGACGAAATATTTACATGTAAGATTCGGAAGAATACTAGATACATGTAACTTTCCAACACATGTTGTACCTGAATATAATACTATACTGTTGGACATATCAATAATTGCTATCATATGTAAACTCTGAAATAAAATTAATAAATATTATCACATACTTTCATTATACCATTTAAATAACAATAATTACAAAAATATACGGGATGAACTAACAGGCAAACTAACTGCATCTTTTGCTATTATACTTGTAACCATTCCAAAAATGATTTGTTGTTGTTTGTTAGTTTTTTCTAAACGAACTAAAAAGAATTGCGATCTAGTAGGTACTAAATATCCCAAATAACTTTGACCAACGAAGTCAGATGTTAAAAGAACTTTGGATGCTCGTCCCGGTTGTATATCCCTTTAAAATAAAATTGTAATAATAACGTTAAAATATCATAATAATCGATAAATGTATATTTTAATATAACTTACTTTCTGCAAAATACCCAAAGAAATTGAAGACACAAAAAAAATCTGGAATAAGGAATGGAAACTAGAGAGGATAGAGAGAGAGGAATATGTAATAGGAAACTATAATAATTTCTGCTTACTTTGGAACTCCCACATTTTCTGTCCACACATGATCAAGACAAATTTCGGGATATAATGGTTTGCTCGTAGTAATAGCATCTTGAAGCTGAATATTGCTGCCATTACAAACAGGACTACTTTGTGAATGATTTAAAGTAGATCCCATAACCATTTGATGTAATCGTGAATGATGATTTATAATTGTATTAGGCATTCCAAATAACGGAGAAAATCCTGAATGCGTTGGAGATTGACAACGTGAAATGGTAGCCATAGGACTTTGAGAACGTGAGTGTTGTTGTTGTACTTGCGAAGGTGATTGACCACAAGAGCCTGTTGTTGTATAAGATGTACAACGAGATCCAAAAGGACTATTTGGTAAGCCGTATCCACCTCCAACATTACTTAAATGTGGATTAACTATACCTATAAACAATCAAACTGTATTGTATTTTTATCAGATATATATATATAAAAATGAAATGAAATGAAATATTAAAAATAACTTACCAAACATATTTATATGACTTTTATTAGAAAAATTTTTAGTAACTGACGCATTGCTAGCAAAATTTAATGGCGATGCACTCATTGAAAGATTAAATATACTTTGTGTTGTTTCATTGTTTCTACAAACCATCTGACACTCTTCTATTAAAGCTTTCCGTATTTTATACACAGAATGTAATCCAGTTTTTTCATCATAAATTACAGCCAATGATGGTTCAGAACTAGTAAAAACAATCTGCTGATTTGATTCAGACATATATGTTATATTTCCTGTGAGTATTTCAATAAATATGTTTCAAAATATTTATTTATTTGATGTATTTTTCGTTAACCCATTGGCATAATAATAATATCTTTATATTTTTATTTTAAAGATATAGATTTATTAATTATTTTTTACAAAACCTGTTTTATATATTATTTATATATTAAATTGATGTCAAAAATTGATATTTAAATGAATAAGCCAATGAGTTAAGATTCGCATTATAAAATATAATAATAAAGATAATCTTACCATGTTTAATAAGTAATGGACAAATTTCATCTAAAGGATGCATGAGCGAAAATGCTACTGGTAAATTAGCTTCAAATTGCATTGGATATTTACATGCATCTAATGACGTATACCTAAAAAGTATAAAAAGAAAAATTCTGATATTGTAAATATTATATTAATAATTAATTTAACCCAAATCATGAAATACCTTAATTCAGAAATATTTGGTTTAGAAATTTGTGCTTTTTCAAGTAAAATACCATACTTTGTTGGCCAAACAGCAGAAACCTAAATCATTCAAATTTATATATTAATAATAATAATAATAATATTTAAAAATATGAATTATAATGTTTAAAAATAAAGATTTTACCTGAAATTGTAAACTGGACACATAGTTTTCACCACTTTCAGTAAAAACTTTTAAAGTATAGGAATCAAGTAAACAAATGCATCCTATTGTTTCGCCTAACTGTTCTTCATTATTTTGATCTTTTCCTTTCGATAAATGATCTGATATATTTGTACAAAAAGTACACCATAGAGCATGCTGTATATCAGTTTCACAAGTATATGAAGTTTCAAGAACACGAGTGGATTGATCACCCTTGCAATGAATTGCAACTTTCCCAGAGCAATATAATTCTTCTTCACCACATGTATCATTGTTACGTATTGACCAGAACTCTTTCTATATATATATATATTTTATTAAAAATTAATGTATATTTATTTCTATACAAAAATTGATGTGTGTCTGAAATTTTTCTGGTCAAATAGTGTCCGTATATTTCAATAACTTAAATATGACTTATTTTATCGAATATGGTGACACTATTTGGCTGGAGGAGAAATCTCAACACTTTATACAACAATAATAACTTACAAAATTTTTTTCTGATATATTAACTTGACTGAGTTTCTCCAATAAAATACTTTCTCCTGGTGAAGTCGAATTATTCAATAATTGTTGATTTATTACTGACCCAGGATGCTTTGAATAAATTTGACGTCCACCAGGAATATATTCCTAAATAATAAAAGAAACATATATTAAACATATGATTTTTAATGCATGTATATAATAATATTTATATGAATGCACTTATATAAAGTATAATAATATAAAATATAGAGTAAATGCTTTTATTTTATTTTAAAGAAATTGTTATTAATGAATGTACTATGTATCTTTATTTTCTTGCCTTTCAGATTTGAAAAAAAGAGGGTGGAAGGAGTGACATATGCTTGTTTACAATTTTTCTCACATAAACATGATATTTTTATAACTATTATAATTTTTTATTTGTATATGGGAGAATAAAAAGAATGTATGATTAAAATAATTGAAAATTGTTATGTTATTAAGAGATTGTAAACTAAATCCTATTAGTTGCACTGAGGATGAATAAAGACATATATTACTATTATTGCAATAAATATTTTGATTATTATTGCTTTATTTGAGAGCAATCAAAGTATACCTATAAAAAATCATAATAATTTGTATAATATAATAAATATTAAAAAAGGAATTACATACCACCGGATCTGAGGCGGCGATCATTGTTTCCCTGCTTTCATCCAGATTTGCTAAATATATATGAAGAAGGAAAATAAACACAAGTAACGGTTTTTCTGTACAAACGTTTCAAAATAATGTAAATAATGTTGAATATAGAATCGACAATTCGAAGCAGGGACGCCAAATTTGTATAAAAAAAAAAAAAAAAAAATCAAGATTTTAGTTATATTTTGTATTCATAGGTGCGCTAATATCGATATTGTCTTCTTTTAGTTATATTTTGTATTCATAGGTGCGCTAATATCGATATTGTCTTCTTTTAAGTGCATTTTGTGAATTTTTGTTAATTATTAATTATTACTATTATTTTTTTATATAAAATTAATTTCAATGTTCACATAAATTTATATAATATCTAAATTTAAAGAATACACAAATAATGCATCATTTTCTTGCATAGAACTTTAATTGAATGAATTATGGTTACTGTATGAGTGTTATAATATATTTTACTTTTAAATAACAAATTACTCAGTTACAATAGTATAAATAAAATTATCTTGCTTAAAAAGAGTGTAATTAAATATGATTATTCGATATTGATTGAAATTATTTGAAACTGTAATTTGAAGTGATGTTATAGGTTATTATTTTTTGATATTGAAAAGATGGTATCATTGTAATCATTTTTCTTCAGTGTTTTGTTTACCATAAAGAAAAAATTTATATCGTAAACGCGCGCACTGAAAAGAAATTAGATATTTTCTAATTTTATATCGCACGTTAATATAACAAGAATGTAAATAAAATTCAATATGGCACAAAGATTGAATAACAAAGCCAAAATTAAATCTCTTATAACTGTCACAAGTTCGGCTGCAGCATTGTTTGGAGGAATATGTATTTATCAAGGGAATGAAAAATTTTATAAAGAAATAGCAATACCATTGGTTCAACGAATAGATCCTGAAATAGCTCATAATTTAGCAGTGAAAGCTTTAAAATGGGGATTTGTTCCTAAGGAAAAATTCAATGATCCTGTTTCTCTTAGAACAAGTATTTGGGAGATAGTATTTAAAAATCCTCTTGGCATGGCTGCAGGTTTTGATAAACAAGGAGAAGCCATTGAGGGTTTGCATAAAATAGGTTTTAGTTTTGTAGAAATAGGTAAGAAAATGTTTAATAATATTATTATAATATTATTCGTTATTATTTAACAAATAATATGTATTATGTGTTGTAATGATTTTTTTATCTTGTTTATTTTATTATTTATTAAAGGATCCATAACACCTGAACCACAATCAGGGAACCCTAAGCCTAGAGTATTTAGATTATTAGAGGATAATGCAATTATTAATCGTTATGGTTTCAATAGCGATGGCCATGACAAAGTATGGGAGCGTATTAAAAAACTTAGAGATAACAAAGATTTTGTTGGTATCATTGGTATTAATTTAGGCAAAAATAAGGATTCGGAAAGTGCAGAGCAAGATTATATAAATGGTATTAAGAAATTTGCAGATGTTGCTGATTATTTTGTTATTAATATATCAAGTCCTAATACACCAGGACTTAGATTGTTGCAAAGTAAAGAAAAGCTTGAAAATTTGCTTATTAAAATTAATGAAACGAGACAGACCATAGGTAGCAAACAACCATTACTTTTGAAATTAGCACCGGATTTGTCTGAAGTTGATCGACAAGATATAGCAGATATTGTTTTGCGTAGCAAAAGCAAAGTTGATGGTTTGATTTTATGCAATACAACAATTTCGCGTATTAATTTAATAAATGAAAATAGAAAAGAAAGCGGTGGACTCAGTGGTGCACCTCTAACGGACATTTCTACCCAAATTATATCAGACATGTATAAACGAACTAATGGTAAAATTCCAATTATTGGAGTAGGAGGAGTTTTTTCTGGAGAAGATGCATACCATAAAATAAGAGCTGGAGCTTCTTTGATTCAGTTATATACATCGTATATATATAATGGTCCACCGATAGTTGGTAAAATAAAAAAAGAATTAAATGATATACTTAAGAGAGATGGTTTTTCTTCTATAAGTGAAGCAGTTGGTAAAGATATAAAGATTAACTAAATATAAAGATAATTTGAATTGTATACTATTCAACTGGCTTACATATGTATATATAAATTACTTAAATATAATTTATATTTGAATATGATAATTTCTAATGAATGTATGTGATAAGTTTAAAAATATGTTTCATACATTAATTGTACAACATGGATAAATTGATTTGTTATGGATTATTATAATTAATTCATAATTATGTAAATCTATAGTATGTTGGCAATAAAAATTGACAGGTTCTATTATTTATTGTCACTTTTATAATTGTTATAAAAAAAAAAATACACAAAGTGTATAAAACCTTACACACGTTTAAAGTATGTGTAATTACAATTTATAATTTAATATTCTTAGCTTTATATCATAGAATAAATGGATATTAAAACTAATGAAAATAGAGTAACATTTGAAACAATTAATAATCCAGCTGATGAACATTCATCGACGTGATCGAAAAGTTCTTTATAAGCTAATACTGATTCGATCGTTGATGTTGTGGGTACTAAACCAAAAGTTGAGCTTTTAAAAAGAAGATCATCGGTGTTATCAAATTTTCCATAAATATGGAGTACTCTCCAGGAAGAAGAACGATATTTCAACCAATCTTCAAGTTTTAATAAGACTAAAATAGAATTTAATCGCTGTATCTCCGTGTCGTTTCTACGAGCAATTACCTACGAAAACAAAACAGATTTTTTTAATATAATTTAATGTATTTTTTGTTTTCGATATTATAAAAGAAAACGAAATATTTTTACCTCGCTATTGATGGTTGTTGATAAAGCACAAAGCTCTGGTTTACTTATATTTAATCCTGACGTTGTAGCTAAACTACCATTTCTACAGAAAATGTGATATTGATCGACATCACTTTTTTCTTCTTCAGTTCATAAATTCCACGTATGAAAGAAAAGAAAAATAATGTTATTTAAATAGTTAATTAAGATTAAATTGAAATGTGTATATCACTTACTTTTTATATTTCCGATTTCAACGAAAGCTATGTCACCGTATCCTTCCATTAAACACGTTAGAGCACCTTTATCACCATAAAAACGATTTTCATTACTTGCCGTACAGTCGGTAGTATCGTTTATTTTTGGACAAACGGAGCAAAGCTTTTTTGCAATATTTTTTGAGACGGTATTGGATCCGTGATTATCGTCGTTTATACCAGGCGTACAAGCGCCCGCGAGTAAATTATTGAGGAGACCAGGATATTTGCAAGAGACTGATGAAATAATATGATTCACTCGAGCAATTTTAATTAAACTCAACCAAGCTAATCCACCATATTCAGGGAAACAAGCTCTTCGACCCTTTAATTGATTAAAACTCTTTATGGGGTAGTTGCCACCTTCGGATTTTCGAAGAACAGCCATAATCATGCTATCTTCCTTAATTTTTTTGTCAGTTTCAGCATAAAGGATTGGTCCTAAATTGTACAATCTAGTAAAGTAAAAGGATTTCATATATTAGATTATTATTATCATTATTAATAACTTGTTTTTTTAATGGATTTTTCCAATATTTTTCCTTACTGTCGTGCTAGGTAGCCATAATTTGAGTCTGCAGTAGTAATATCGGCTTTTAAATCAGCAATGTCACGCATACATTGGAACGTTGAGTTGGCTTGCAAACAAACAATTTTCGGCTCGATACCAAGAGCTATCGCTTGTTTCGCAATCCATTCACATTTTGTTTTCTCAAGAGGGTTTATTGTGCACCAACGAATAGCATGTTTTTCACAAGTTGTTCGTACTTCCGAAAGATCCACTTCCTTTCTTCCTTCAACTAAGTAATTGTATAAAGATGTAGGCTTTGTAAGATTCGTGACAATACTATCTTCTTGTATAACTTTTATTAAAGCTTGTGACCATGTTTCAGCAGCGTACGTGGCCGGGTTTTTTAACCATTTATTTAATTTTCCTGTAAGTTCATTTACTAGTTCTCTGTAATCGATAAATTATTATTTCAATAAAATTATATTTATATTATGTCTAATCATTATTATTTATGATTATTATAACATCAATTATTATATATACTTTCTAGCAACAATTGCACCCCATGGTTGTTTGATCCATGCACAAGGATTACTATTATTTAAATTTTGAAGTGTTCCATCAGAACATAGAAATTGATATTGACTTTTTTCATTTTCCTGTAATACATATCATTGTAATTATAATGGTTTTCCTAATGTTGTTAAATAATATTTATATTTCTTAGTACTTTTCAGCATAAATTTACAAAAATATTTAATATTAATAATTGACCTTATTAAAGTATTGGTGAACGTATTCAAGTGCTACGTATGCTACATTTCCTCGTCCCGATGTTAAACAATCCAAAGCACCAATGTGACCATGTTTTTCTCCATTTTTATAATTGCAAGTAATCGTATTGTCGCATAACTCGCAAAGCTCAGGATATTTTTTCTCTGTAAAAAATAGAATTACAAATGAATGCACAATTTTATATTTAACAGAAAGAAAACAATCGAAAGTATTTTTTTTTTTTACTTACTGAGATTAGTGCTAAGATTAGGATCAGCCACCCATTTACCTGGTCTGCAGGCTTTACCAAAGAACGACCTAATATTTTCTAATTCATTTTCTATCGAAGTTAAGTTTTCTCGGCACTCAGGTACATACAACTTTTTTTCAAAATATTTCAAAATGAAATCGTTCCACCATTGATCTTCACTGAAACCAGGATGACAAAGACCTGCGTTCTTTAAATTTTCAAATTTATCTTCAGATTTAATGGAAAAGTTCGAAGATACTATAGCCACGGATTTAAATGCAAATGACTCTAAAAAAAAAAAAAAAAATGTAGATTATCAAATGAAGTAGTTAATTTTGATGTATTTTGAAGCAGTTGACTTTTTTTTTTGTTTGTTATTTTTAGAGATTAATTACTTACGCTGAGTTTTGTCTTTGTGTCTTAGTTCAAAGATCGGTACAATTTCAGTGTGATAGAATTGATAGGACAATAATAATGCATCGGTATCGAATAAACCGAAATCTGCATCGCCGCTTGCTAAACGTAATGCACATTCGGCACTGTCACTTACGTGAAGACATTCAACTTCACTATCACCCCTTTCTATGCTTTGACAAGCTTCGCTGATTGTATGTGTTGTTGTACATAATTTATCTAACGAAAAATTACATTTGTCAGTGGTATGAAATTTTTGAAACGATTTTGTATTTGACAACAGGTAGCCTTCTCACAACACAGAAATTGCGAGAACTCTCCTATAACACGGTTTCCTTTCAAAATAACTTTGTACAACACTGTACTTCTACAGCCTCGGCGAGGCTTGCTATTTTAAAAGATACAGTGTTGCAGTAAGTATTTCTTTTCATCTTCATAGTCTGAAAACAAAAGTCTTAAACAACACGGCATTTTTCTAGGAACTTATCTACCGTGTTACAGGAGGGTTAGCTGTATTTTTTTCTTCTTCTTATGACCTGATAATATAATACGATTATAGAATATATTATTTAGAGAAAAAAATTGAATTTCGATCGTCTATGTATACCGTCATTGATTCGTAGAACTTTATCGCAATGGCATTGAGATAAGCTTCGCCCCGATTTCTCTTGATCTATTTATCTTATGTGAGATATGACGAATGTATCTTCGTGATCAATAGTTACAAAATAGTTACAAATTATTTATCATATTTCATTCAGCTTATATAATCTGTTAATAATACATGTTACTTTTTTAATTGCAATGATATTCATTTTCAGATTTTGTAAGTATTTTAAATGAACGAATTACAATTTCTTTTGCTTGTTATCGCAAAATTACCGATGTTAAAAAGTAGAAATAATTCTTTGAAAAATCGTAATTAAAATGAACGACAGATCTATAATTGTAATATTAATATTATCACTTTAAATGAATATTACTTTTTGAATGAGCTCTTTTGTAATTTTATATATTTAAATATGAAATATATCGAGTAGTATAAATTTAACGTTGAGTATTTTAATATAGAATAAATAAACTTACATTTACGTGTGTAAGTACACGTAACGAAACTAATTATGAGGAACAACAGGTAAGCTGACTTCATCGTGATTGTCTGAAGTAGTACAGGACGACAGTTGAATGTAAACTGCGAAGATCGTATCGTTTTTACGGTGGGCAACGTAACTAGGCGCACCTCTTCTTGACTCTTCAAACGTTGATAACGAAACCCTGATAACGACTATTATTCACGCCCTGAATATATGAACATGACAAAAATTTTGCGGTTTGTTATACAGCTTCTCATCGTTCGTTTAACTCTTACTACATAAAAGGATAACACGTGTAAATAAAAAATGTTAACGATTAATGTTATATTTCTTGATTATCCCATTTCCTTTATTTAATCGATCTTTTCATATGCTGCTTAAACTATCTTATGTTCTAATACGATCTAACGTAGAAGACATTTTGAAATATTTGTATGGTGAATCGAAGGAAGTAAATAGATGTTATCGGATGACTCGGATTTTCGTTGAAAAGAAACGTTTGAATGATTAATAATATTTTAGATTCTTATAAGTGAAATAATTCTTTTCTTTGAATTCATTAAAATTTACTTAAGTTCAGTTGTTGTAATAGCTACAGTTATATGGCTTTTATATATATTTTTTTTTGTTTTTTTTAAAAAGCCAATAACGGATGGTTTTTTTTATATCTTCTTCTTAGAAAACAATAAACGTACTGCATTGTATATGAAGATTTTAACATAGAAAAAAAAAATAATACGCTTTATAGAATGACATAATAGAGTATTTTCAGATAATATTCATGAGGTATTATTAAGATCCTGAGATTGAAAAAATACTTTTTCACTTTTTACAAACTTGAATATTATCACCGAACTATTGTTTAAATTATAATCGATTCTTTGACAAAGATTACATATATATATATAAAGAACGAAATGCATCTTGATACAATATTTGTACAACGATAAGTTGTTGGATGAAACGATGTTCACAGTCTTAATATTTGCCATTCTCTTATGGGGTAAGTTTCGAAAATAATATATGATTATATTTTGTTAATCTATAATTCTTTATAAACAATTCATTTTCTAGGAAAAATAATAAATTTCGTTTTGAGCGAAGAAATTTCATCAAATTCAACAAGTAGCTTCATTTGTACCGATGGTAGCCAAATACCTTTGATCAATGTTTGCGATGGTTCACTTCAGTGTCCAGATTCTTCTGATGAAACAAGCATATTGTGTCGACATACAGTGTAAAAATTTGTACTTATTTTATGGCTTCATAAAATTACATTTTTGAATTGAATAAAACTGTTATCTTATATATATATATATATTTTCGTAGTTGTCCTTCGAACATGTTTAGATGTTCTTACGGAGCTTGCATAAATCGTACATCTCGATGCAATGGAATAAAAAATTGTGTTGACGGAAGTGATGAAATTCGTTGTAATTTGTTGTCGAATGAAACATGTTCTGACAGAGAATACCAATGTTCTACTCCTCGTTTAGAATGTATACCCATTGCAGATATTTGTAATGGTAAATAAAAAGGATAAAGTTAAAGTTAATGAATCGTTACGAAAAGTATCGTAATAAATAATTAATAAGACTTTTTAAAAATAGGATACGTTGATTGTTCGGATAATAGTGACGAGGACATTTCTATATGTCGAGAATATTCTTGTCCTGATTATACATATCGATGTTCTTATGGGGGTTGCGTTTATCAAGAAGTACTTTGCGATGGTATAAAAGATTGTTTCGATGGTAGCGATGAAGATACGTCGATGTGCAGAGCAATTAATTGCAGTGGAATTGAATGTCTTCAACATGAATGCGGGTAGATCATTTTTTAGATTATCTTTTTTATAAATATTTGTACATTTTGTTTAATTCATTTTTTTCAGACAAAATGAATTTGCTTGCGAGAACGAAAGACAATGTGTGCCGATAAACAAAATCTGTGACGGGATTCGCCATTGTAGAGATGCTTCTGATGAGAATTCTGAAATGTGCACAAAACAAGAGTATGATAAAATTGTTTTTCATTCGAAATAATTTATTAAATAAGATAATTAAATGAATCAAACGTATTTAGATGTCGTGACGATAGTTATCGTTGTTCTTATGGTGCTTGCATTCCCATCAAATTCACTTGCAATTTGCGACCAGATTGTTATGATTGGAGCGACGAGGATGAAGAACTTTGTGGTAGAGTTTTGCCCGAAGGTGCATGTCGACTTCCTGGTGCAAAGCCAGGTATTCATTATAAGATAAGAGGTTGTTCGCGATGCCGACCTGGTGAGGTTGTTCCTGAATTTACTCGTTTAGATTACACCTGTGACAATGACGGATGGTTAGAAGGTTCCAATAGTGTCTATTGTCAAAATAATCGTTGGCTACCTTCAATTCCAATTTGTTCTGTTGGTAAGTATAACATATCAAATTTATTCGATTACCTTATATTATACATTTCATGACATTTAAAGGTAATAATAATACGTTGCGTATAACTTGCCCACCGATTTTGGAAGCCAATGGAGCTATAAAAAGATGCGAATCTAAATGGGGACCACGTAAAGGTTGGGTTTCTTGTGAAAAGCCCATGCCTATCGGAACAAACGCTTTTTTCGAGTGTCCTATGTTTTATGAACGTCTAACAGGATCAACGAGAATAATTTGTCTCCACGATGGAACTTGGAGCCAAACGCCATTAAGTTGTGCTCCTATTTGTGGAATACGCGAATCTTTAAGTTGGTAAATTGTTGATAGAAATAAATTCTTATAATTTAAAAGATTAACTTAATTTCTTGTTTACAGCTACACTTATTGTAAATGGTTGGGAAGTGCAAAGCGAAGAATATGTGCCTTGGCATGCTACACTATTTTCACACGAAAATGGTCAATGGAAATTCTTTTGTGGTGGTACTCTGATCGGTGAACGTGTTATATTAACTGCCGGTCATTGCGTGTGGAAAACATTTCCCGAAACGATACGCGCTGCATTTGGAATTCTTTCAAACACATTAAACGAAACGTTACAAGTAAACGCTCAAGTATTTGAAATCGATAAAATAGAAATTCAAAATTCGTATCAAGATCACGAAGGAAACTATGGTTCTGACATTGCATTACTTATCTTAAAAATTGCAGTTAAGATAAACAACGTTGTTAGACCAGTTTGCGTAGATTTGCAATCTGATTTAACTCTACTGGAGGCATGGAAAAATGGAGACAGTGGATTTGTGGCTGGTAAAAATATTTGATCGATAAATATTTTCATTTATAATTCTAATTCGTTGCTAATTAAATTATTATTATTATTTTTTTTTATTTAGGTATGGGAATTATGGAGAACGATACATACAGTTCAACTTTAAGAATGACTTCGATGAAAGTTATTTCCAACGAAAAGTGTCGCGAGTTTCACCACAGGGATTTTAGGAAATATATTACATATACTTCCTTTTGTGCTGGTTGGGCAAATGGAACAAGTGTATGTAATGGTGATAGTGGTGGAGGTTTTATATTGCGTCGACCTAATACCATGATTTGGGAAGTGCATGGTGTCGTTTCGATAAGTCCTCGACGATTGGGAACTAGTATTTGTGATCCATATTCTTATACTATTTTTACAAAAGTAATTATTTTATTTTTATCAATTTTTATATTTTATTTTATTATTTTATTATAATATTTTTTTAATTATATTTTAGGTATCATCTTATGGAGATTGGATTCGTAATATTATTGACAAAATTCCAATAATGGGGTCACCTGATATTAATCGACAACCTAATAAAGATGACATTATTATTTAATAGATAATAATATATATATATATTAGATTTATTAGTTAATTATATTTTGACATTTTATGTCAAGTCTAACATATGAAAAATTATACTTATATAAGTATAATTATATTACAAATTATATATATATATATTCATATTACATGGCAATTTATAACGCTCACATGTTTCTTATCTGTTCGTTCCTGTAAAAAAAAAAAAAAAAAGAAAATCTTGACAGTTCAAGAATATTTCGATTATGATTATCAGACAAGATTTTTTGATTACGTTTTATTAATTAAAAATTGTTTAATTATTTTATATATAAATATATATGAAATACAATTAATTAGTATGGCGTCTAATTTTATAACTCTTGGTGAGACAGATAACGATAATGATAAACGCGAAGAAAGTATTATGAAAGTTCGACGGAGTCATGTTGTAATATACATGTTTCTTATACATTTAACAAAATTATCTTCTCTATGTATTTAATAATCAATAAATTATGTTATATACATTAAATGTATATAATGTAATATTACAGATGCAAAGTTCGGTTGTTCTGATGCCAGAAAAATCAGAAATTCGTTCTATTCCAACAACGGTGGAGGTGATACCGATTAGTTATTATGACGACGTTCAAATTAGCCCAAATTTTATCGAATTTAAAGACGCTAGGGAAGGACTACCATTTATTAAAAAAATTGTTATTAAAAATTGTGGAACTAGACCAGCATTTATTAGAATACGGGATCCCAAATCTATGGTTATTAACAATAAGTTTTATTATTATTATTATTATTTATTTATTATGTAAAAGTAATATTTAAATTCTATAATTATTAATTTATTTTACTTTTTATTTATAGGCTTTTGAAGTGAAGACTTTAAAAACGGGAATAATGTTGAGTCCTGGATTAAGTTTTACAAGTTTTGTAATATATTCTTTTAGAAGACCAGCTTTATTACGTGCAATAATTCCAATTGAAATTAATAACAAAGTTCTTGATTATTGCGTCATTTGTACACTAATAACAGAACGTATTAGTATTAAACCAATGTCAATTGATTTTGGTATCATTGATTTGGGTTACACTTCTGAACCGAAAATTATAACTATTTATAACGAAGGTGGTAAAACTACCAGGTGATTTATTCATATGTAGCTTTAACAAAAAAAAAATAAAAAAATAAAAAATATATTTAATTATTTACTTAAATACGCATACACTTAGGTTTTCCATAGATCTAGGACAAAATGATCTTCATATAATAGTAAAACCATTACGAGGTATAGTTCGTCCTAATAAAACAGTCAATTTGGAAGTTGAAATAACTGGACTAAAGGAGGGTGTATTTTTTAACGAATTTTGGTAAATATTAAAAACAAAATACCTTATATGCTTTATTTTCACGATTATTTTTCATTTATTAATGGTGTTTGATTATTTCAATTGTAGGATCAAATCAACTCCGAACATTCGAGTTCCATTGAAAGCGAATGTTATAGCTCATCGTTTAATTATTTATCATGAAAATACAACTGAAGATTTTACTCTTGTTGATTTTCCACCTACGGTAGAAAAAACATGCAAGTACAATACGTTTGTTTTAAGGAATATCTCATCTCGAGCCTGCAACTACGTCGTTCTTGGCGAAGTTAATAATGAATTGAAGCCAATTCGGGTAATTGGAGAATAATATTCGGGTAATTAAGTATAATATTATATATATTTCGTGGAAATATTTTGTCAAAGGATTTTTATTTTTTAAAACTCATGACTTATTTCTTGTTTTGTTGATAAATTAATTAATTAATCCATTTCTGTAGAAAATCGATCACAAGAAGTTTCCAGTTTATGGTGCTTTTGAAATAAATCCAATCGAGGGACGTATGGATCCTTTCGAAAGTATCATTTTTGAAATTGGGTTAGTCCCTGACAAATTATTGAACTTTTTTATTGTAATTTTGTTAACTCCTGATTTTGATATTTAATTTCGAATATTTTAGTTTCTGTCCAACGATGAGATTAATTAAATGCCAAGGAATATTATTATACAAACAACAACATTTAAAATATCACAAATTTGAAAATAAAAATAATGATTTTATGGCTTTAATCAGAATAATCAAAATCCATACGGAAGCCATAAATATTTCCGGTGAATTGTTTTTTTTTTTCCCTATCAAATATTTCGAATTAAAAATGAAAACTTTGATTTGATAAAATATAAGTTTATTTTTTTTTTCTTAGGCTTTGATCCCATAAAGGAAACTATGATCGATGAAACAACATCTGGAAAAGTTCATCTGCGTAAGTTTTATTTCTATTAAAATAATATTTCTTCTTTCTATTAATTTTTATTGAAAGAAAATATTTCATTTTAGAAGACAAATTTTGGGATCTATCATCTACTTTAACGTCCAATAGTTCAATAGATAAACCAGTCAATAATTTTGTCAGAATTTGTCTTTATGGCGAAATGGAAATAATTAAACTTAATCTACAACCTGACAGTTTATATTTTGGTAATTTGCACATTGGCGAAATATCTCAACGTGTTATTTGCATCACAAATTCATCCAAAATTGAGTCTATATCATTTCAATGTCAACCAATGCCTGCCGTTAAATGTATTCCAAAATCTGCTAAACTGAAACCTGAAGGATCCACTGAAGTGCTTGTTAAGGTTCAAGCACGAGAAAATGGTAAAACTATATTTCCATTATTATTAATTTTTATGAACTTTACTTTCAATTCGATAGTTGGACCATCATTTGTACTTTTAATCAATGCCACTGTGGATTCTGAAAATTCAACTGTATCAAAATGTTCAACAAAAGTGAAAATTCGTACTTTTCGCGTTATATGTACCTTGAATGTTATTTTTAAGACTAGAACACCGATGACTCAGTTTGTCACAGGTAATCTTTTATCAACAAGTTGTTGAATCATATTTTCTGTTAGCGATATTTAGAAAAGAGACTTTTTTTTTTTTCTCTCTTTACAGGAATAACTCCATTGATAACTCATGAAGTTGGATTTATGACGAATCGTGCTACCTTCGGTTCGAACGTAAAGAAACCACGACAGGCAATGTTATTCGTTGAAAAAGATTTGAAAAGATCGTGGGCTAATAAAAAATTAATTCGTGATAATGTTATTATCGATAGTGTTCCTGCTTATCCAAATGATACACAAAAATCTTTGAGACCTTATAGAGGACCACCTGTATGTGAAATTATTATTATTATTATTAGACGACATTGATTCGATTTAAACAATCAAATATTTTCTCTACGATTTTTGTCTTCTAATTAGGTGAAAACTATATTTACTGGTAAACCACGTTATACACTTGGTCCTATTCAGTTTGAAGCTTTTACTGGCAAACAAGCAAATACCATAAACAAACATCGTTTATATTGGGCTGATTATCTTTACATGTCTCAATTATCACGCAAGAAAATGTTAGGAATGTCAGTAGCAAAATTATTTCCCAATGATGATAACGACAATGACGTAATATCTCGATTAACACAAGTTCCTAAAAAATTTCAAGAATTACCATTGACATTTCCTTGTAAAAAATTTGCTGATCAAAAGTTTCATTCTAAAATTCATCCGAAAATTTTCACTACGTTGTCGCCATTACAAATATATAATGTTTATGTTCATCCTGCCATAATTAATTTTGGAATGGTAATTAATATATAATACGATTAATTTCAATGAAAATACAAAATTGTTAAATGCGTAATTTTTTGTTGTTGTTGTTGTTAGGTGGCATGGAAAACGTTTAGTTATCGACAATTAATTGCATCTAATAGCAACGAATTTTCTGTAAAAATTCAATTTCTAAGTACGTCTACAAATATTCGATTTCCCGAAGGTGATACAATTATTTTACAACCTAATAAAATTCTAACGAAACTCGTTGAATTTTACGGCGATCGTATGGGAAAATTTAATAGTTTTATCAATTACAACATTAATGACAATCATTCATTTCAAATGAACGCAATCGCTGAAATTGTACATAAAAATTTGTTAATTGACAAACGAGAAGTTTTCATTGGTAAAGATTATTTGGAAGATGAATCGTATAGACCACAGTGGTCTATTATTCAGATTAAAAATAAATTGGATGCTTCCACACGTTACAAGTCTGTCTTTTGTTAATAATTAAAAAAAATATTTATTAATTAAATAAGATGAAAGAATATTGTTATTGTTACTTTTTAAAGTAACATTTTTTTTTTTCCTACAGATGGAAAACACCAGAAATTTCTTGTTTTTCTATAGAACCAAAATATGGTATCATAGGAGGTAATAGTATTTTAAATACATTTATCTCTTACAACGCTGACCCATTAAAACCATCCTCTGTCGAGATGATTATAAAATGTGAAAGTGGAACTTTCTCAAGATTGCAATGCAACTTGTTATACACAATTCCAAAAGTTACATTTGTCAATGATCGTACTGATTTAGGGGATTTATCTTTAAATTTACCAACTAAAGTGCATGGAATTCTTCAAAATTTCGAATTTACCGAAGTTGTTTATGAAATTGATTCTACATCTTTAATACGTGGATGCGAGATTAATCAATTAAATGGAATTATATCACCACGTGGAATTGCAATATTAGAGGTTTATCTTTTTTTTTTTTTGATAAAAAATAAAATATATATATTTTATTGAATAATAATAAAATATTTTAGGCAACTCTTAAGTTCGACGTGTGCATTGATTTTACTGTCACAATTTTTGTCACCATTCAAAAGCATTTAAAACTGCAATGGAAAATTACAGGACGAGTGCCATTTCCACGATTAAAATTTACTCCAAATTTTATAGAACAACGTCGTGTAATTGCAGATTCATTTCAGAGTCATTTGATAACGATTAGTAATATTGGAACAACTCTTTCAAAATTACAATTTGCTTTACAAGACTATCCTGAATTTAGTGTTGTTTTCATAACAAACGAGAAAACTGATATCAAAAGTGCGTATAATATTTTCTCGTTAAAATTGTCTATTGCTATTTTTTTATCTAATTTTATATTTAATTATATTTTATAAATTAGTCGAAGAAAATACGAGCGTGTTAATTCCATCAAGATCAACAATGAGTTTTTATTTACATTTTCAACCATTGGATCCAGCAAGTTATGTTATTTATCTTCCAATTGTTATAAACGATTTACTTGGGCCAGTGTTAGAAACAGATCCGAAAACTTTCGCACCATCAGAGTACATAGAATTGCAAAAAGAATTCTACAAGGATATTCAAGGAATAACGTTTCTTGAATTACCATTAAAATTACCTGTAATTTCGATTGATTTTACGGTAGCTGGACGTGCTGTATCGTTCAATAAATTCACATTTGTTTTTGATGTTGCCACTGACAACGTGAGTTTTTGAAAAAACCCAATATTTCAATGAAAATTGTTTAGCATTATTTTCGATATTATTTTTACAGATGATAGACGAACTTAAAATTGACAATCCTGATAAGTTGAAAGAAGTTACAGTAATTATTAAAACTGATAATTTTATCAAAGAAGATTGTCCTTTTTGTATCAATTGGTCTCGTGGCATCAAACCAACGATAACGTCAACATCAATCACGTGTTTGCTACTTCCAGGAGAAGAAATCGTTTTTTCAGTCGAATTTAAGCCAATTTATCGTGGAACATTTAAACTCGAAGCTTTAATTTTTATACAAAGAGATTCAACAGATTTACCGTTTAATACAATTAACTTTAATGGTGTAAACGCAAAAGAATTTATAGAAGCTAACATTTCGGAAATTTATCTATTACCTGTACCATTTAATACATCCATCGAAGAAAATTTTAAATTAAAAGCACAATATTTTCAACGTACAACAAATATTTTGGGGAAAATATTATCACCTAACAAATGCAGTGGTCATTTTAAAAATGACATGTTAAATATTAAATTTCCAAATGGTAATATTATTCCAGCAACATCGTAAGTATTATTATAATTCAATACAATTTTTGTGTGTGTATATACGATAAAACAATAATAATGATCTTTTAAATTTGTAGCTACATCGAATTGGATGTTATAGTTTCTTTTAAAAGTAATACAGTAGTATCATTTTCCTCAAAGATCGAATTTCATACTAAAGAAAGTCTTGTTGTATGTTCTGTCATTGTTTATGCAGCAGCAGATAATCATTTGTTAACTACCCATGCTTATTTTAAAACATCATTCGATTATTGCAATAAAAAAATGATTTATGAAAATGAAATGTCACCATCAATGTCTGTCACGGAGAAGAAATTTTCCATTATTGAAAATGAAACAGAAGATGATTTCAATAATAATCATCAAGCTTTGTATCCTCAAAGACAAGTATAATATTTTTTCAATTATACTATTTTTAAACGTTCAATTTAAATTCTCATTAATAATTGTTTTTTTTTTTTTGTTTTTTATTTGTATATTTTAGGAAAAAGATTCTATTGTTAAATCAGGAGTAAGAATTTCTTACCAAGAATCATCGGAAATAAAAACTAAATCATCCATTATCAAATCAACGATATCAAAATTCAATGGAAAAAAACATGAAAATAATGAAACAGATGATATAGATAATAATGAAAATTTTCAGAACGAGAAAGTATCTATAAAACAAAGTCAATCTCAATCAGATTTATCTGTATTTTCTATCGACGTATCTATTAATGATCGTAGAATTTCTAGTAGAATTATGTATCCATATTTTCCAACGGATAATGGAACTATGAAGCAAGTAACAACATTAACTTTTAAGATCATATCTCCAGAACGGAATTTTACAAACCAATTTCTAACTTATTCCGATATTCTCACCATATTACATAAATATATATATACACACACATACAGACACATGTAATTGTAATATTACATTTTGAATTACAGTGATTATGAGCAACATATGCATACAGTATTACAATCAGCTGAACAATGGTTGTACACAAATATTTTTAAATATAACTATTATGCGAATATTTCCGATGGTATAACAGCAACTGTTTCGATCAACAATCAAATAAAAAAAACACATAAGAATATTAAAAAACAGAACCGTTCATTTGGTAAATCATTCGTTGATGTATTAGAGTTATTAACAGGATCAAGTATTTATAATTATATTGAAAAATTGTAAGCTAATTATCTTATTTATTTGTCATCATTATCACATATTTGAGCCGTTCAGTGCACAACACATCGATTAACTCCATAAAACAAAAAGTTGACAAATGCGATGAAATAATGTCTTAATGGTGTTAATCTTTATTATTCATGAACACTTGTTAAATTTAAGATTGTTCAAAAAGTGGAGTTTAATCGACGTGTGCACTGTAACGGCTCATTTAATATTAATGACAAAATATATTGTTTCAATCAAATTAGATCATCATTACCACAAGATGATATTTTAAGAATTGATTTTATTCTTCGACAATATGAAGGAATACTCAATTATTTACTCGAACAAGGAGCATGCTTGGCTTACGTGTCAGCGTATTTTCTTTTGAATTATAACGATTATGTTACTTTCATCGATTCCACTGAATTTTCTGTAAGTTTATCTTAATAATTGAATAATACAATATATTTTATTAAATATATTTTATGTATATATAAATAGTTACGAAAAAATAAAATGGAATCTTTTGAAGTAAACAAATTATCAAAGACGTTATTTGAATCAAGAAGTAAACAATGTTGGTTGGATTTAATTTTGCAAACGTACAAGTGTTTAAAATTAAATCACATAAATAAGGACGAATTGAGAAGAAAATTAACGTTATTTTCAGAAACATCTTCAAGACGATCATCAACTCGTCGAGAATCCGTGTCGTCCAATGCGAGGTTTGTACAGAGAAATTTTCCTTTAATTAATTCTTTATTTTAATTATGAATATTTTTCTTTTTTTTTTTTCAGTTTTCGAAGAGTGACAAATTTACACGATCAATTGAAATTGATCGAAAATGTTATAAATCTAATGGAAAAACATAGTAGAAAAGAAATTCGTGATCGTTCGAAAGAAGAAATATTATTATTATCTTGGTTGTATCATCATTATGAAGAACAAAGGATTCAAAATTGGTTGACTGATAAGAACATTTCTTTAACTTTGTCAAAAGAAAAGAAAAATAATATTTTACAACAAAAAAATATCAATAACTTTGATACCATTTTGTCCGATGGTCTAATATTAATCGCAGTTACTGGTGCTTATTGTCCATTTTTAATCGAGGAATGTTTCTCTAATTTATACATCAATCCGAAAACTATTGAAGAGGTAAGAACTATGAATTGAAATTATAAACAACATAAATGCTGTTGCTTGCTTACGATTATTAATAATTCATTTTTATTGATAAAAATCAAGGCATTGCACAATGCAAGTTGTTTGGTAAGCAGTTGGACATTAATTAGACTTGGTTTTATGATAACTCCCTCTCAAATTGTTCATCCTAACAGTGTGCAAATGTTGATGTTAGTCACTCATTTGTTTGAAACGTTGCCTTCGTATTTACCAAAATTTAAGGTTGGTTATTTAAATCATTTACATTTGTTGATTATCAAATATAATAATATTTATATTTTGTTTTTGACTTATGAAGATAACATTTAATTGTCCTTTAACGGAAACAGTTGTTAAACAAGTAACATTTTCAAATTTAACGGACAATACAATTGATTATTTGTTACTTTTCATTGGCAATAAAAATAATGTCTTCTCTTTAGTGCAAACACAATCGCGTATTCGTATTAATGCACACGATAGTGTACAAGTGAAGATATGTTTTCATGCTAAAAAAATACAAAATACCAAAGGTGATGATACATACACGTGATGATAAATATAAATATAATATAATGTTAGGTTTAATTTATATTTGATTTTTGTAAATTTTTAGCATATTTATTGCTTTGCGGTGCTGCATATGGTCCACAATTTGGCACTAATCAAACTTACATATTGGAAGGTAAAATTAACAGCCTCGAAGTATCGCAAGAACATATTATATGTAGTAAACTGTATCAAATTTTTAATACTATTTTAAATATTAAAATACCCTATAAAAATGCAACGGAATATGAAATATGGATGACGGAAGAGAAACCGAACAAGCCATGTAATATGCATACAAATTATATTATATACGCCAACAACAAAATATTCACCTGAAATTAAATGAATGCATTTTTTTTTTCATTTAGCAAATTTAAAAATGATTAAATGGTCAGAATTGCGAACAAAAAAAGTACCAAGGAGATTATTTTTGAATCAAAAAAGTATCACAGTTGACGAGGACGTAACTGAGGCAAATTTAGGAATCACTGTTGCGTGCATAACACCTACTTCGAAACAATTTTGGCTTGTTTGTCAATCGAAAACGGGTGATTTTATTATTCAAGTTAATATTAAAGTTTTATTCAAAAGATGCTTTATAATTCTATGTAATATAATTAACAATTATTTATTAATATATTATTATTATTATATAATGTAGATAATTTCACGATATCAATCAACGTTTATCGATCGTATTGTGGTACAATGGAATAATGAAAACAAATGCATTTGCACCGATGGTTGGGGATCGAATGAAGATTGTCCTTGTAATGTTGAAGTTCTTATACCATCTCGGAATAATGAACTTTGGAACTGCATAAGTCATATGTTTCAAAAAACATTAGACAACAAGGAACGTGCATTCTGGTCACGATATTTAAGTAAATAAATAATTCAAGTTATCTCTTTACTTTTCATCAATTCAATGAAAATATTATATTGTGACAAAGGATAAATGAAATTATTAATTATTAGATACGTATATTGGACTCAGATTAATACACTGGCTTATTGGTCATAACGTTGATACCGCGGATTTAGAATTTGTGCATATATTTAATGCAAAAGTTACGTACTCTGTTTCTGCACTACAACAAAATGATCTTCTTCTGACATTACCAGAGATATTCACTATAAATGGCAAGTATACTCGCTTTATCTTACATTTTTTTCATTTAGTTTGAATACTATAAATGCTAAAAGAGAGAGAGTGAGAGAGAGAGGATTAATTTTTTAACTACTATACATGCAGATGTTAGATTAGCAGATCAATACGTTCCAATGACTGTCCATCTTTTACCAACTGATTCACAAGTATATGAGACTACTTTATCTTTGACTTCTGAAGATGGTAAAGAATTGCGACTTTATGCAGTCAGTTTTTTGAACGTCGATGAGTGAGTACATTATACAGATACAATTAACATAATTAATAATTATTAATTATACATCAACCGATTTAATCGGTAAAAATCTTTTCGTAAAAGAAAAATAAACGAAGTAATCTCTACTTTAAACACATTTTTACGAATGCAAGGAGACAGGAATGAATAACGACATATTATTTTGATGATAATAATGATGTTTTTAATGTATGTATGTATGTATGTATGTTTGTCCGCATAAAAAATTATTGTTACGTATAATACAACATATAAATTTTTGTTATTAAAATATATATTTACATATATATATATGTATATATGAATTGGCTAAAATACAACAAACAAAAAAAGTAGATTGAAAGAAAGAAAAAAGAAAGAAAAAGTAAAATATCATATTATCTCATAGAAAAGAATATTCAAGTGTAAAAAAAATAAAATCTTTCATGCAATACATCAGAGAGCTCATCAAGTTATATATTATAATTAATATTATTTTGCGAACAAACATTAGCCTCCTTTTTCTGCAACAATTAGGATGCGCTCATTAATATTATTAAATGTTCTAATGTCGTGAACATCAGATATTTTTCTTTTTTTAAAATCTCATTGACGGAGTATCGTTCTCTCGACGTCACATGATTATTATTATTAGTATTATTTTATTTATTAATTGTCCTAAATTTTGTCGTAATATTTGCGCAAACGTGTGCGCATCGTATGAACAACGATATTATCAGAAAATGAAGTTCTTATTTTCCTTCGATAATATACTTTTAAATAATTACAATCGGTAGAATTTTAATTTACAAAATGATCATTACTTTAGTATAAAATTTTTATTGTTGTTTTCTTTTTTTTTTTTTTTGCACATGAACATGTCATGTCGTGCATATTTTTCAAATCTGTGTCAAAAGTAAGAAAAGATAATAATAATAAAATACTTATGAACACGCGGAACATCGAAATGTATACGACGATTGTTTCATAAGATTAACACGGTTTTGAAAAGATATCGATAACAAATCGTTTTAATGTTCCGTAATATCACATTTTACGTAATTATTATCTTAAAATTCAAATAATCGAATAATTATCAATTTTATTATTTTTTTTTTTTTTTCATATCTAATATTATTATTATTTCAAACAAAGTTCGTTATAAAACTTTGATACGTCGTAATAATGTACACATACAATGATAAATACTTTAAAAAATCTCGTGAAACATGATGAGTTTCTTTACGGCCATTTTTTTTTTAATGTCTACTATTGTTTATTATTGGTCGTTGGTAAAGCCTTATTAAATAATCAATGCGTTAAAGATAAATGCCAAAATGTCATAAATATATATATATATTACAAAATGTTACTACTAAAACGAAAAAATATTATTTAATTGTTTCTTATCTTAAAAGTATATTATTATTATTTGGCATTTATTTTTAACGTATAATGAATATGATTTGTTTAACTATTTAACTGGCTTTCAAAGAGAATTTCATAAATTATAATCACACGGCTTATAATAAGATTGAGGTGTTTATAATAGGAAGTACAAGAAAAATAGGAACTATAACTTCCCAAAACAGAATATTATACAAATATTAAAAGATTATTATTATTATCACGCGGTATATGCAACGGGACTTATTATTTTTACAATTCTATTAACATATTAATTTACAAGCGGAAGATTTCAATATCTGCCAGTTAAAGTAGTCTAGTAAAGTAAATTATCTTAATAATATAATTAATAAATTATTTGATATTTCGTCAAAAAAACAAACTATATAAAATATAATTTAGTATATAGATGAATTGAAGATATAAATAATTATTTTATAATTAATCATTAGTTTTAATTACAAATGGAAACAATTGTTTCAATTTAAGCTGCAGAGCATTTTCTTTTTTTTTTGTTTTTTTTTTATATATATTGTATGAAAGCATTTACAAGAATACTTTCATATTTTATCGAATTTCTAGAATTTGTTTGATCAAGTTGAGTAAAAATTTCACTCGCATTCTCTCATTATAATTTATACAACAAAATGATATATACATGTATTAGAACTATTGAAAAGTTTTGTACGATAATGCCGTGTCTCGAGTATTTTCGCGTATCTCTGTGATCGGTGACGATATTATTAGGACCATTATATAATAAAATGTTTATTTTCTGAGACCATTGGAGATTGCGGAAATGAATACAAAAACAATTTTACACATTTGGCTTGGAAAAACGGACAAAACTTTTCGATAGTTCTAATATTATACCATTGTTTAAGTAAGTCTGATATTAAAATAATAAATCTATATACATATATATATATAGATATATATATATATTCTTGTGAGAAAATGCAAATGAATTTTTTACTCAAATTGATAGATTTAAACTTGTGCAAAATATGCTGCTCTGCCTTAAAAAAATTGTAGTCTTATTATATGTGATAATATTATTTACATTACAGTAAATTTCCGTATAACTCGGTTAAATGTTACGTGTTATATGAATTCGCGCTATAGGAAGAACTCGAGTTATACAGAAATTAACTATATTATTTCATTCCTTATTTTATTCTTATAAATTAAAAATTATACTATAACTAACCAAAAGTACATATGTCAAACTTTTCGCTTTCCTATATTAGCTTTCGCTTTTTTTAGAAGACTATCAAATGTTTCTTCTTCTTCTTCTTCTTCATCATCTTGATATTTTGACATATTTATTCGTTTTTTTTCTAATTGAGTTTCTTCATCTTCACGGTAGTGATCTGTAAATGATGTTTTGTGTTTAATGATACATACTCTCATATGAAACAGTTGCATATTAATTATTTATATTTGTATTTGTTCTTACCAAGATCTTCATATGGAATTTCGCAAAAATCTCTTCTATGGCCAAAATTTAATTCATATTTGGGTAAATTTGGATCATCGTTTCCATGTTCTAGAGCCTTGAATGCATCGTGTTTATAATAGAATGTTATAAAACCATAACAATCCCTGTAAATCATTTTATTTTAATGGAATTCATTTTTATTTATATTTGATGTAAAAATTAATGTACAATTAATTACCAAGGATGTTGCTCACGGTGATGTATCGATACTGTTTCAATGGAGCCAAAGCGTCGAAATCTTTGATATAAAGTAGCTTTAGTTGCCCCACTTTCCAAACACCCAGCATAAATGACATTTTGCCTGTATTCATTTGATTTTTTTTCTGAATACCGGCCATACGATCTTTGATAATTATTTGATGACGAACTAGTAATAATTAAATAACAAATAAATATATTATGCCACTATGTATGAACTATTAGTTACTACTATTAATTAAAAAAAAAAAGTCATGTCACAATATGACAAAAATTTACCTTCTCCCATTTTTGTTGTTGTGAGAATTTTTTGACGGCATTCCGTTATACCTGTCACCATTTCTACTGACTTCGGCAAAGTTTCTTTTTATGGACCTATTTTCAGGGTGCCATTTACTGCTTCCGTCATTTGAATTAGGGGAAGATCTGCAATATTTTCAATTCATTTTATGAATTTAGGCCAATATCACTTTTTTTTTTTTTTATCATTTTAAAAGTACCTTGAGCAAGGAGAATATTGATCGGACATTGAGGTGGATCTTGATCTTGATGATTCTGAATGTGAGAATGAGTATCGCGATCTAGAATTGGATCTTATGTCTGAGAGCGATTGTGATGTACAGCTGACGTTTGAACTAACTGAACTGGGGCGATGATTAATTCTTTTATGGCGGATATTGTGTCTGCTAGATCTGTTTTTACTTCTGTCTCGGTGATGTTCGTTTCGGTTTGGACTCGGACTTCTACTTCTACTTGTACTGTATGATCGGCTTCTAGATCGACTTGAACTTGAATCAAGCTTGCGTTTTTTATTAGCTTGTTGCTCTTCTCTATCTAATATATGTTTTTTGCTGTAAATCATAAAAAATTTTGTCAACATTTACAATAATGCAATTTATATAATTGTTTGTTTTAAAGATATATAGTTGATTTGATATTTACCTCTGTTGTCTTTCATCATTCCTTTTATCAACATCCATCAATGATTTGGTAGAAACTTCATTTTCCTCATTGATAATTATAGGAGATTTGGTAGACATTGTGTTTCTTTCATCAACATCTACCAAAGATTTGATAGGAATTTCATTTTTCTCATCAAAATCCCTCAAACATTTTGTAGCATACTTAAATACAGTTTCGTATGTTTGAGTCTCCATGTCTCTGGTAGGTGGTTTTGCCTTTAATTTATTTAGATCGGCTTCGGATATTTTTTCTGGGATGCATTCTCTTTCGCACCAAAGTTCGTTTCCCAATTGATCTTTGAATGGTTCTGTGGTTGTCGAGGCTTGATATACATATGCTATTGTCATTGATTGAGCGGCCAGTTTTGAGGTAACATTTGAATTTACTCTTCTATTTCTATATTCAGCTAAATTTAGTTTTTTGCGAGGAGGTGGTTTGGTTTCGATTTTTTTCGGAATATCTTCAATATTTTCTATTATAATGTTTTGCACAATATTATTGGAGCTATTGGTAGTTGTAACTATGCTTTCATTATTATTAGTAGCAATTGGTTGTACTATTGGTTGTACTGTCGGTGGCTTTTTTAATACAGAAACCATTTGTTTATTATCTTTTATTGGTGCTGAATTGTTTAATTTTTTATTTTTTGATCTGAGAATTTTTGCTACTATTGCAGATTGTATTTTCATCACACACATTGGTGCATTTTTTTGGGGTGTGCTTTCATGAGAAGGTGGTTTTATTTCTTGTTTTAAAGGTTGAGTATTTATGAGGTGCTCTTTTGTCTGCTTATTAAATTGTTTTTCAACTGTATTATTACTATTACTATTGTATGGTAAGAATTGTTCACTATTGTTACTTGTTTTAGCCGATTCTAAACTATTGTCCTTTATAAAGTTTTTATGAACATTACTTTTGTCACTTTCTTTAAAGCTTTTAGCTTGTCTAACTGTTGTTGTCCTGTTTTTCACTGCACAAGGACGATTGCATTTTTTAGATTTATTTTTTGTACTTAGAGTTTTTTCACTATTTTCACTAGTTTTCTTTTCACTAGCACTATTGTCTGGATCGTTAACGGTGAAGTTGGAATTGCTGCAATAATCATGGTCCAATTGGATTGATCCACCGTTGATTGTTTTATTTTTACCCTTATTTGCCACCTTTAAAAATATTATTTTAATTATATATAAATATTTAAAGATTGTTTATTTTTTTAATGTGATTTCTGTTAAGAGCTTTCTTTATTATTAACACGTTCAGTATCAAACCATTTACTTTAATGCATAAAATATATATGCTTTGTGTAAGACTAGTGGTACATATGATACTGAACGTGTTAAAATAAAGTTCTAATTACCTTAACAACTTTGTTCTTTGATAACGTTGTACTAGTGATATCTTGTATTCGATTGCTGTTATTTCGTCCTCCTTTACGAAGGTTTGGCATTGCAGGTATCACAGAAATTCCTTTTTTTGTTTCTTTATTAAGGGCCTATATAAAGGGCAAGAATATATGAGACTAAGTATATTGTAGTCAACAACTACTATATATATATAATATAATATATATATATATATATATTAATTGCTAACTATATATACCTTTATCCTGTCAATCACTTCTTTAGATGCTGGATCGTTAATGTCTTTTATTGAATTCGGAGGTGATGAATTTGGTTTCTTTGGATAAACTGGTGAATTACTGTTTCCTGAATGGACCGGTGAATTTGTGTTTTTAGAATGTGCAGGCAATTTCTTTTTTCTTGGTTGTGCTCGTATATTTTGATTGGATTGTTTAGAAACTTTATTGTGACACGATGCATTCACAGAAAAAATTTCTGATGCCTCAAATTGTTCAAATAAACTGTTGACATCACCAGCTTCTAACACTACAAATTGAAAAGTATATATAAATATATATTAGATTGTATTTAATTTGGCATTTATTTGTTATTACAGTTAAGATTCATGCCATAATCAACAGACAATGACTAGTGTTTACAGAATTGATATTTTTTATAAATGAATATAATAAATATCATCGATAATAAATAGTTAATAATCTTGAACGAACAATTCGTATTTTATATTTAAATTTAGTCATTGTTATCGATTATGGTACATTTAGTAATAATTATAGATTAACATACTTGGTGTTTCTTCGGGCACTGTTACAATATCAATACAAGTATCAGTCTCTTCTTGTTCCTTTTCTTCGTATAAATTCCTTTTCATTTTTTTCCCCTTTGTGGTAATAGTTTCGGTATATGTTCTTTTTCTGTTTTTATTTTCAGTTGCGGTAGTCTTATTCTCACTTTGGATTTTCTTTTTCGTATTAAAATCCTCTTGAGAATTTTCACTACTAGTATTCTTTACACAATTATTTTTATAATCAGCAATACCTGTTTAAATATTAATTATATTAATTATAGAAAGATATTTGAAATATATTTATATTAGCAAATCACAAATTTAATAGCGAAGACATACCTGAACCTTTGATTTTAATTTTCATATTAGATATGATTTCAACATTACTTTCTTCTAGGTCATTTAAATGTAAATAAGAATTATTCGTTCCTAGAAGAGTCGTATCTTTAGATACGTTGTTCATATCATCGTCCATATCCTTTAAAAATAATCTTATATTAACAAACTAATATACAAAGAATTTCTTAATATATTTAATAGAAAAGAATTTTGTGAAATATACTAAATTTAAGAATATTTCCAATAGATAAGTTTGAAGTATAATTAGTTAGAGTATCAATAAATTTATTCAAAAGAATTTCTAGTAAAATACTTACCGGTAATGATTCAAGATGTTCATCCCAGTCGTTAACAGTTCTGTTATAATCTTCTTTATTAATAATTTCATTAGAGTCTAAGTCATAATTTAGCATCGTATTGTTTATTACATTTAAATCATTTGGAGAACTGCAATAAAAAAATATATCACATTGAAAATATTTCTTTGAAACAATCGGGTTAATAATAAGCATAGAGATATTATTACAACTTACTCTTCCAAGAGATTCCACATATCATCAATAGAAATATGTTCGGACGGAGGTTCCAAATTATTATCAATAAAATTAGAAAGCGAATCTTCATTTATAATATTCTGCAATACAATTATTAATATTACAGGTTAAAAGTCATCATTATTAATAAAGGAATAGCACATGTGAAAAATATTAACATATGTAAACATAGTATGTATAAATACAAACATTAAATATTATCAATGATTTGATTTATCAAGAAAACAATTCTCTGCGGACCGATATATCTGAGAGTATTATTTAATTCACATGTCATATTCTTTATTAATGAAAATAATGAAAAAAAAACATTGCGAAGAAATAGTTGTAATTATTACCTGTTCATTAGTTATTTCCAAGTTTGGGAATAGTTTACAATCTTGTAGATTTAGGTAATCAGTCTCCATGATGCAAGAGGAAAAGTATTTAATTACAATACCGTAGTCACAATCTAAAATAATAATAAACACAAAGTATTGACACGAGTATTTGACATAGTATTGTAGAAAGACCGTGCGCGCTATTACTGGCTGGCCACGCGCTCATTTTAAGGTTATGTCACAAAACAACGCGCCATACACGAGTAATATGCACACGGTCACATCAAAAAATCTCTTTAAATGCTCGAGATATGTGTTAAAAAATAAACTTCTTATGTAAACATCGATTTACCGAAAACTATAAGATCTTATTACGATATCCATTTTCGCGGTAGAAACTATTACAATCATAACGAATGCCGCACGTCGACTGGACACGCGGGTACCATACCTTCCGGCTAATTCCGCGTGGAATCGTGCGTCTTCGCGCACGTTTCATGAGGCTATTGACACATGCTTGTATTAACGGGAGGGAAAAGAAAAGCTTTACTATTGACAATAATGTATGATATAACATTGATTAAACGATAAAACTTAACAAAGTTATGAGTAAATAATGACAGATGCATCTTATGTACATATATACACAATGTAAATAAAAATTCGTGAATGAATAAAACATGTAAGATTTTAGTTTGCTCTCTCTCTTTGTCTCTTTCTTCACTCAGCTACACACACACACACACGCGGATTTATCAATGAAGGGAGTACTCTACGATTGTATACTAAATACACGTTTGACACCATATGTGTATATATATTATGTCATGTGCGTTACAGATAAAAGATAAAAAGATATGTAAAAGATATGTATTTTAAATATATGTAAAATAAATTGAGTATTGTTTTTTTTTCTTAATTTGAAGAATTTTAAATTATGTTGTTATGTTGTGCAGTATGATTCCTTAGTATCCTGTACGTATATTTTTAATTGCATTTAAATGTAAACCTTTCAATATTTCGATTCGAACATAGATGGAATTAGGCCATTTTCAAAATAAACGATTCAAAAGACGCGCGTCACGACACATCTTTGTACTTTCTCTATTTCTCGTAATATATTTTAAATGTAACAATGAATAAAGTTAACAATTAACTTTTTAGAATAGAAATTCACCACCCGCTTTTAACACTTAGCCAACCGCTCGAGTAAATTTACCCTTTTCATCTGAGGAACGATTTTTTCTCTATAGAACTTATTTTCGGGATTTCCGATGGTGTGTCTTTGCCAGCCATTAAATTATTTTCATCAATATTCAAATATATTACTACCTTTTCGTTTTATATTTGAGTTACCGTTATTTATCCGTCATCTTTACTGTTCTTAATTTTTTCACTCTATTACACCTATATTTTTTTGAATAATCATTAAAAAATAATTATTATAAACTTTTCATTTCGAATTTTGTATAAGCAATATGTGAAATCGTTGAACGTTTTTCATTTCAAATAAAGAATTTTAGTTCGTGATACTTCAGAAAAATGCGCGGTAGTGGAGAGAGCTTAGTTTGAAATTTTCGAGCGCTAGACTAGAGGTCTAACTAGAGGTCTCCGTCGGTCGTTCGGTCCGTCGGCAAAATATTTAACCTGGAATTGTCGGTATAAATAAAACGTGTTCACGTTCCCGACAACCCGCTTAACACACATCACATTTAAGAGCATAAACTTTTATTTAAAAATTATGATAAAACTTACCTCGTCAAGCGTCGAATTATTGTAGCGTTATATGGTTACAATTATACAATTCAATGTTCTTTGAATTGTATACTGTTATACACACTTATACGGTAACGTTTAAAATGTTTTAAATTCGCTTTTATAAGTTTCACCCTTACTTTGATTGATTCTAAGAACAAATCTACTTTCAAAATTATTCTTTACTTTTCTATACTGCACATGCGCTAACTTTCGCGATTTCAAACGTTAATTTAAATTTCAATGAAAAATTTCCGAATGATACACGAATGCACTTTTAAATACTGTTGTTGTGAATAAGAGCGACTTTAATAGTAAATATTTCTTCTTGTACTTTTATTTCGTCTACTCGATAGATCAGAACTACTTGGATCGATTCTATAGACTAATAGCTACGAGATTTCTGCTTTTTTATATATTTATCCCCACTTTGTAGAATAGATCCCTCCTTCCAAAATTTATCTGTTATTAAAAACATATTATCCCCACTAGCCCTGAGAAACGCCCTTTTGAACATTTACCTCGGTTTTCCTTATTGCTTATTCGTTTAAAATTCTCCTTCTTTTTTTATGTCATTGTTAAAACTTATCCTCACTGTGATTAGAACACATCCCTCTTCTAAAATTTATCTGTTATTAAAAACATATTATCCCCACTAGCCCTGAGAAACGCCCTTTTGAACATTTACCTCGGTTTTCCTTATTGCTTATTCGTTTAAAATTCTCCTTCTTTTTTTTTTATGTTATTGTATCCTCCTCTTTGACTAAGTCTGAATTTGAATCCCCCTGATTCTTTCCAATTTACATCTATGTTTTCTTCATTGCGCATGCGCTAAAAATTTTCCAACCTTTTCTATTTTCCCCTTCTTCTTTATCTTCTTCTTCTTCTTCTTCTTCTTCATCTTTTTACTAGGACTTTGTTCTGTTATATTTTTTATATTTTTTCTAAAACCATCTATGGGCCGAATTTTTGTTATAAATAAAAAGAAATGTTTATAACTGAAATACATATTTGTTGTTGAATATTACAAATTATTTTTTCACCAATAGTTTATATTATTTTGTGCGTTTATTTATTAATATTATTAATAATTAATTAATAATTAATTAATAATGTGCATTATAGCGAAACCGTGTAACACGATTTCGTGTTTTAGGACGGCTACCTGGACTTTCTTTTCACCAAATATTTTCTATGAAATATTGTCTTCTCTTTCTTTATGGTGTTTCCTTTAAATTTCTCTTTTTTTCTTTTTCTATATTTTTAAAGCACATTGAAGGTTGGAAGGACAAAGTCGTCCTTAAAATTCTTTTATCTTGTTTTTTTTAGTCGTTTTCATCGAAAACGGAGAGACCTTCACGGGCAATCGAATTTATTATAGTTTCACTTTTATTTAACAATGGTTAAAATACTCTTTAGAATTTTCTTTTTTCAGAAAATATCAAAGATTGTAATTCAGAAAAAAGAATTCCTATTTTATGATAGGGTAACATCTGTTTTCTATTCCTTTTCTTTAGTTCGTTTTCTTAGATTTTTCTCTTTTTATATGAATTGTATTTCTTTATACGATTTTTTCTTCATTCCATTAATAATGTTATTTTAAATTGATTTTCCTAAAATCCTCAATGTTTTCTTTTACAATTCGTTCGTCTAGAATATCGAAAAAAATTATATTGACATCTGTCCATTTTCTATTCCTTTTCTTTTGTTCATTTTCCTAGATTTATATATATATTTTTTTCTTTTTATATGAATTGTATTTCTTTATATGATTTTTTCTTCATTCCATTAATAATGTTATTTTAAATTCCTTTTCGTTAAATCCTCAATGTTTTCTTTTAGAATTCGTTCATCTAGCATATAGAAAACAATTACATTGACATCTGTCCATTTTCTATTCCTTTTTTTTAGTTCGTTTTCTTAGATTTTTTTTCTTTTTATATGAGTTGTATTTCTTTAAACGATTTTGTGTCCATTTTATTAATGATGTTATTTTAAATTCCTTTTCGTTAAATCCTCAATGTTTTCTTTTAGAATTCGTTCGTTTAGAATATCGAAAAAAGTTAAGGTACAATTTAGAATATTTCTAAGAAACATTAAAGATTATTCCAAAATGTTGGCTGAACCAAACTACACATTCAAATTATACATTTAAATTTCTCAATAAGGAGAATAATAAAATGAATATTACATAATTTATCTCTCTTTTATCGTCACAAAATCTTTGATTGTGTCATCAAAATTGATTGAGTTTTGTTATTTTGCTTTCTATTGAAATAATGAGTCATGAAATATGTCATAAAAATGACAATCGACATATGTATATTGCATTCAAAGTGAAATCAGTTACAACAACTTAATGAGAATCGTATTAAAAGAGGTAACAACCGATAAGGGTTAATATGTTGTTAATGGTAACTAAAGTAATTTGGTTACCAAGGATTCCTATAAATCACCTGAAAAACTATGAGTCATTAGGCATGAGTGTTTATTCTCATCGCATTTAACATTATTCACATTCCATCAGATAATCGAGACAAACAAGGGTGACAGAAAGTATTTCGAAAATGTAAACCAAATATTGTATGCATATTTTATTCATTTTGAAAATATCATTGAAAAAAAAAAAAAAACAATATTATTCTAAATGGCATCGTATCGTAATCTGTTTTTTTATCACAAGTTGAACTTTTAACGTTATGTCCTGCTGCGAAGGAGGTGATAACATCGAACGTTCTCCTGGTACTGGCTGTTGTGGTAAATATTTCAATTTATAACAAAATAACAATTTAACAAAATATATTGATTAATGAAATGCATATGTATATATATATATATATTTAATAATACGTAGGAACAAATTGTACGGTTGGATCAAGCGGGTGTTCCGCTTCTGAATCTCAAATTCGTTCTTGTCATTGTCAAAATAACGTCGGTTGTTTAAATCGCAATGATTGCGGTGGATTTCGTCCTAGCAGTACAGCAGCTACCGGTGCATGTCCTGGACCGTGTCAATGTTTAGAAGAAGAAATTTGGAATAGTAACGTACCACCTAAACCAAACTGCGAATGGTTGAGCAATTTTTCTGAACTTCGACGTCAATGGAGTAATCATGCTCGTCAACAGAACTGCAAGTGTTGCAACTGTAGATCGTCGTAAGTAAATCATTAAATAAAAATAAATGATATATAAATGAGTTTTTAATTTGAGCAAAAATTTTTGTCTATGTCATTAACGTTATCTCAGATAAATTATAGATTAAGGATTTTAGAAATGACACGGGTTAAATTAAAAATTGTATTTTATATAATGTATTATATTATTATTTTGTATTTTGTATTTTATTGTTAATTTTATTCGATTCGCAGTAAAATTGCTACCCCCTGTCGACCGTGTTTGCCATCGACACCTTGCACCTCCGGCTTTGTCTTACCATCGTCGGACTGTCAGGTATACCGAGGTAGACTCACGTCGAGAGACCACATGTTTTCTATTAAAGCGAGTCAAGGGTAAACTTCTTTTGTAGCAACGATGAGAGAAAGAGAGAGAGAGTAAAATAGAGAAAGGGAGAGAGAGGGAGAGAGAGAAGAGAATAGGGTGAAAGCGAGATTATACGAAAAGTAACTATTTAAAGCATGATGTGTATAATAATTTTATGAAATGAGATAAAACAGGATTATTTTCATTAAAAAGATTTTATTCATCGTTGCTTCGAAGTTTGAACGAGTTACTCGCGCATATGCAGATAAAATGTAAATGAGTAAGAAATGAAAGCTTTCTTTCTCATTTTCGTTAGGATTGTCGCGAGGATCATCGTTTAGCCGGTGGTGCAAGCGATAAAAGAGATTTAAGTCCAGTGGAATCAACGTCCTCAAGGGAATCTCGTAACGTTGTTCGAAGAGAGGTTGGGGGTGGTTGTCCACCACCGGGATGTGGTCGATCTTGCCCAACGGGACGATGTCGATCACCAAGTACGGATCGTTCCTCTTCGTGTTCGAGGAATCCTACCTCCGTAGCGCGGCCCCCTTCCCCTTGTAGACCATCGACTCTTTGCCAACCCTGTTCTCCTTCCCCGAAGTCTATTTTAAAAAAAAGAAGTTGCTGTCAATGCACGACCAGTTATTGCATGTGTCAACCGATGCCACGAAATTGTAATTGTCCTCCTCCTGTTCAGATCGATGCTCGAGCGGAACGAGATTGCACTTGTAATTGTCCTTCATCTCCGGAATGTGCATGTCCACCTAGCGAACGAAGATTTCCTAGAACAATGGTTAAATGTCCTAACAGTAGATTATGTTGTCCCCTGCCACGATTACCTCCCGGTCCAAAGTGTCAGTGTAATCGGTGTCAGCCCTGTTTACCGCCACCTTGCGATCCCTGTACCTCCAGCATCTGTCGGAATGCCATTCCAAGAGCGAATCCCTGTTGTCCGAGTTCACCGTGTCCTCCACGTTCACCTTGTCGACCTAAATCTCCCGATCTTCAAGCTCCAATGTCTAGAACATGCCGCTCACCGTCACCTTGTCGTAAATCAGTGCAACGATATTGTGTCGGAAGGAATTCTTGTTGCGATGATATTTGCAACACTTGTCCGCGTGCTGCGAAGGACAGATCGTTGTCAGGATGTTGCGGAAGAACAGGTCAGTCTTCGACTATTTGTCGTAGACGAGCAGGCGGTGATACGCGACAAGAAATAATAGCGATGAAGCTCAAGGACGAGTCAACAAATACGAATGATCACGAGGGTAAATCGCGTAATCCTTCCTCGTCGGGATATTACGAGAAAGCTGAGGATAGAGAATGCGAACGCGAGGGTGGGACGTGTTCGTGCGAGTCGGATTCTCATGATTGTTATCGACGTATCGACAGGTCGAACGAAATTCGATCGGACGTTGCTTTCAATCATACTTCCAACTTGAATACGGTTAGTCACTTTGCTTATCAACGTCACGATAAATCCGATCAAGGGAGATTCGATATCGATTATGATTATTCTCACAATTTAGGTTCGATCGATGACGATTCATCTTGTCATCGTCGTCGTTATCATCGCGATACAAATAATAATAATAATAATATCAATAATAATAATAATAATAATAATAATAATAATGCATATGATTCTTCTCGTAAGAAATCATTTCAGGATTGCTCTCAATGTCGTTGCAGTCGCGATGAGGACGGATGTGATCTTTCTTGCGATCATTGTTGTTCTTTCGGCCCTACGAATATTAAAGACGAATCGCGATGTCATTGCGCTCCCGATGGTAATGGCTGCGATAAAACGTGCAATTATTGTTGTGCATTTAATGATTCAAACGTGATTATTACTGACAACGTTTCGGTAGCGCGAGATGAGCGAAAGGACGATTCGAGCGTTATCTCAAACAGCGATAATGATAATCGACGAGCTCGGGAAAATAACAAGGGTGTAATAAACAAATCGTTAAATGACATGTCATGAATCTTGTTTACGTAACACGCAGGACTCGTAGATTGGTTTTCTCTTCATCTCATTTTCGGACAATGCTTACGATTATTTATTTATTTATTTATCTAAATGAAAGTATTTTTACACGTGTAAATGTGTAATCTTTCTGTCGATACTAAACAGAGTGTAAACACTGTCCGTTAATAGATATCAGAAGAAGATAGCGCAAGGAATGAATTGTGTAGAAAATAATTGAAAATTGAAATTGATCATCAATAAAAGTCTAATTGATTTTTAATTTAAAAGCAGAACTCTCGCGTGTAGACTCGTCCTTGCACGCGATAGAGTGAGATAGACATTTACTTGTATCCTTGTCTCTGTATCTCACCAAAGGGCCAATGTGACACGTGGTGTGGTGGGTCCGGTAGGTGGAGATTGCACAACGACGATAGCATGGAATACACGTACACAGACATGTCGGTGCGATTGGAAGAAAGAAAACGTGTCCTGCAAAGACATCGTCTCTTACATCGGAACCATCGGTCATTCCGCTCTATCACCTGGCCCTCTTACCCTTCTATCCTTCGTCCTACTAATTCTTATTGCAATCATCTGGTCTTCCGGATTAACACTATATCACCGTTATATTTTCCCTCCAAAATTATGCCTAAGATATTTTGGTCGATGATTAAACGAATTTTTCTAAAACATGACGTGACTTTGTCCTTTTGTAATGTATTTTCTTTTCATATAATAAATTGATCTCTTCTTTTTTCTAATTATATATTTGTTCTGATAAACGTAAGAGAAGAAACCTTCGAATTGTGTTTTTATTCAAGAAGTGTTATTTTAAAGAAAGCATTAATATTGTTATCACGGAAAGCGATAACAATAGAATTTTGACAGATATAAGAAGGGATGGACATCTTGGATGAATACAGAAAATTTATTCGCTTTCTTTGGTTACAAAGGATCAATGTCTAACGTGACTGCTTTCTTTACTTACTCTTATTTCGTATTAGCATATTACTGATACCATTTCGATCGAGAACATTTATTTTGTACGTGTCATGTCATTCAGACACATCATGGAAGAGAGTGTCAAGAAAATATGAAAATCTGTTATGCAGCTGGTACAAAACATTATAGAAATGAGTAACTTTTGAAAAACATTCTTTATAATATCTTTCGAGAAACAACTTTCGAAAAAGAGAAATTTTTCTACCTAGTGGTAATTATTAAAAAAAAAAAAAAAATATACAACTATTTAAGGTATTTCTTTTCAAATTTTTCATAGCAAGGTTAAAAATAACAATGGTTACTTTTCAATCTTTTTTTTTTTTTAAAGAAAATCAAAAGAATTTATACCTAAGAATAAAATGATGTATGAGACAATAAAATGTTTCTTTTGATTAAATTTGAAAGTAGTTTGAAAACCATTTATTTCAAAACTATAAATCTCGGAATGACCTTTTTTTCCAGATATTTACCTTTTTTTAAGAATATAATAGAAAAGTAGGTAGAATAGGTATTAGTTGAAAAAACCAGTTGTCAAAATAATACTTTTTCTTTCTTCTTGGATATATCTAGTGAAAATAATGAATGTAAAAGTATTTTATTTCAAATATTTTGAATACAACACACACAGATATACACACTCGCGCGCGCGTGTGAGCGTATTTCATATTTTGTAAAATTCATAACAGCGTAAATGTGATTTTTGATCGCGTTGTCGGAACAATTTGTTAAATGTTCACGAGGTATCATAAAATGACAGTTTTGAAATTATCTATTAATTATAAACCGTAGCAAGAATAATTGTAGTATATCTCGTAGATATAATAGATCTGTTGACATAGGAATTTGGATTATGGACAATGATAAGGAATATTGGAATAATCAATCAAATTTCGTTGTTGTAATTTCTATTTAAAATAATGAAGGATGTGTGTGATGTGTTGTTCTCTTTAATGTAATGAAAATTTGATAAATAAATAAATAAATAAATAAATAAAAAGATAGAAACAAAAAATGTAAAATTAATATAAATGATAAATATTGAAAAACTCGTATAGTTAGAAACAATAATAATTGAAGTGATTTAATTGCATTAACAGTCAGAGGAACTTTGCACCTCCCACCACTTTTATCTTTTAAACTAGATGACGTGATATCATGATCTCGTATCAGTCGTCAACATGACGCGCAACGGAGCATTTCCATGGTTATCATCGTCATCCTTTTCGTGTTTCTTGTTTCTCCTTTTTTCAACATTACCATCTCATCAAGAGGATCGTGCCTCGGTTACTTTTGATTTAAGTCCCATATTATTTGGATCTTTGGTGAAAGATTCGAAATCACATGAGTCAAAAGATAATAAATTGCCAGGGTGCATTGAATGTGGAGAATACAGGTATTCAACGTTACAATTTTGAATGATTTGTATTATTCGTAACGTTACATTTGTTCAAATCGAATTAAATTATTAACATGTTTTGTTTTGTTTATTTTTACTCTTATCTATCATTATGATGAAAGATTTCGTATAATGTAAGAAGATATCGTTAAAGAGTTATCAATTCAAATTAGATAGGACAATAGGAAAATGATTCATACTATAAGTGAACTTATGTATAAATATAGATGTCCGGAGAATCCGTCAAAGTGTCTCTTGGGATCCGTATCGGATCCTTGCGGTTGCTGCAAGGCAGGTATATGTGCACGTCTTGGTGGTGAACCTTGTTGGAATTCAAGTATAACGGAACCATACGCTAATAGTCGTAAAGATGGTTTCTGTGCGAGAAATTATTTTTGCCAATTACGTACTGATCTTCAAAAAGAGGTACCTATATACATTTGAATTTATTTGAAGATAATTATATATCTATGATATTTCTAATTTTATTCTATTTTTTTTTTTTTTGTTAAATCCAAGAAAGAGAGATCAAGAAAGAGATATAGAAAATAATTAAAAGGACATTTTGCAATCGTAATCTCGTACACGTGATATTATTATAATACGTGTCCGTCCTCCTACGTTAATGTTAATTCAACGAACTTCATCAGATCCACTCGTAGCGAGTGAAAGTAATCTCGTCTTGTTTCGTTTCGTAGGCGTCGAATGTAGTATCTCGTGCAATCAAATAATCAAGCAGATCTGATATAATTCGATATGATATGTAAGAGATCTCGCGCAATCAAATAATCAAGCAGATTGTATACAATGAAAGAGAAAAGTTATTTTCTTTTTTCTTTTTTTTCTTTTTTTTTTCTTATCTTGTTGTATTTGATTTTTCATCGATATTCCCTTGTTAACAGTAATTAATATAACACGTAAGATTGCATTTATTTTGATTTTAGGACGTAGCGGAAACGATCTGTATCTGCATGGAACAGACACCGGCATGCGGTAGCGACCAAGTGACTTACGAAACGCCATGCGCTCTTCACGAGAAAGCTATGAGGCTGAAAAGTCATTTATCTTTGAAATTACAACAGCTTGGTCCTTGCCCAACTCGACCATGGATCGTTTCTTACTCGGAACATGTCGTTTCGAATATTGGCCAGCTTGTTCTCCTTTCTTGCGAGACTAAAGGTTTCCCTGTACCTGATATCTTTTGGGAATTTCATTCTCCGGATGGAAAGAAAGTTTTAAAACTTCAAACAAGTAAGAATTTATTGTTAATTGTATTTATCCTTTGTTTTTTTTTTTTTAACGAGTTTAAAAAGAACAAAATCCGTATGTTAGAAACTTTTACACGTCGTTTTATTTTCAATTAATTATTATAAATCATTTGTGGTGTTTAAAGATGAGGAATACATAATCAGCGTAGAAAAAAATATCGATCCAAAATCTTGGACAAAAACGTCATGGCTACAACTACCACGACTAACTAAAGATCATGTTGGAACTTACCATTGCATTGCCAATAATTCGATAGGAGAAGCAGGAGCAGCTTCCTTCGTATCGATTGTTTAAATTCCTGATTACGTTCCGTAGAAAACGTGAGTTCGATTGTGGTGGAAAATGGAAACTGGATTAGAACGGAATTAAAGGGAAGAAGAGGAAACATTAATCATCCTCATCTAGAAGAAATTGTTATCATCGTAATAATTATTTCTTCTTCTTCTTCTTTTTCTTCTTCGGTCGTATAAATGGTTGAATGAAATTTTTTTATAAAAAGAATATGAAATAATCCTTCATATTACTTTACACATTTACACCACAACAAAATGTCGCATTTTATATAACCCGGTTATTATTTATTTGTCGGGTTTAAGGAATATATCAATAAATATTATCTAACGTTAAAAATACTTTAAAAATTAACAAAACATTTGTATTCTCGTTATTGAAAAAGCTTTCATTTCCTTATCAGTTTGATCACCATCCTTCTTGTGATGACCTGAACAAAATTTGTTTCATTAATAATTTGTTTTATTTCTATGATTTTCATTGATAATTAAATCACTTACTGTGGACTTTCCCAAGTTCCACGATCTATCACCACAGTATCTGGACTTCCTCTGGAAAAACAAAGTAAGTTTTTAAAATGTAAATATAAATATGTTTCCTTACAAAAATGTATCTTTCATTAGCGAATTTCTTTTTTTTTTTTTTTTAAATATTAAACACATTTTATATACATTTAATTATGATAGACAGTTACATAATGAGATGTTAATTTTTCCAATGTACATCGACAATTTTCTAAGTTTCATAGAAAATCGTCGAGAAATATCTCGGATGATTCCTTTGTCAGATACGTTCAAATTGTTCAATGGTTGAAGCTACCAAAACTTAATCTACAAGCTTCAAACTACTCGATTTTGTTTCATTTGTTAGCGGTTTAGGGTGCTTCAGATCGATCAAAAGCTATAGTTCAACATTCAATACTATATAGCACGTACTACTTGTTCATATAGTATATATACAAAGGTGAAAAGATCGAATGAAGGGTGGAAAATGGGATGGAGGGTAAAACAGTCGATGTTTTCGCAAGATGACAAAAATGCGGTTGGTGGTTGTTGGTTGAGCACACAAGGCAATTTCTTTATAAAATTATATAAAATAATAAAACTAACGATCTCATTGATAACAAAGACGTATCCTTCTTTGAAAACGACGGTCTTCGATATACCAAAGATAAAATATGGGCAATTGGTGTGCTGATTATCATAATAATTGCACATATTAACGTAGCGAACCAGAATCCGTTCTAAAAGAAAGTACATTTCTTATGAAACAAAATACAAATTGTTATTAAAAGTTTACTTTTTCTTTTTTTTTTTTTTACATACTAGAGGACCTAAAATGTGATTACACAAAAGAAGTCTCATTCCTTTTAATATTTCCCATAATGGTCGACACTTCGAAACGCCACTATCCATTTCGGAAATTACGTGAGTTCTCCATTGATCTAAATAATTATTTAATCGATTTATAAATGTTTTTCCTTTCTGAAAGTAAAAATATCAAATGTTGAATCGATTAAGAAGAAGTTGAAAAATATTTAAAATGTTACTTACCAATTGTGCAATTTTATCTCCTTGATTATCGATGTAATATTGAATCGTTTTTAAATGAGAAATTGATTGATTGATCTGTCGTTGAAATGGTAACAATTGTAATTCCAATACAGCTATTTGATAAACCAAATTATCTTGTATCTTCATCAATGGTTTTACTCTTCGTGATGTTAGATCTCTCATATTGGATCCGATCATTTGCAAATCTCTTGCAACACTTCTATCGCTAAGTTGACGTGCTATGCTGTCCAGTTGATCGGATAGGGCGTTTGGATCTTTGCTTAAAATCGGTCCTTGTATCTGTTACAACACAATGTAAATATATGTGTACCTTTTTGTTAGATCCGTTTAATGTCATCAAATTATTTTTAACGTACCATAATTCTATGTTCTGTAAGATTTGGTCCGCAAGCGTAAAGAAGATTCTGAAGTCGTTGGTACAAGCCAGGTGTCAATATTTTTAATCCCTTTAAATCAACTTTTAATTTAGATTTAGCTCTGGACATTCCAGTCCACATCCAATGTTCCGTAAGTTGTTCCAATTGCATCGTACGATCAAGTCTAAACGCAGGATATGCAGCTTCGTTTTTTTCACACTTTCTACGAACGAACAATAAAATATTTCATATTTATTTTTGCAGAAAAAAAAAAAAAACTGTTCTTCTTCTTTCGGAAAGTTAATTTCATATATTCTCATCATTAAGATCACGTAACTCACTCGAACATATCTTTTAAAGGTACGCTCAATCTTCTTCCTAAGAAGGTTCGACTTTCTAAAATGGCCTCTAACGTACGATATTCAGGATCGTGAAATGGTCGACAGAGTAACATCTCAATATGACCAGATAACGCTAATCCTACTGCGAATATTCCCCATAAACCAATCGAAATGAAGCAGCTCATAAACACAGTACTGAAATTCGATAGAAAATTCTTAGATTGATACCTTTTTACTAACGATTTAGATGACGTCTATTTTTGTTTAACGTCATTATGAATCAATATTATAAGTTTTGTCTCATTTCTCGTTAGTATTCCTTATCTTGGTATTTAAATATAATTTGTTTTATTAGAAGGTTAATATATTTTTAATGTCTTAGAATATTCTTGTAGAGATACCTTTTTACTAACGATTTAGATGACGTCTATTTTTGTTTACGTCATTATAAGTCAATATTATGAGTTTTGTCTTATTTCTCGTTAGTATTCCTTATCTTGGTATTAAAATATAATTTGTTTGATTAGAAAGTTAATATATTTTTAATGTCTCTAATGTAATATTTAGAAATCTTTTTTATCGCGCACGAGCGGTGTTAGAAAAGTTCTTGCTAAAAGCATATATTACCTTATTATTGTTATATTTTGTATAAAAGTATAAAAAAGACTTCACCAGTATTAGAAAAATTTAAGATGTATAAGATGATATTTTGTAAAAATAAATACAAAAAATATTCATTCTATATAAACTTACCACAAGAGGGTTGGTCGGACTTTATCCTCGGAGGATCTGCAATGGCAACGAAGAGCACCGAGTAATAAAAGCCAGACGGGTAAAATGCAGAGGAAAGTGCCTGTCCGACAAAATCGAAGGACGAGTTATTATTTTCATCGATTTATTTATTATTATGTTCGTTGACGTTGTTACATTCGACTACCACGCAATGTTTTATCGCGAAACGTTTGACGTTGTTTCCGATGAAAAATGATTTCTTTCTTTTCTTACTTACGATTCAAGCTCATTTCCATTGAGAATGAACAATTCAGAGCTTGTGAGTTTTTCATAAAAGTAGGACGCGCGTAAAATTCACTTTGAAGAAAGAAAACGTGCGTTCTTTTCAAAAGAATTATAATTAAACATACCGCGTTTAAGTTAAAACGTAGAAAAATTAAATTATTACCATCGTGTTGTAGTTTTTTCAAGTGAAATTTTTTAAACGATCGTATTACGCGATACAAATTTTATGAAACGAAATGAACAAAGAGGGAGAAAGAGAAAAAAAGAAAGAGAGAGAGAGAGAGAGAATTCACAATCGATTGATAGTTGAATGAGATTATGAAAGATTTGAGTATTAGTATAGGTTTTGTATGTGTGCATGTGTGTGGATAAATCAGAACTCATTTATATATCCATTTAATTAAGAATAATACAAAGTAAATTTGTTTAAAAATGACATATTTATTGTTATTATATTAATACGTTAAATATTGAACAATTTCGTTAAGAACGTTAAAATAAATGTATTTTAGTTCAAACAATCTAAAATATTAATAAAATATAATATTAAGTGCTAAGTAAATTGATTATTAATAAGAGTATATTATAATCTAGAACAGGGGGTCGGCAACCTGTGGCTCCC